CTCCCCCCCCTCTTCCCCCCTCAATCATCTACCTCTCGGTTTCCCCTTTTCCTACCCTACTATATACGTGACCATTATCCCACACCTTGACATATTGGCTGACCTATTCTTCTGAGTAGCTGCTCCAGATCTCCAAAACAAACGGCAACGACAAATGTTGCGATTGCGGCGCTCCATCGCCCCAATGGGTGCGTTACTCTCAGCCCTCCCCTGGCTGCATCTCCATTGCCTTACACTCCGATACCACCCACACCCACACCCACGTATATTGTCCCGTCATGAGGTCTATTACGCACTAATCACGCTCGCCTTCTCCAGGCTTCTCCCAAATTCGGAACTTTCATCTGCCTTAACTGCGCGGGTACCCACCGCGGCCTCGGCGTGCACATCTCCTTCGTCCGCTCGATCACCATGGACGCCTTCAAGACGGCGGAGATCATGCGCATGGAGCAAGGTGGCAATGAGCCCTGGAAATCATTCTTTGACGCGCACGTCATCACCCAATCCGAGGGGCGCACTTTCGAAGACTCCACGATCAAGGAGCGTTACGAGGGTGAAGTAGGCGAGGAATGGAAGGAGAGGCTATCCGCTAAGATCGAGGGGCGGGAGTATGTGCCGGGGCAAACGACTCAGTCATCACAACCATCGAAGAAGCAGCCGGAGTTGTCGTCCCGGTCGAGCACCCCTCTCGCGCGGGGCGGCACGCCTGCGTCCCATGACGGATTGGTTGATGGTGGCGCGACCAAGAAAGAGCGCAACGAGGCATATTTCGCCAAGCTGGGGACGGCGAATGCGACTCGGAGTGAGTCCTTGCCGCCATCGCAGGGCGGCAAGTTTACGGGTTTTGGGGGCGGGATGCCGCCAGCTGCTTCAGCGGGATCAGATCGCGCAGGGGGCTCGGGGACCCTCCCTGGGTTCGATGATTTCCAGAAGGACCCTATGGCGGCGTTGACGAAAGGTTTTGGGTGGTTCACGACCACGGTTGGAAAGGGGGCCAAGACGGTGAATGAGAGTTATATTCAGCCCACCGCTAAGACGGTATGTTGCAATGGCTTGATAGTCACGGAATAAGGCTAACCTCTTGAGGCCCACTACAGATAGCCGAGTCCGATTTCGCAGCACAGGCTCGTCTTCAGGCTTCTCAACTCGGTCAAAACCTTCAAACGGGTGCGCGCGGTGCAGCAGACCATTTCCACCGTTTTGTGGAAGGGCAGGATGAAGCTGCCGCGGCAGCAGCTGCCCGGCGGGAACGGGGCCGGGCTGGGGCCGAGCCGGAAAGAAAGGATTTTTGGGACTCGTTCTCGGCATTGGGAGCACAGGATACTCATCGTCGGACTGCGTCTAGGTCGAGTGCGATTGGCACGGCTGCCATGAAGCCCAGCGCTGCGGGTGCTGGGCCAGCAGCTGCTGGATCCACCGCGACAACTTCGGCCTCGTCGGCTGCGTCTAAGACGGGCACCGGCAGAAAGAGCCTAGAGGATAACAGTGGATGGGATGACAATTGGTGATCGTTTCAGAGGTGGTGAGTATGGATGGTTGTATACTTGGTTCGCCTAGTCTATGACAAGATCCGTACCTATACGGAGTACATATGATATATATATATAGTAACACCTGGTGAGGGTGGTTGGGGGGCCAGCTCAGTGTGCATAGATTTATATATATATATATATAGTATATATATATGCTTACTAAGTAGCATTCAATGGTGTGAGATTTAGCAGTACTAAACATAGGACCGTGGACAAAGTATATACTCTGTTGCTACCAACTACTAGCAGAATAAACTTGTAAGTAGTCAGTTTGCTTCTGAAGTGCCGAAGCAAAGGCGGGGTCCCCGGGAAACAAACGGCCCACTCCGAAGGGTCGGGAACAACTTCCAGCCCATCAACATCTCCATCCGTCCAATTCTGCTGACTGACCATCCCATCCACTCACCTTTCCCCCCCAAAAGCTTCAAAGTTCCTCACGTCATCTCCTTTCTTCTTACCCCCTCCTCCGCCCCCCAAGTCCACTACCATCTTTGATTTTGCCCCTCTTCCCCCCACCCCCCCCCTATGACAACGTCCAACTTTATCTCTTTCTGTGCCAATCATGCAACCTGGAGAGCTTAAACCCCTTGCACCTGCTTACCCTCTCCCCACCACTTGGTTCGACCCGCCTGAACTGCCGCGTATCAAAAAGCGTTCCAACGCGTGCGAGGCCTGCAAGAAACGGAAGACTAAAGTGCGTGACTACATTACTCCAGTGTGCTTGCTTGTGCATCAACCAGTCCTGAGCCGATACTGAGAAAAACAGTGCCAAGGCTCCCAGCCATGCGACAAATGCATACAGGCTGGATCACAATGCATCTTCGCCGAGGAGCTCGACAGACGCCGGAAGCTGGCTCTCCGGCAAGTTGAGCAGGAACTGCACGCAGCCTATGATCTCCTGGAACGGATGGTCGCGGCCTTGGACAAGCAAAATACCGCCGAACTGGAGCGGATCAGCGCCGTGGTTAAGGGCGGCTTTCTGCGCAGTGGAGGCATCACCACGCCGGAGCAGCAGGATCTCTCATCAGGGTCTCAAGAACGTCCAGCTGCATCGCAATCGGCAACATCTTCCTCGTCGGCGGGCTCTCTTTGCGATATTGCCACGGTGAATGAAGACATCAACCGGGACGAGCGCAGCAGGGCAACCGGTTATATTGGGAAGGGTTCGGAGATTGCTTGGCTGCAGAAGCTCAGCGAGGAAGTCGGGAAACTTGGCCATCCAATCGAGAGTTCGCCGCATGAGCTATCTTCCGAAGAGGAGAGTCTCACTGCGCTCAGCTACCATCTGGACCACTTGAGCTTCTCGACTCTGGAAGCCGGGGACCCGCAAGCTCTGCCGCAGCGAGCCCTCAGCGACCAACTCATCGCCATTTATTTCGCTAAAGTCGACCCGTCGTTCCCATTGCTGAACAAAACCCTCTTTTCTACGCAGTATCATCAGGCCCTCACTAAGTCGAGGTCCCCTTCCCGGAAGTGGCTCACAATCCTGAATTTGATCTATGCTATTGGCGCCAAGTACATGCAGCTATCTGAAAGGAACTGGGCGGATGCCATCGATGACCGGTCTTTCCTGTCCAGGGCTTTGGCCCTCAATGCCGATCAAAGCCTGCTCGGGGAGCATGCGGATCTGCAGCAAGTCCAGATCTGGGTGCTCTATGCCATTTACCATCTAACCTCCGCCCAGATCAATAGGTGCGTATATTCCATGCTTTTGTGCGGTCTTTTTTGCGAAAGGACGAGGAACTGACGCTCACAGAGCGTGGCACATGGCTGGACGTGCTGCCCGCTGTGCGATAGCGCTGGGGCTCAATCTCCGTGCGGGGGGTCTCAATGTAGACGCTACGTCCAGGGAGTCCCGTACTCGGCTATGGTGGTCGCTTTTCATCCTAGAACAGCTTCTGTCTGTGATGACCGGTCGTACATCGTGCATTGATTGGCGGTCCTTCAGTATCCCGGCTCCGTTGCCCTTCGACGAAGCCCAATTTCAAGCCCCTCAAGCAGCCAAATATCTTTCGGATCTTGCTCTGCGGGAAAGGACTTTTGTCTTGACCGCCCAAACGCCCAGATTCCGGATCGAAGCAAGAAACAAACTTCTTCGAGCTGTCGAACCAAGTTCATCGCTATACCTCTTCTATCTAGCCGACCTCGCGGCGATCAGTCATGCCGCTGTGAACGCGGTCTATAGTCTTCATGCCTGTCTGGGCGTCTCCAAAGGCGCCCATGCCAAGATCACACATTATCAGCGAATGTTGGGAGACTGGCGGTCGAGTCTTCAAAGCAGTTTTGAATTTACAGACCGCAACGGCCGGCTCAAGTTGGCCGAACCGTGCCCCGAGCAGATCGCTTTGGCTCTCGCTTTTTACAGTTCTCAGATCATCATCAATCGTCCATGCCTCACCCGTCCTGGAATACAGAAGGTTACCGAGACCAGACACCCGCGGACCGCATTCGCCAACGCCACGGCATTGCTCTGCCTCCAGTCTGCAATGGACTTGATGGCCATATTCCCCGACCTGCCTGACATGGGATGGCTGTGCGAGATGACCCCATGGTGGTCTGTGGTGCACTATATCATGCAGGCCCTCATTATTCTGCTCATTCAGCTATGTGTAGGTCCAGTGGACGTGGTCAAAGGGGCTCACACCGAGACTGGCCAAGGAGCTGTCGGCACGGCGGAAGAACCTGAAGTGATCCTCCGGGTTTCCAAGAAATGCCTGCGGTGGCTACACGCGATCGCAAGTCGGAGCCCCAGCTCGCGGCGGGCGTTCATCACCTGCGAGCGTCTTCTGCGCCGCATCGCCACCATCAACGGGTTCGACCTGGAGGGGGTCCCGCAGGCCGCCACGCTGGCCGCCCGGACGACAAACTCGAGTCTCGAGAACTACTACGCGCAGCGGGGCCGATCCCCCCAGCAGCCCTCGGAATCGGCTCACGGGGACGCGATGCGAGAAGCGTCGACGTGGTGGGGCGCGGATTACACGTACTCGGAACCCGATGCGGAGAACCAGGCCTACCTGCCTTTTAGTTTGGACCCGACCTTGTTGGATTTTCTGGAGAATGCTCTGGAATGATTATGCTCGTTGTTTATTGAAGCTGGCTTCAATGTGTTCGAGTTCGCTCTTACTTCCTACCAGAGTGATAATGACAGATACCAAGAGTGAGTTTGTTTTTTTTTTTTTTTTTTTTTTTTTTTTTTTTTCTGCTTATCGTTCAGGAATCAAGAATTTTCGGAAGCTCCTGTGTTGTTTCATCCCGGAGTGTTTTATTTTCTTCTTCTAAAGGCTATTAATAGTTGTGGAATACTGAGGAGTATGTAATGTCCTTGAGTCGAGTCAGTTAATGATCGGAGTGTTCCTGCTGTTCTATCACAGCTCCATTCTTGAACTTCTGCATCAATCATTCCAACTAGTTAAAATATGTATCCATCATCGAAGCAGTTTTCTCCAGGGTTGAAGGCTGTTCCGTTAAGGTTTAGTAAGGAGAAAGCTCCACGGTTTCTAGTAGTGCATCCCAGATTGAGGTTCAACACCCTTCTCGCCACTCCTCGGGCTCTGATGTGGGCTTTTCACCTGGCCTCTCTACCTTGTTCATTTAGAGTCTTCTTGTAGATGTTCAATACCAAGTCTTGTTCAGTATCGAGTTTTGTTCGGTATCAAGATGTTGTTCACGATCAACATCGTACGAAGCTTCTTGTGTAGTCGAGGAAGACGATATCAGTCCAAGTTAGCAGGGAGGTATCCTCTAGAATTGAACGGTAGAAGTGAATCTATCCTGACAATATCTTCTATTCATGTAGATAATCAAAACAATTACCGCAGAAGACCGTCTACTGTATGTACTGTACATGATTCCACACCCAACAGACCTAAAGTACTCCTGGACAAAGAAGTGTCTAGCCAATCCTTCGCAATAGTTGACTGAGGTCCCCAACAAATCCCCGACTGAGGAAAGGGAATGAAAAAAAAAAAAATAAAAACACGTATAAGAGTATAATCGTACAGTTCTTCTACCTCTATTCTTGCCTTCTACAGTTCGAGGTCCCGATTAGTACCCACCACTCATCTCGGCCAGCACGGCCTTCTGGCGCGGGGCACTCATCTTCTCGAACCGATCGACGCTCATCACGAAGGTGCCGCGGCCGGCACTCAGACTGCGGAGGTGTTTCAGGTAGCCCACCATCTCCTTGAGGGGCACCTTGGCGGCGATGGTGCGCGGGCGATTGGCGGTGTCCGGGAGGGAGGCGCCAGCGGCGGAGAGGGAGGTGGCGCCGAGGGCGATGGAGGGGCTTTCGAAGGGGTCCGGGGGCGCGTAGACTTTGCTTGCGTCGATCGTGGGCAGGTCTTCGTAGGGGGTTGTCGGGGTGGAAGTGGAGGTCGAGGTCGGCGAGGCGTCGGTGGATGTGATCGGGAGGTCCTCGTCGAGGGAGACGATGTGGCCGCCCCGGGCTGAGGAGATGTCGTGCACGACCGCACCGAGGCTGGCTTCGTCGATGCTGATGATCACGTTCATGACGGGTTCCATTAGGGAGGTCCCGCTGCTGCTGCTGCTGCTGCTGCCGCCGCTGGATACCAGGGAGCGGAGGGCGGTGGTGGTGGCGAGGCGGGCGGCTGAGGAGACGGCGGATGGGGTGCTGTCGGTGCCGAAGAGGTGGGAGGTTGCGTCGAGGGTGAGGTGGACGCGCGTGTGGTGCATGGGGAAGGAGAATTGGGGCCCGCGGGCCAGGGCGGCGGCGCAGCCGTTGAGCAGCGAGGTGCGCAGGGTGGCGATGTCCAAGCCAGAGGGGAGGATCGGGCTCTCCTCGATGCCCTTGCGGTTCCGCGTGATTTCCAGCCCGGGTGCCTGGATGATGATCTGGTTGCCGTTCTCGTTCTCCACGAGGAAGGTGTCCTGGTCGGTGACGGGAGGCTCGTCCGTGTCGGGGTCGAAGGGGGAGACGGACGCTGTGCATCCGGCCTTGCCCTTGCGGCCGGCGACTTCTTTGTCGAAGATCTTGGTTACTGGTTCGGAGCTGCTGCCCGGGCACTCGCGGTAGCCGATCTCGATGCGGCCGACTGTGGCTTTGGCTTTGAGTTCGTTGATGAGCCGGTCCCGCGCGATCTCGAGATGCAGCTCGCCCATTCCGCTGAGGAGCGTCTGGCCGCTCTCCTCGTCGACCGTGACTTGGAGACTGGGGTCTTCACGCAGGAGCATGGCGAGGGACTCGTGGAGCTTCTTCTCCTCGCTGAGACTGTGTGGCTCTACGCTGGCGAAGAAGACCGGGGGAGGAACCTTGATGGGGCGGAGCTGGAGAGTGTCGAGCGGTTCAGGGGGTGTCGGTCTGTTGGTGGCGTAGGAGACCAGCGTGTCGCCGGTGCGGGCATGTTTGAGCCCCACAACGACACCGATGTGACCTTCAGGGATGGAGTCGACTTCCACGGCGTCATTGGCGTACATCTTCAGGAGACGCGGAGCCCGCTCGGTGACCTTCAGGTTGGTGTTGTAGAGCGCGCAGCTCCGGTCGAGTCTGCCCGAGTAGACGCGCACGTAGACCAGCACCCCGCGTTTGGCGTCGTTGACCACCTTAAAGGCTAGGGCACAGCCTTGGAGAGTCTCAATGGCGTTTTGAGATTCGGCCTGCGCAACTGCCTTCTTCTTCTTTGCCTGACCCTTGGCCGAGGCGGCAACTGCCTTTTGTTCGACAATGAGGTCGCCGGACAGTAGGCGCCGGAGACCGCCGGTGACGCCGCCGATGCTGACCTCGGGATCAGGAGTCTCGACGGGACTGGGCAGGAGGTTGACCACGGCGTCGAGCAGAGGTTGTACCCCTACATTGCGGAAACTGGCACCGGCGAAGACGGGAATGATCTTTCTGCCCTGCTCCTCGAGCAAACACCGACGCAAGCTTTGCAGAATGCCGTTGGCAGGGACGGCAAGGTGATCCTCGTCGTAGTCGAAAAATTTCTCGACCATATCCTCGTCGTACTCGCTCAGCAACTCGACCAGAGCAATCCGGGCCCTTTTGAGCTCCTGAGCCAGCCGACTCTCCTCGGCCTCCAGCTGCTGCAGGTTAAGCATCTTCACTGATTTGCCGTCGCCATCCTCCCACCGGAGGCCCTGAAGATGGATCACATCAGCAACACCCACAAAACGACCGTCCCCTCCTTCGAACCACGGAATCTGACAGACAGCTGGCCAGCCTGCCAGCCGCGATGCAACTTCCCGCACAGTCCGGCCGAATGCCGCTCCGTCTCGATCTAATTTGTTGATGTAGACAATTCTGGGAATGCGATAGGTGCTGGCTTGATGCCAGACTTGCTCGGTTTGAGCCTCAACACCGGCCACACCGTCCAAGATGCACACTGCGCCGTCCAGAATGCGCAAAGACCGCAAGACCTCGAATGTGAAATCGGCGTGTCCGGGCGTATCAATCAGATTTACCGTGTGTGAGTGAGCCGAGCGGGGGGCCTGTGAATCTGGCTGACTCGCCTCAGCAGCTGTTTGCGGTGGCCAATGGAAAGTGATAGCTGCAGACTGAATGGTGATTCCACGCGCTCGCTCCGCGGGGAGAAAGTCTGTCACCGTGGAGCCCTCATCTACGTCTCCAATTCTTCTAGTGAAGCCACTGTAGTAGAGCATGCGCTCTGTGGTAGTGGTTTTGCCTGCATCGATGTGGGCAATGATACCAATATTCCTTGTCCGGTCAAGCGAAGCCTCTTGTCCGCAAAATGCAGCGCTTGAAAACTTTTGCAGATGGGGGAATTGTAGTTTCCTTGTACACTGGCTAGCATGGCTGCCCAAGCGATTAATCACTGCTTGGCCCTGGTGTGAAGCAATTGGCCGCGCCGCCGGATGAGAGGCGCGCAACAGAAGGGCTGCAACCATCAGGGTCGGTGGTTGCCCACGACGCACTTGTCAACTTGGTAGGAGTTATAGACTGTCTAACATGTCTTGCAGGATGAACAAGCAGTAAAAAATTCACTGTAGCGACAATGGTCGAAGAACACTGATGCAGAGATTAGGTAGGTAGAGTAGTCGATGGGGAAGCATGAAAAGTATTGATTGGATAACTTCTTGATAGAAGCTGAAGCGGATCCAGTGACCTGTGAATGCCTGTTTAATCAGGCCTCAACGACCAGGCCCCAACGACGTAACCTCCGCCGCCCTCACAGCAATCAATCAATCAATCCATTCCACCCAGTGTTTCCTCCGTTCTCCCCTTCCCTCCCATTTCCTCCCCCTCCCCCCACATCTGACACAATTGCGCTCTCCAACTCCCCTTGTATCTCCCACTCTCCAGTGTCTCTGGAGTATTGACAGGTACGATTCTGTCTACAATTGCAATTTCATACCATAAGTTAGTCTATGATGCTGATTGATGTCTGCCTGGCCCACAGCGCGGTGTAGACGTGGTCGCATCGACCCTCCCCCCCCTCCAAGACAGCCACAATGGACTACTCCGCCATTTCGCACGACCCCGATCATCCTGCAGGCACCTCGCCCTGGGCCTCGCCTCGACCAACGCAAACTACTTTTTCTGCGACGGGCGACATTCCGTCGTCTCCATTACCCTCGCAAGAGCATTCTCCTTTCGGCGCTGATAGGGAGCCGCAGTCTGCCGAGGGATCGGGCGCCAGAGAGGATGGATTCGGCTCCCCTAATCTGTCTGGTCAACTGCAAAACACACACCTTTCTGGTCCCAATTCTGGAGAGCAAGCATCGCATGGTGCTCAACAGCAACAGCCGCAAGGTCAACAGCCTCGTTCTCAGATTCCAGCCCGTTACCAGACCGGACCCAGACAGAATGCCCGACCGCCCGCCCCAGCGTATAGGATACAAGCGAAGATCACGGGGCTAGAGCGAACCGGCAAGAAGGATCCCATTCTGCGCTTCGAAGTTCACGTGAGTAGGCCCTTGGATTGTGGCGCCCTGCGCAAACACTGACCCCAAGGTCTAGACCAATATTCCCAAGTTCAGGACTACCCAATACCGTGATGTGCGACGCACTCATAGCGAGTTTGTGAAGCTTGCCGATCATCTCATCTCTGCCAACCCCGAGACTTTTGTCCCTGCCGTACCATCTCCACTGACTCCAGCCGGCGCCGGAACCGAGGAAGACGAAATGCGGGTTAAAGCCTCAATGCAGCGGTGGCTGAATGTGGTTCTCAGCAACGAGGTCCTGATTCATGATGACGAGGTGGTCTTATTTGTCGAGAGTGACTTTGGTTACAGCCCTGTCGTGCGCATGAAGCAGCCGGCCACCGGCGTTCGACGGAAGGTCTTGAAGCAGTTCGCGCCCCCTCCGGATGACACCCCGGAACTACAGAACGCCAGACCTACCGTCAAAATGTTCTACTTGGGTGCTATGGATGCCAGCCACAAGGTTGACCGTGTGGTTAAGGGGCGGAGAGGTATGTTTTGGTCAAATGCAATATTGAAGAACGCGCATCGCTTACTCGGAATCAGGATTGGGACTTGCTGAATCCGACTTTGGCGTTAAGATGGGCCAGATGCATGTGCAGGAGACGCACCCGGGACTGGCCAACGCGTACCGGAAGCTCGGAAAGATCATCCAAACAGTTGGAGATTTCCATGCGGTTCAGGCAACCGCTGAGGCTACTACTCTGGGAGATCCCCTCAGCTACCACTCCTCGGATGCCTTTATAGTCAAAGAGACTCTTACGAACCGTCATATCCTGCTGCGCGAATTGATCCAAGCTCAACAGGTTACCCGCAGCAAACGTGCTGCAGCTGACCGGCTCAAGGTCAGCTCCTCGGTGCGTCCCGACAAAGTCGATGAGGCTATCAACGCATTGGATGAAGCGCAAAACCACGAGGACTATTTGACTAAGAGAACCCAGCGAGTCACGTCGAACTTGCTGCTGGAGAAGCAACGCTGGTTCGAGCGGACGTCGAGTGACCTGCTCGCCAGTCTGCGGGAGTATACTCTACGCCAGATTGAATCGGAGCGCCGCACGCTGGCTACTCTCGAGAGTGTTCGACCCGATATCCGAGCCATTGATGCCTCTGGAGGACTAAGCCGCCTAGGCCGCGAATCTCACCCCGCTGTCCGACGGTCGAATTTGGGCTCGAGCCAAGGTCCTAAGGGCGACGCATGGAGCGGAATTCCCCGTCGCAGCGACAGTCTTGGCCGGAGCATGAGCGGCAGCTTTGTTGCGCCTCCGCTGGACGATGACGAAGAAACGAATGGCAGCGGGAGTGGCAAAGGACGGTTGCGGTCTGCCAGCGGAGTGAGCTCGATTGCTGAGGAGGATGATGAGGATCGATTGGACGCGCGAAACGCAGCTAGTCGTCTAGCCACGAGTACCTTCTAGTGACTCTTGTAAATTATGTGTGCGAGATTCCCCTTTGACCATGACTTTTTCTGTTCCTGTCCACTGTTGCAGCATGTTTGTATGATGTCTTGAGTATGCGACCATAGCTTTTTTTTTTTTTTTTTTTCGTAACTCGTGTTGCGTTGTGCCGCCCATGACTGTCAAAGTATCGATAATATGCCTGCATGCAGCCGATTGAGGTTCGTAGGCAATGTTGTTGTGGTCCTCGTCCCTGGTCGGAGTCACGTCAACCAGCCCCGCCTTGAGATCAGTCCAAAACGTCATGCAGAAAGGGGGGGAGGGGCAAAGCGCCCGATAATACGGAGTATACATAGTACAAGTAACTATGAACCCATGATGGAGAATGGAATGGACTGTTGTCGCACAGCTCCATTGCAGAGGGGGGGGAGTAGTGGTGCAAGATAAAAAATAATAGTTTGACCAACAATTAATGCATGACGATTAGATCCAGGAACATTCAATGTTCTTTTGAGTTCTTCCCACCCCCACTCTTGCTGAGACGCTGATTGCCGTATAGTACGGAGTAGTAGCTCTGACCTCGAAAATACATCCACTCTTGATTTCCAAGCATCGGAACGCCATTCAACTTCCGTCCTTCCAGCGGAGCTTAAGCTCTCATTGGGGGGGTTTCTTGCTTGTCTGTCTTTGTCTGAGGTGCTGGTTGTTCTTCCCCTCCACTTCCACATCCACTCCCCTCACTCCTCCCCCCCCCCACCTACTCATGATATAAAGTAGACTTCATTCCTCTCCCCCTTGTTGTTATTTCTTGTATCTCTTCTGCTTATTTCCATCTATTGCGAAAAAGTACTTTCACATTCTACCCACCAACACAACACAATCACAAGCCCAATCTGCCTTGTATAGAGCACAACATGGCTCCCCTCCAGGTCTTCATGTACGTCTAGCCCCCATCTTCTCGTCCACATAAAAAAAGAAAAAAAAAAAAAATCCAAGAGAGTCTCTGACAGTCAACTCGCTGGCTACAGTACCGGTGCCACCGGCTACATTGGCGGTGATATCTTCTACAATGTTCACCAAGCACACCCTGACTGGGAATACGCCGTCTTGGTGCGCAGTAAGGAAAAGGCCGACAAGCTCGCCAGTGAATACCCCAAGGTTCGCGTCGTGTTGGGAGACCTAGACTCGGCTGAACTCATCGAGGAGGAGGTCAAAAAGGCCGACATTGTCTTTCGTATGTCTCTACACATGTCTTTCCGAGCCTCGGGACTAGAAAACTAATCCGCTGCGGTCAGACGCTGCCGACTGCGACCACGTTGCGTCTGCTGAGGCGATTGCCAAGGGTGCGGCTCATCATACCCCGGAGCGCCCCCTGTGGTGGATTCATACATCCGGTACCGGTATCCTGACAGTCGAGGACTTCCGTTCCAACACCTGGGGCAAGTACCGCGAAAAGCAGCACGATGACTGGGATGGCGTGGATGAGCTCCTCAATCTGCCGGCGGACTCGTTCCACCGCAATGTGGACGAGATTGTCATTGCCGCGGGCCAGCGGGACCCCAACAGTGTCAAGGTTGCCATCGTCTGCCCGCCTACCATCTACGGCCCTGGCCGGGGCCCAGGCAACCAGAAGAGTGTGCAGGCCTACTGGTTGACGGCTGCGGTCTTGAAGCGGAAGAAGGGCTTCCTGGTGAATGAGGGCAAGAACATCTGGCACCAGATTCACGTGCAAGACCTGAGTGATCTCTATCGACTGTTGGGAGATGCCGCTGCTGCGGGTGGCGGTAAGGCTACCTGGAACGACAAGGGCTACTACCTGGCCGAAAATGGCCCCTTCGTCTGGGGAGACATCTCGCGGGAGGTGGCCAAGGTCGCCTATGAGAAGAAGCTGATCCCGTCCCCTGACGTGGAGCCCATTTCGGACGACGAGGTGAAGCAACTGAACGAATTCGGTCTGTATGCTTGGGGCAGCAGCTCCCGGGGCCACTCTTACAGGGGTAGGAAGCTGCTCGGATGGTCTCCTCACCGGCCGAGCCTGAAGGAGCTCATTCCGCAGATTGTTGACATTGAAGCCAAGGCGTTGGGCTTGCTGTAGACGGAATAAGGCAGAGACTCTCCTGTAACACAAGACTGAACTGATGAATGCAATGACCAAATTCTTCGATCTTTGTGCTGTAACTCCATTATCGTATTGTCCTACACATGAAGGGGGGCGTAGTAATCCGATGATATAAGTTGAAGATTGAGCGCGCCACATACACCCTAAGCGACCGAGACGCGCTACCCGCCCGCAGCCGCCGCTTTGTTCCATTGCGAACCCGTCCGATGCCATCACCTTCTCGCCGATCCAAGCAAACGGACCTCGCACGATTTTTCCCACTTCTGACCCCCGCATGAGTTTTCCACAGCAGGTTGTTGCCCATTCATTCCTGAATTGTCAACATTTGACCTTTAATCGCATTATTGCGTATCTTAGACCCCGGAGGAAGCTGACCGGCTCAATCTCTAGGTCCGCCGCATGAACTGCGACCTGTCCGGGACTCGTCAGTTCTCCCCCTCAGCCCTCTAGCTTTGATTGACCCTGTCATGGCTCCTGGTGCCGGAGGAAAGAGAAAAAGAGGCGATCGATCGTGGTCTGGCGATTCCGGGAACGACGGTTCACGACCATCCCCCCACCGACCAGGTAATCTCAACATGGCGCAACACAATCACGGCCCACAGTCTCGCGACTACGATTCGCGTGGCCGCGGACGCAGGCCTCCCGGGCGAGGCAGAGGTGGGAATATGAATATGGGCCGACGCCCCAGTGGCGATAACCAAAACTTCGCCGGCGGTCGGAGGGACACGGCCATGTCCCCGCCCAGCAGCGTCCCGATGAAAGACGCGCCGGACTCTAATCAGACCAACGGAGCTTCTGTGAATGCGGACCAGCATAGACCTCCTCCATCACCGTCACCTGTCCCCTTATCGGCCCCGTCACAGCCACAACCCCAAATACAGATAACTCCGTCCCCAGCGCCAAGTCCCGCCCCGGCGCCGCCAATGCAAATATCAAACGCTCCCGTGCAGCCTCCCCCCGGGCCCCCTCCGCCATACGACTACGAGTATGTTACACAGGCAGCCATTGATAACTGGGCGGCCTCAGGTAGGAAGGAAGTTGTGGAAAAGGGAATCCAAGCGAAAGATGCGCAGGATGCTTCTAGCCTAGCATCGGTATATCAAGAGCTCATCCGCTCAGCTCTTTACGGACGCTTGCCGCCAGACCACGCAGGCTCAGCAGTTCGGAATATCATCGGAGAAGATGTTGATTCAGAGAACGTCGATATGAACGGGGAGCGACCAACATCAAATCTCCTTGATACGCGATCTCTGTTCTTAGACACCTTGTCCATTCTTACCGATTCCGACACATCGAACAATGCTCTGAGACCGCTTGTATTCGCCACCGGCATCAATGCTGCACTTATGCGAGTGCAGCTTGACACGCAGCTCCTCCAGTCGCTCGGCCTCGTCCGTGAAACCTTCACCCGTATGGGAATTCGCAAACAGACCAATCTCTTGTACCGGCAGTCGAACTACAACCTTTTACGCGAGGAGTCTGAGGGTTACTCTAAGCTCTTGACCGAGCTTTTCACAACGAGTAGTAATGAGCCTCCATCTAGTGAAGTGGTGGAAGATACTTTCGAGAAAGTCAAGGCGATGATTGGTGCTTTTGATATGGATGTTGGCCGTGTGTTGGATGTCACTCTGGATGTCTTTGCTGCGGTTCTTGTTAAACAGTATCGTTTCTTCGTCAAGCTTTTGCGAGCCAGTTCGTGGTGGCCCAAAGAGGACAACTTCCGCAACATGGAAGACGGAAACCGTGATTCTGGTCTCCCAAGATGGGCTCTACCCGGTTCAACTGGGTGGATGACCACGGATGAAGAGCGAGTTGAGATCATGCAAGCCAACGAGCAGCGAGATCGCCAATTCTGGATCCGTGTAAGAGAGATTGGGATTCGGGCTTTCTTTGAGATCGGCCGACGACCTGTAACTCAGGAGGAACTCCAGCGCATCCTTCCTGAAAGCAACAGTCTTTCTGACGATGAAAAATCAATGCGGAAATGGATCGAAGAGACGGGTACGTTGCCGCCCAAAGGCAGTCGAGTCGCCGCCCAGCTTCTTGGTTTCAAGCTTCGATTCTATTCTTCCAAAGCTCGCTCAAAGTGGGATGTCCTACCAGACAATCTCATCTACCTGGCAGCCCTGCTGATAAAGGTGGGGTTTATCTCGCTGCGTGACCTATATCCTCACCTTTGGAGACCAGACGACTCGATGGATACACTGAAGGAGGAAAAGCTCAGGGAGAAGGCCGAGAGAGAGCGAGCGGCACGTCCGGGAGGTGGTGTGAATGCTTTGATGATGGCCGGTGCCCTGTCGGATGACACCCTCCCTATGCCTCGCATCCGTGAATCCGAGACCCGGTCGGCCACTCCTGGGAAGGATCACGAAGCGGACAAAGCTGCCGCTGCGAAGGCGGAAGAGGAAGAGCTGCCAGAACCTTCAGATCAGAAGGTCATGCTGTTGAAAAGTCTCCTTGCCATCGGCGCACTTCCCGAATCCCTGTTCATCCTCAGCAAATTTCCATGGCTCATGGACGTCTACCCCGAACTCCCCGAATTCATCCACCGTATCCTTCATCACTGTCTCAGCAAGGTATACGCTTCCCTGCGCCCACTTCCTTCTGTGGAAGGGCTCAATGAAGAAAAGCAAATACCGAGCCAAGATCAAGCAGGTCTCGCAAAGGGTCAGATTCGACTGGCCCAAGCGCCACCACGACGCGTTCTTCGATGGGCACAGCTAGACAAGGACGACACCAATGACGGTACCGATTATCGATTCTACTGGGATGACTGGACCGATAATGTCCCCGTTTGCCAGTCGGTGGATGATGTTTTCGCGCTCTGTTCCTCATTTCTCAACCTGTCAGGTCACAAGATCGGACAAGACTCGAGTCTCCTCTCGAAGCTTGCCCGAATCGGAAAGGATAGTCTCAGTCAAGATGATTCCCCGGCGAATAGGGCCCGTTGGCAGGATCTTTGCAAGAGACTCCTGATTCCTTCTATTAGTCTCACCAAAGCAAATCCCGGCGTTGTGAATGAGGTCTTTGACCTTGCCAGTTTCTTCTCCAGAGAAACCAGATATAACATGTACGCGGAATGGAACTTGGGACAAACGTCTCGACTACCGGACCTCAAATCCGCGTTTGACCAAGCAAGGGCCGAGACGAAAGACGTCCTCAAGAGGTTGAGCAAGACAAACATCCGTCCAATGGCTCGTGCCTTGGCCAAGATCGCTTATGCCAACCCCGGGATTGTCATCAACGTCGCCATCAACCAAATCGAATCTTACGAGAATCTTATCGAAGTTGTTGTGGAGTGCGCGCGTTACTTCACATACCTGGGATACGATATCCTGACCTGGGCATTGATTAGTTCTCTCGGCCAGAAGGGCCGAAGCCGTGTACAAGAAAGTGGTCTGTTGACCAGCCGTTGGTTGAACGCCTTGTCCACCTTCGCGGGAAGGACTTTCAAACGATACTCAGTGATGGACCCCGCTCCATTGCTGCAGTACGTCGTCGAGCAGCTGCGCCAGAACAATTCGACGGATCTTATCGTCCTGGAGCAATTGATCAGCTCCATGGCAGGTATCATCACGGACACTAATTTTAATGAGGCACAGATTCAAGCAATGGCAGGTGGAGAAGTCCTTCAAGCCCAAACTATCTTGCAGCTCCTCGACAAACGGCACGAATCAAAAATGACCTCAAGGCGACTCATGAAATCTTTGACTGTCTCCAAACTCGCCGGGCAATTGTTGATTGCTATTGCCCAGGAACGCCTGACATGCATCTTTAAGGAGACTGAAGGTGCTTCTGAGCTGAAGCTTTTGGGTAACATTTTTGATGAGATTCACCGTATTTTGGCACAGTATCTTGATTTGCTCCGTAGCAATCTTACTGTGGAGGAGTTTGATTCTTTTGTTCCCGACCTAGCTTCGCTCATCGGTGACTATGGCATTCAACCAGAAGTAGCCTTCTGGATTCGGAGGCCAAGTATTGCGCTGAAGATTGCAGATATTGAGAGACGCGGACAGGATGTTGAGGATTCGGGGGCTGTCAACCGGATCACTACGGAGAGGCGTCAGGTCAAGGCTGATGGTGATAAGATGGACACAGGTGGAGATGGAGAGACGGCCACTGGTGAAGGAGACCAGTCCACGGAGCACACGATGGAAGTGGATCAGGAGAAGCCAGAAAGCACGTCTAATGTGCAAGGCAGCACGGACACTGGTACCGCAACCATCGAGGCACCCCCTCTCAACCCAGTCATCCAGGATCTTCAAGATCAAGTCAAGGCTGTCTTACCGACTGACACATGGGGAACTGTTGGTCTCCAATTTTACGTCACCTTCTGGCAATTGTCACTTTACGACGTGCATATCCCGCAGAAAGCTTACGAAGATGAAATCGACCGCCAGAAACGCAAAGTCATCGCCATCAACAACGACCGGTCCGACATCAGCATGGCCGGCACGCAAAGAAAGGAACGTGAGAAGAGGCACTTGACTCAGCTTCAGGATCGGATCTTGGAGGAGAACAAAGCTCATCTAAAGGCCTACGGTCAAACGAGGACGAAACTGCAAAAAGAGAAAGACCGGTGGTTCGCAGGCATGCGTGGCAAGCACGATGCTCTGAACGTTGCTCTCCTGGAGCAGTGTTTCCTGCCCCGTCTGCTTTTGTCACCCATTGATGCGTTCTACTGCTTCAAGATGCTCAAGTTCCTTCATTCTACGGGTGCCCCCAACTTCCGAACTGTCGGCCTCTTGGATCAGCTCTTTCGGGAGCAGCGACTGACAGCTTTGATCTTCCAGTGTACATCAAGAGAGGCGGACAATCTTGGTCGCTTCTTGAACGAGGTGCTCCGTGATCTCGGCCGTTGGCATGCAGACAAGACGGTCTATGAGAAGGAAGCTTTTGGAAATAAGAAGGATCTGCCCGGTTTCGCCTTCAATGTTGACCCCGAAGGGAAGCCCGGGACCTTTCTTGAATATGAGGACTTCCGACGACTGCTGTACAAATGGCACCGTCTCATAGCATCAGCACTGAAAACCTGCTTGAATGGTGGAGAATACATGCACATTCGAAACGCTATCAGTGTACTCAAGGCCATCGTACAGCAATTCCCTGCCGTGAACTGGATTGGTCGAGACATGCGCAATAGCATGAAATCTCTTAGCGAGAATGATGAACGTGACGATGTCAAGATCCCGGCTGCTTCGCTCATCGGTGATCTCAACCGATGTGAAAAGAAGTGGATTCTTCCCCAAGCATTCATGATCGCAAGTCAACCCGCGTCAGGGAAGGCGAGTGCACCGAATGCGACAGGAAAGCCCGGCACGCCGCGCCCTCCATCTGATACTCCAGCTTCTTTGAATGCTTCTGCGCCCGAATTCAGACCTACAACAGCCAACGAGTAAGTCCCTTCTACTAGTACTGTTTCTTCCGGTGACATGTGTTCTAATGATCGGTGTTATCAATCTCAGAAACCAAGGCACTCCGAATACCGAGGCGTTGACCCGGGCAGAGGTTGAAGATGGTGAGATTGAAGATGCGAGAATGGCCGATGCGCCGGCCAAGGATGCGGAAGAAAGCATCCAATCAACTCAACAAGCCCAGACAACCGACACTGCAGCCTCTCAGCCCAATGTAGCTGAGGCCCAACATACTGAGACTCTAGAATCAAGTGGCCGCGGCCAGACCTGGGACGATAAAAACGCGCCCTCTCTGGCAGCAGGGCCATCTGAAGCCGAACCTGCTCCTCGTCCCCACGTTCCTGCATCACCTGCTGAGCCGTCAGCTGCACCCAGAGTTTCCGAGCCTAGTAGGCCGCCCCCCAATATTCCGAAGCGCCCCGACTTCGACAGAGCGCCGTCTGGGACACCAAACTCCCGTAATCAAACTCACCTTCCGACTCGACGACTGCCGCCACGACCTGATCTTATGGATGATCGACGCGAGAGACATGCAGAATACCCCCGCGGCGGCCGGTTCGGTGGGGAGCACGAGTACAACCGCCCGTTCGATCAACCGATGGGCGATGGGCGGACTTACGGTCGGCTTGAGCGGGGATTTCCTGGCCGGCCCCCTGTGGATGAGCCATTCCGCGGTCCTCCTCTTCGAGACGGACGACCTCAGCGGGAGAATGAGTGGCCGGATCGGACTGGCCGCTTGCGTCCTGACGGCCGAGACAGCCTTCCAAATGTCCGGCCAGGCATGCCCACTCACCCCGATCGCCTTGACATGATCCTTGATCACCCGGAGCGGCCAGGAGACAATTTTCGCAGGGGCGATACAGGAAGGCAGGAAAGAGACGAGCGGCGAGCTCTACCCGCCCGTGCGTTGTCGCCTGTGCCCGTGGAGCCCCCGAGTAGTCGACCAGAACGATTTCCGTCCGATGATCGTCGGTCTGCCAACTATCCTCAACCGCACATGCGCGGCGATGATATGCCCACAGGACCCAGCAGTGAGCGGTTTGGTCGGCAGCCCATTGATTCGGATCCTGGCGTTGACATGACGGCGGGACGTCTGAGGCAGCCCGAGCCATCGGCTGACGTGCCTCTTGGCCCGCGGGGTAGAAATCCGTCCGGGCGAGGTGGTCGTAACGTGTCCGGCACACCTCATACTGGCCTTTCGTCTACCGCTTCCAACACTGGAACTGCACCCGGCCGTCCGCCTCCTACAGGGCCTGGCCGCCAAAATGCTCGCGCTGCGCTGGATCAGCCGCCATCAGCGGGGCCTCCTTCGCCAACCGCCGAGAAGCTCGACACCAGTGGCATCCATCCTGACCGGTTGAAGGTCCTGCAACAACAGCCCAAGGAGACTTCCTATGGCGGCAATCCTAGGTCGCATCCTTCCTCATCCCCCGCCTCTGGCATTCCTCCTCCATCTGGTCCCCGGGGAGCTGCTGGACCACCTAGTGGGCCATCGTCGACCCCTCGGGGTCCGCCTTCTGGGCCTGGGTTTGGCGGTGAACGAGGCCGCGGCGACAAACGCTTCGCGGGGATCAACAACATGTTGCAGCAATCCGGAGGGCCGCCCGAGCGGAATCCCGGACCTATGATCCGGGGTCGCGGTGCCAACCGACAAGCGTCTGCTGCCAACGCCCCTTCCCCGCAATCAACGCGCCCACCCACTCCGGTGGGAATGGAGGAGAGTGGTCGTCTTGGCCCTCCTTCGCAAGGAAGACCCGACCTGCTCGCTGGACGACCCTCGGGACCATCGTACCCGGAGGATGACAGTCCTCGCAACCGATTTGGCAGTGGGCGAGGCGAATTGATTGACGAAAGCGGTTCTGAGGGCCGAAGATCTATACGATATTCTTCCGGCGGAAGCTTCAATCGCGGTGGCGGCGGCGGCGAGGAGGAGGGATCACGGGGGAGCAATCGCCGGGAGGACCACCGAGAACGCACACGGGATTATGAGCGCGAACGCAGCCGTCGCAGCGACGCTGGCGCGGGCACTCCGCGGGAAGAACGCTTCGAGTCTCGCGAGGTGTCTCGGCGCGGTGCGGGTGCACGCGAGGACAATCGACGACGACGAGAGCGCGATGACGGATCGGATCTTGCTCCCAGCGGCAGTCAAGACCATGAGGGACGCTTGAGGCCACCGTCTTCTCTTGGCGGACCACCCCCTCCAGCCCCGCCACCGGCTGGCGCGGAGGAGGAACCACGCCGCTGGAGCGGTGGGCGCGAAGGGCGAGACCGTGACCGCAACCGTGATCGTCAGCGCGATCGCGATTATCACCGGGACGGTGCTGGCGGCCCTCATCGCAAGCGCAATCGACCGGGCGACGAAGGAAGCCACGGCGAGGGAGGCGGACGAGGCGGAATGCGTATGGGAGGAGAAATTAAACGTCCTCGACGTGGGGGTTGATTTGATTGATACCAGTGGAATGCCATGTTTTCTTTTCTTTTCTTTAAGTGCCTCAGGTCTTCCTACACCCACCCACCATCTCTCATTCTCTCTCTTTCCTATTGAATTTACTTTGTATCTCGTGCACTGGATCCCATGCATTGTTGGACGGTGTTAGGATATTAATTCTTTTTTTTTTTTCTCTGCAGTGTTCTGCTGGAAGGCACCAACCAATTGGCTGAGCTTGTGGCCATCCTAGGGGGCAATTGCATTTGTGTAACATAGTAACATAGTACTGAACTGAACCCTTGACTGAAGTGAGATGAGGCCAGACTGGCCAGTTGTTATTGCACTATTCACCTGCAGTGGCAGGATGTAGTGGCAGGATGAATCGGATGGATTGCCAGTTGGACCGAAAAGGAAAGGTTTCCCCTTTTTGGTCGCGGGGGAAGGAAAGGGAAGCTGTTTGTTTTGTAGGCATTCGGCCCGGTATTCCGTCCGGCTAATCTTCGGCCTCCATTCGATGGCCGATAATTCTCCTTCTGCTCTGCATCATCTCTTCTTCTCTTCAAATCAGAAAAGATGTACTATGAATCAAACCCCCTCCCCGGCCTTACCAACCGACCATCCGTCGCCCATCATCATCCCTGCGATCGTGGTGGATCCTGCATTGGGCCCTCTCCCCTCAGTGCAACCATTCCGGCTTCTGAATACGACTGAGTCAGTGCGACATGCAACTTGACTATATCTACTCTCCCTACTCCCTCCATTCCTGCTCTTGAAACATGACGGCATTCCCTCCCCCGCCGTGTTCTCTTATCGCCTTATCGCTCTATAGCGCTCTCTCCCCTCTCTGCACAACTCCCCGCTGAACAATTGCTGAAGGCAATTCGTCCTTCATCTCTTCGAAAAAAAAAAAGAAAAAAAAGAAAAGAAAAAACAACCTCAGCTAGATCTCCGTGGGGATATTTCCTGCATGATGACGCGCATAGACGTGGAAAAGGTCCTGGAGGAGCTCACGCTCGGCGAGAAGGTGGCTCTCACAGCGGGTGAGTGACTCGACATCTCAGCCCACTCACTAAATCCGATGAGGATCTCTCTGATTACTGTTCTATGGTTCTTTTCTGCCAGGCATTGACTTCTGGCATACTGCCTCTGTGCCCCGATTGAACATCCCCTCCCTCCGCATGTCCGACGGACCCAATGGCGTGCGGGGCACCCGCTTTTTCAACGGCGTTCCTGCCGCCTGCTTTCCGTGCGCCACCGCGCTCGGGGCCACCTGGGACACGGAGCTTCTGCACCAAGTCGGACGGCTTATGGGCGAGGAGGCTATTGCCAAAGGATCGCACATCATTCTTGGGCCGACCATCAACATCCAGCGCTCCCCGCTGGGCGGTCGCGGCTTTGAGTCCTACGCCGAGGATGGAGTCCTGTCGGGGACGCTGGCGGGCCACTACTGTCGGGGTGTACAGGAGAAGGGAGTCGCGGCGACGCTGAAGCACTTTGTCTGCAATGACCAGGAGCATGAGCGTCTGGCGGTCGACACGATCATCACGGACCGCGCCTTGCGGGAGATCTACCTCCTGCCCTTCCAGTTGGCTATGCGTATCTGTCAGCCCGCTTGTGTCATGACTGCATACAACAAGGTCAATGGAACACATGTGAGCGAGAACAAGAAGATCATCACAGATATCTTGCGAGAGGAGTGGGGGTGGGATGGCTTGGTGATGAGCGATTGGTGAGAGAGTTGCCTGGTACTCCCGTGGTTGGAATGCGCAACACTGATTCAAGTCGCATGCAGGTTTGGAACCTATAGCACCTCTGACGCGATCAATGCGGGCTTAGATCTGGAGATGCCGGGCAAGACACGCTGGCGTGGAACGGCCCTGGCACACGCCATCTCCTCCAACAAAGTCGCCGAGTTCGTCATGGATGAGCGCGTACGCAATGTGCTCAACCTGGTCAACTGGGTTGAACCGCTCGGGATCCCCGAGCACGCCGAGGAGAAGGCTTTGAACCGCCCGGAGGACCAGGCGCTACTCCGACGGGCAGCGTCGGAGTCGGTGGTGCTCATGAAGAACGAGGAGAACATTCTGCCTCTGAAGAAGGAGAAGTCGATTCTCGTGATCGGGCCCAATGCTAAATTCGCGGCCTACTGCGGAGGCGGCTCGGCCTCGTTGGACTCCTACTACACGGTGACTCCATTTGAGGGCGTTTCTGCCAAGAGCCAGGGCCCCGTGGCATTCGCCCAGGGCGTCTACTCCCACAAGGAGCTGCCCCTGCTGGGTCCGTTACTCAAGACCGAAGATGGCAAGACGGGCTTCAAGTTCCGGGTCTACAACGAGCCCGCCTCCGAGTCCAACCGCACGCTGGTCGACGAGCTGCACCTGGTCTCCTCCAGTGGCTTCCTGATGGACTACGTCAACCCCAAGATCAAATCGTTTACATTCTACGTGGACATGGAAGGCTACTTCACCCCGGAGGAGGACGGCGTCTACGACTTTGGCGTGACCGTGGTCGGGACGGGCAAGCTCTACGTTGACGGCGAGGTCGTCGTCGACAACACCCAGAACCAGCGGCAGGGCACCGCCTTCTTCGGCAACGCCACCGTGGAAGAACGGGGCTCCAAGGCGCTCAAAGCCGGACAGACCTACCGCATCCTCCTCGAGTTCGGCAGCGCGCCCACCTCCGATCTGGACATGCGCGGCGTCGTGATCTTCGGGCCCGGCGGATTCCGCTTCGGCGCCTGCCGCCAGATCACCCAGGAGGAGCTCATCTCGCAGGCGGTGCGCCTCGCCGCGAGCGCCGAGCAGGTCGTCATCTTCGCCGGCCTGACCAGCGAGTGGGAGACCGAAGGCCACGACCGCGACCACATGGACCTGCCGCCCGGCAGCGACGAGATGATCTCGCGTGTGGTCGACGCCCACCCCAACGCCGTCGTCGTCCTCCAGAGCGGCACCCCGGTCACCATGCCGTGGGTGCACAAGACCAAGGGCCTCCTGCACGCCTGGTTCGGCGGCAACGAGTGCGGCAACGGCATCGCCGACGTGCTGTACGGCGACGTCAACCCCGCCGCCAAGCTGCCCGTCTCCTTCCCCGTCCGCCTGCAGGACAACCCCAGCTACCTCAACTTCCGCTCCGAGCGCGGCCGCGTGCTGTACGGCGAGGACGTCTACGTCGGCTACCGCTACTACGAGAAGCTCGACCTCCCCCCGTTGTTCCCCTTCGGCCACGGCCTGTCCTACACCACCTTCGACCGCCAGAACCTGCGCGTCACCACCGTTCCCGAGCAGCTGGCCTGCACCGCCGACGCCGCGCCCGAGCCCGTCTCCGTGACTGTCAGTGTCACCAACACCGGCCCCCTGCCCGGCGCCGAGATCGTGCAGCTGTGGGTCCGCCCGCCCCCGACCGGGGTCAACCGGCCCAAGCGCGAGCTGAAGGGCTTCACTAAGGTGATGCTGCAGCCGGGGGAGACCCGGGCGGTCGAGATCGCGGTCGAGAAGAAGTTGGCTACGAGCTGGTGGGACGAGCAGCGGGGGAAGTGGGCGTCGGAGAGCGGGGTGTATGAGGTGCAGGTGACGGGGACGGGTGAGGGGGTGTTGAAGGGCGAGTTTACGGTGGAAAAGACGCGGTACTGGTTGGGTTTGTAACATCCATCCATTTAACTAGAACTAGTCCAGCCAAGCTACGTGGTTGGGATACACGGTGTTCTTGGGGGGCGAGTCGGAATCTGAGATGACAGTGTCTATATACTCTTCAGGCAGGGAAGGGCTCGTCCTCTACATACTCGGGTAGTGGATGTTATGCTGTGATGTGAAATGTGCTATGAATTGATGGATTGAGGCTTGCTTGTCCTCTATATACCGGCTAAGGAAACGAGAGAGTCGTAACGATGATGCAAGTACTCTAGCTACCGGGGAATCGTGATTGCTTAGGCATGGCTACTGATACAACGCCAAACGTAACCTCTCAGCGATCACGGGATACGTAGAGATACATGCACGGGTATTAGCATTCATGGCCAAGACCCCACATCCACATCCACATCCACATCTCATCACTCTCCTCCCAACTATGATAAGAACCTTCAAGTGCCCAGATAAGGCACCACGCCCTCCAAACTAGACGACCCGTTCAAGACACCCCCCTCCTCGTCCGGTGTCCGTGCACGTCCACGGCCTTTCGTAACCCCTCGTCCCGTCCACCAACCCGCGAGTCGTTTCAGTAGCGTCGTAGGGGCCCTCGGGTGACGGTCCACCTCGAGCACCGAGTCATCATCATCATCCTCCGCCGCCGCGCCGCGACGGAAGAACCTCCGTTTCAGTTTCGATGACACGGACGCCGTGGAACGACTGAGCGCCGACCACGAGGTCTTGAGTCGCGACGCACTAGTCCCCGGGCGACGCGGGTAGGCTGGTTCCGGGGGGCGGGGGAGGGTGGAGGGGTCGGAGTGAGCGGGAACTTTGTTTAGGGTTGTGGTGGTTGCGTCGTCGACGAGGTGGTTCTCATGACTTGCAAGCTCAGGCTGGTCTGCTTTTGGTGGGGGATGCTCTGTGGTCCTTTCATGCTCGAGCTCACGCTCAGACTCACGCTCAGGCTCAGGCTCAGGCTCAAGTTCTTGGTCCGCGGACGGAGACGTCGGCAGAAGCGCAACGCTTCCTGTCGTCATCTTAGCCATGACGGCCTGCTGAAGGCCGAGGTCGCGCTCGAGCTCTTCGGCGGAGGTCATGATGTGGGCGTTGCCGTTGGTGTCGATGATCGTGGGGGGTTCTTCTGTTCCATCGGAGTGGAGGTGGGTCGGGTACGTCGGGGTGTATGTGGAGTGGCGTTTCGTTGCTGCGGTGTCTTGTGCAGGGTCAACGTTGGAGGGTTCGGATGTGGTTGTGGTCGTGGCCGGGTTGAACACCCTCGAATGTCGGGCTGAGCTTGCTGCGTTGGTTGTTGCCGACAGACCCAGACTCGGTGTGCTGGTGGTCAGCAGCGACGCGCCGACGCCGCCAGGGCCGACGCCGCCGACGCCCCCGGCGGAGGAGGTGATGTAGTCGGCGGCGGTGTCGGGGTCGAGGAAGACCTCGACGTCGGAGTCGTTGGCGAGGTCGGGATGCTCGTCTTGAGCGTCGGGATAGGCGTCCTTGTTGTTGGTGGGTGCGGAGTCGGTGGGGGACAGGAAGGCGGCTGTGTCTTGGTCGCGCCGACGCTGCTTGGTGTCGCTGCTAGGCGCTTCTTCGGTCATTGCACCGCGGGTCAGGAATTGTTGATCGACCGACGAGGTCGGGCTCGTGTCTTCACTGCTCGTCGCGTTGTTACTGCTATCCGTCGGCGAGAGGCTGGTCGGCACCGTTCGATAGACGGTGCTTTCTGATTCTGTGGTGGTCGTTGAGACCGTGATCGGACTGATGATCACATCCTCCTCGCCTTCTGGTGCGGTAGGTGAGATCGGGCTGACAATCATACTCTCTTCTGCCGGCGCGGTAGCCGCCTCTGACTTTCCGGCCTGGGACGACTCCACGCGGTGCATTGTGGTGGAGTCCGAGTGCGAGGATCCCAGCTTCGACCGCTGGCCCTCTCTCATCGTCGCTATACTCGGCTGCTGTGTCAATCCCACCCCGGAATCATACTTCTCCCCGCCGCCACCGCCAGCCCCATCACGAGCGAAGAGCCCGCCGCCCAGTCGTCCCATCATCCCACTGCGCAGCTTCTTTGTCGTGCTTGACAGAAGGTACTTGGCATCGACCTGGGCGGCCGCCGCCGCACTGCTGCCCGCAACGGCGGAAGGGGCTGTTACCGCCGAGACGCGTTTCTTGCGGGCGGCGCCTCTGGCTCGATCAGGGCAGTAGTTGGAGGAAATCCCTTGTTCAATCCGGTAAACCAGTAAAGAGCAGGCGTAGCGCACCTGGGCTTCCAGTTCCGGGGAGAGTTCTTGGCGGGTGCTCGAGCGGCTCTCTTCATCCTCTTCTTCGGGTTCATTTTGCATCACGGTAGTTTCATTCTGCTTCTGGGGCGTGAGGTCATAACATCGTGGAGTTTGGTCATCAAGGCTGTCGTTGTGGAGGGCGAACGTTGGTTTCTGGGAGTATTCCATCAGCATTGCTTGAATCACAACCCAGTAGGGATCCCATGTTTTCACACTTATAACATCTGGGATCTTTGGGGGCTGGACAGGAAATCACGCACATTCGAGCCGAAGAGGAAAGAAAACGAGGTGCGCTTTTTCAAAAGGAGGTCCTTGGTCAGGAAATCCATATTCTTCGTTATGTTCGGACCGACTGCAGAAGGCGAGTCGGCAAAGGGTGGAAAGGTGGATCTATTGGCGCGGACCGGCAACGTATATGATTACCTTGACTATCATTGATCCCTGGAGAAGAACAAGATTGTCTCACAAACGAGAGGGCTGAATAGTTTAAGTCGCATGGGAATGACGATTGAGGCCAGGTCCGATCCTCAACGATCTTGGTTTGGTCCGCTGGGCAACGAAAGTGCCCAAAAGAGCCGCCCAAAACAAACCTTCTTTTTCTTCTCGCGATTCAGCCCAACCCAATGCGGTCGTCGACAATGGAAGCGAAAAGTTGTCCGGGCAGCCTCAAGGAGGATAGCAAAAGCCGCAATGGGAAGCTGGAATGCGGGGGGTAGAGGTGAAATAGGGAACAGACAATTCCTCATTCTCCGGGATTACAAGAAGTAGAAGAATGAAACTCGCCCAGCCGAGCGAAGCAGGCAAGCCACCCACACACCCACACCCATCATCATGATGACAGGAGGGTCTCAGACTGAAGGAGATATGGGAGTGCCTGCCTGCCTGCTTACTTGCATTGCACATTGCACGGAATAGGACCAGTCTCGTAGTCCACCAACCTGCATTGCATCTCCGCCGACGATCGACTTTTATTGGCAAGGGGAAGGCCCGCGGGGGCTGCGCGGCGCGCGCGCACAACGGCGGCGGCCAAACGAGCGGGGGAAACAGGCTATTAGACTTTTTGTACGGATGAGACAGCAGGTGAGGAAGCGTGGTTGGCATCAAACCACTCGCGTAGAACGGTTGGAATCGCAGAGCGCCGATTGAACTCTGACGACACTCACGCTTTTGTCAAGGTATGGGCGGGTGTTGGTTGTGTGTGGTGTTTGACCCCGACATCCCTCCACATCCCTGCCTCTCTAAGCTTGATCCTGCAGGGACTATCACTCTCAATGCAGGACACAAAACACGGCTATTCGCTGCAGAGGACCAGGATGGGGAGAACCCAGCTGAATCCAGATCGTCCTGTCGCGAGAGGAAGAGCAGCAGGCGGGATCCCCTTACTGGTGAATCGTAACAATGAGAGATTTCCACCCTGTGGGGAGCTTCTCTGGTGAAGCTGTCAGTTGTGGTCTCGCTCTTTGGTTCAATCTTCACTAAGACGCGACATGGCTAGCCAACGAAGCTCACATTGCACAGCCAGGCATATGGGTGTCTAGACCATTGCAATTGGAGTTGTGATTCCACGTTGGAAATGAGTCACGCAGGAGATTCCATTGCTTCTTTGGGGCCAGGAGACCCTTGCAAGGGGTGGGCTGGTTAGACTTCTCGACTCGCCAGCCAGGAAGGGATGGATGGATCAAGGGGAAACTCCCAGACTCCCGATCAGGAGAATGAAATTGGATGGATCAGAAAGCAGATTTCCCGGGATTTTCAGTTCAGACAAATGAAGGTCTTCCACCCCATGACGTGGAGAGAGAGAGAGAGAGAGAGAGGAGGGGGAAAAAAAGCAAAGAGACCAAAGACCCTGAATGTGATCTGTCATGTGATGTGTACCACTGCTGCTGGGCTCTTCCCTCCCACTGATGGGTTCTGTATGCATCATTGCTTGTGTCTCAATCTCACCGTCACCAAATTAACTATACGATCGGTTATCGTCTGTTATTTGCAGGAGAACTCCCGGAAGAGTTAAGACAAGGCTCCCTGAATAGCAGACAACATCAACCATATTCCCCCGACCCATCACATCAACCTCACACCAGCCGGCAGCTCGCTCACCCAGAGACCCCGGATTCATACTTTGGACACCTCCAACAGGGCGGACGCCATGCATACAACGACTCTACCGCGTCTCTAACAGCCCTGCGAAGCCATGCAATGATCTCTCCGGTTCGTGTAAAAACCGTCCATTCACCGTTCATCTCATTACGCCGTCACGTCATTTATTCCACTGCTGTGTGGAATGCACGACGATTCCCCGCAGTTGTGAGAAAGAAATCCGGATTCAGGCGCATGGTGCGCAGTGGCATTACGAGTGTGAGGCTTCGAGCGCGCGGATGAAGGTTATCATGCAGCGTTCGGGGTCTGTTCGCTCTCCGCGTGCGGTGCATAAGGGATAGAGACAGTTAGTCGCCTTGTGCTTAATGCAGGATGGGGGCCCACTGATACATAACATAATAGCTACCAAGAAAGTGTCCGGATGGGAATACTTCCAACAGTACGAAAGCTATACACCAAGGCTATGCAAAACAACAAAACTGATTGTCTATTCCTTCATCATACTATGTACGATCGAACTCTTGTAGAATGGTCGCCCACCACCCTCGGACTGTGGTTGCGTGGCAAAGCCACACCGATAAGGGCTTATCGATGGAGAGCAGTTGGATGCTTCTTTACAGCCTTACCTGTGACTAGGAAACGAGAGAGGCAGTTAAGTGCTCATCTCTCTGACTGGCTTAAATATGACAATAAACATGTGTGCACCGCTACTTCCCCCAGGGCGCCTGGTCCTGGCGGGGTCCGAAGCCGCCGGCGCGTCCTCTCGTCGCCGAGAGAATGGCCAGACTGCGTTCCCCTTTCTGGTGTCAGGCATCTGTGTTGTGTGTAAAGGCTGCAAGGAATGCGCCAAAGGTGATCTGGATAATGGGAAGGTCAGTCTACCAGGCGGTGATGTCTTCCACCTCCGCTTCGCCGAATGTGCTGCTCTTAGTTAGCTTGTTCACGCCGTCCACGGCCTCGGCGCCTCCCTCCGGGACCTTGGACATGATGTCCGGCAGGACCTCGCGGAAGAACTCCAGGATGTACTTGTTGACCTGCTCGAACTGCAGGAGGAAGGCGTCGTGGCCCTCGGGACTCTCTATCCGCTTCAGTCTCGAGTCCGGGATGCCAGCCGCAATCTCCTGCTGCTCCTCAAAGGTGAACAGACCATCCGTCTCGATCCCCAGCACCAGCGCAGGTTGCTCGATCTGACCAAGTGCCTCGCGGACAGGGTCCTTGGAATCCGCACTGGCCCGATGTCTCGACACATCGTGCGTGTCGAGTTTCCGGGTGATCGCAATATAGCAGTTGGCGTCAAACCTCTTCACGAACTTCTCGCCCTGGTAGCGAAGGTAGGACTGGGCCGAGAAGTAGGTCGGAAGCTTCTTCTGGTTGCCCTTGGGTTCCACAGTCTTGCTGAAAGTCTTGGTTCCCGAAAACTGCGGGTCCTGGAAGAGGACCTCGGCCGGCTGAGCAAGGATGGGCGACTGAGGCACAGGGGAGCTGCGCCCACTGCTCTTGTGGCCATCGTTGTGGACGGCCCAGTGCTCGTTGGGCGGGCTCGGCTGTCTCTCCGTGCCATTAATGTTCTGGCGTTTCGAGGGGTCGGGCACATTTCTGCCGAATCGAGACTCGAAGGAGTTGCGACTGCGGTAGGTGAGAAGGGCAGACATGCGAGCCGCACCCAGGCCGGTCGCAGGAGGATCGTCGAACGAGTAGTAACCGTCCTCATACTTAGGGTCACTGTAGATGCTTTGACGTTGCGCTTCACCCCAGCTGATACACCAGGCCGAGTGGCGAGGGGATGTGGCGATCGGACAGATCGCACGGACATACTCTTTGCCGAAGTAGGCGTACTCGAGGGTGAGCATACCTCCCATGGAGCCACCCACAACCGCTGCGATCTGCCGCACGCCAAGGTCGTCCAGTACTATCTTGTGGATCCTGATCCAGGTTAGACTTGATCCTTTCCCAGAGCAAATCTGGGCATGACATACCTCACATCATCCCGCACAGTGGTGAGAGGAAACTCGGGGCCATAGAGGCCCTTTTCCGGGTCTCCGTCCTTGTAGGTCACGGCGCTGGCACTGCCATACGGACTGCCCAGACTGTTCAGGCAAACAACAAAGAAACGCGAGGTATCAAAAGCCTGACCAGGGCCACCGAGCAGAGGACCCCACCAGTCCGCGACATCCGCGCTGCCACTGAGGGCATGGCAGATCACCAGAACATTATCTCCGTTCGGGGAGAGTTTGCCACGGGTGGTGTATGCCACTGGGACATTGTGCAGGGTGACACCAGACTCGAGAGTGAACGAGGGGATGATCGCGATAGATTGATCGGTAATCAGCGCCGAATAAGGGTTTTCAGGTTGCGAGGCGACTCTCTCTACGGGATTTAGTAGCCGTTCACCTGGATATCGCGGGGACCAAATGGAGCGGGGGCGGGGGAAGGGATTTCTGGGGGAGGGGGGATACTGACGGAGTTTGCCAGAGGCACCAGCAGATTCTGTGACCATTCCGGCGAGAGGATGTCCAGAAAATCAATGCGCTATGAGAGCAAAGGCGAGTTCAAAGACAGAAGAGTGAAATCACGAGAAATTAAACAGCTTTTGTAGAGAGATGGAGGAGGATGAAGTTAAGGAGGGAAGGGGAGGAGGCCGTATTTTCAAGTTTTCCGCGGGTGACTCATGCGTCATGGCCGCCCAATCGGAATCCCTGGCTGCAACATCTCTCACGTGATGCGTATTTGGATACGACGAAGGCTTGACTCTTGCGGATTTTGCATGATTCAATCTACACCCGCTAAACTACACTAGACAGTCTCCACCGAAGATCTCGACGCTTCCTTCTGCTCAGACCGAATACTGCCCCATCCCATTCCCCACGCAACCACAAAACAAGCGCATGAACAACCCACACAGAGGAAGAACACGCGGTCGATGGTCTCGCAGTATGCCAGCAAGACCCCAGGGAGATCTGCGACCGACACGACGCTCCGCAATCCCGTTGCTCCTGCAGTCAGCACCTCTTTGGCACTTACACTCGGCGCATGTTTCGGAAGTAGTTCCCTTAACCCTGTGGTTTGAAATGTTTGGGAAAAGCTGAGGAATAAGGATGCCCCCAGCGTTGAGCTGAACGTAAGCAAGCCCATCGCGACAGGCACCTGTGGGGGTGGGAGTGTGCTTTGCACGGCAATCACAGGCTGATAACGCTCGAATTCAGTCTTACGTACGGAGGATTTGCAATGCATGTGAACTCACCAGCTGGATGCCCATCCCTTCGCCGACTCCTGCCAGTACCTGGTAACCAACCCACCTGCCAGGGGATGAATCCGGCCTGAAAGTGGCCATCAAGCCACTCGAGACACCATTGAAGATCGAACTGATGAGGACGTAGGGTAAGTAGTAGCCCTGCCATTCAACTAGGGTCCATCAGTCACGATCCAGACGCCAGAGAATTGAACGTGATGGCCTACCCAGCATGCCCACAAGAAGCGCCGCAAGCAATTGAGGTACCATCGTGGGTAGGCGATATAATCCACTGAAGAAAGGCGAGGCGCCCTTGACGGCCTGGAAGTATATCGGCACGTAGTAGTCTTTGCAGATGATCAAACTCATTAGGAAGCCGAAGTTCAAACAGCTGCAATATACTACTCGATTCGACAGGATGTTGAAAGGGATCATTGCTTCTGCGCCTTTGGAGGCCTCCCAAATCAGAAAGATGGCAAACGTGCAGCCTGCACCACAGAACAAACCAATAATGGTAGCACTGCCCCAGGGAAACTCGTTACCCCCGTATTGCAAGGCTAGCAGCAGCTGGATGGCAGCTGGAGCGAACAAAAGGAAGCCAACCAAGTCTAATTGTCGGTGGATTGAGCGGAGGACTGTCCACACTGGAGGCTTTTGAAGCTGTTCTGGGATGTGAATGAATGCGATCAGGGCTGCGACAACGCCTCCAATGGGCAGATTTAGATAGAAGCCGGGAGGCAAGTTAGCAGGGCTCTCAGAAGAAGAGGCCGGGGGTGCCTACACCAGCGCCAGGTTGAATATTCTGTCAAGGCCCCCCCAAGCAGAGGGCCGATGACCAATCCCATTTGCGCAACTGTGACTGTCAGTCCGCCTCTTCCCTGCTTAGATTATGAACACCTACTCCCCATCGACAACCCGATGAGTGCTATGCATGTGTCAGATCTTGTTTCAGGTATCAGGGATCTCGGAGCTGACATGGTCTTTTGCTCATGGGAACCGAGCTGGCAATGATGGTGAAAGCGCCGGTCTGGATACCAGCACCGCCCATCCCGGCCACAGCACGCGCAACAATCAACATTAGGGACGAGCTGGCGAGACCACATAGAAGCGATCCCAGTTCGAAGACGGCGAAGAACGCAAAAAAGGTCCACTGTGATAAGTCACCGCCTGCTTCACCAACGCTCTAGCTTGACACCCTACTTTTGCATTAAAATTGGTATATAGCTTACCGGCTAGAGGTTGCAAAGCAGCACTTGGTCAAGTCAGCACTCGGGTGGAATGGATCGAGAAACAGAGATGAAGCTCACCTGGCCAATTGGTACGAGCTACCGTACCAACCAACATCGTCGAGGGAGTGGAACTCACTGGTTATTCTAGGAATAGCCTGCGTCGAGGTTAATGGTGGACGAACACTCCCTGGCGAGTTGAACCTACTGTCGAGATGATAGACATGTCCAGCAGCATCAAGAAGCTCACAACCGTGATGCCCATGAAGACCGCTGTCAACCTCCAGCCAGTGATCCATTCTTGTCGTGGTTCAACTTGGCTGATGTCAGGAAGACTGGTTGTGAGGTCGTCTTCGTTCTTCTCGGATAAAGAGAGTGTATCCTGTTCGACTTTTGCATTCATTGCAACGGATTCAAGCTAGGCTCCTCGTTCAACCAGTTCACAGGAGATATGACAATTTCTTCTACCTTGAAGAAACCAGGATGTACTGAATTTGCAAGTTAGCTTCCGCGTTGTCTTCCTTGCTCGAGCGTGCAGATAGCAGTCAATAAACCTCCGGAATATTGAGCGCCACATTCGATATAAGACGCACCGCTGGCCTGGCGTTCTGCGTTGCCTCTCTTGTGCCCTGTCAGCAGTCAGTTGATTCATCTCTCGTGCTAGCCAGTGATATATCACAGTAGGGACTGATACATCATTCTTCTCAGCCGAACTACCTACCGTTAGATTCAGTTTCTGTGCCATAGATGCCCCTGAATCTTACTCATCATCAGAATTCAATAAACAAACTAAGCATAAGATTCTAATTCGAACAACCTGAAGCACAAATAATCATAACCGAACAGCATATTTACAACTCAACAACAAACTTCATCGCCGACACCCCCTTCTTCAACAAATCCAGTTCGCTCTGCACCGACTCCAAGCCCCGACCCACGACTGACCGCCACTAACACCAACACCGACGGCGTTCGATACATCTTCTCCTGCGGTGTTGATTGCGAGATTCGGGATCTCATTCCAGAACATGATCAGGATTGGCCTACCGCCTACCTAGTTGAGTTGGGAATGCTCAGGATGAGCAGTGCAAATGAGGAGGAATAGCTTACGGCACTTATTAAACAAGTGGAAAGTTCTATGTCATCTCATGAATATAACAAGTCGATGACCCGGTTGGAGTCACATTCTATGATACGAGCCAGAATAAGAGCACATTCGGAAAGTAGAAGAGACTATGCAAGACGCGTAAGGTGAAATAACTCAACGGAATTGGTATCGATTTTAACAAAAAGTCTAGGATCTGGCTTGATGTTATGGCATATCTTGAGTGAACAATCCGTTTCAATCCCACGATGCTGTGATATCCCAGGAGAAGACTTTCCCTCTCCGTATAACTAAGTATTGATGCAGCATCACAACTACCCGGTATATGATTTCGAATAACCTCCAACCGGAGACGAGAATTCCTCGTCCAGCCCCCCTGCAATCCCCCTGAAGCACGCCACATCACACATTTTGGAGTCAGAACCACACACCCAGGTGATGACTGCTAACGACTACTTATATAGCTTCAGCTATTCACAATTAGACAAATGATCTGTAGAAGAGAGGAAAACTCTGAAGATAAGAGTAAGCATCCCGTACTCTTTGCTTGAAATCGTGGGCGAGGTGGACTGACAAAATCGCTGGTTCGTTCCATAGCGCGTCAAGATGGAAGTCGTCATCATCAGCTGTACCTGTGGCGAAAGACGGTAACCTGGACAGGGCATCGGGTATATATGTAGCTTTCCGAGTTTGTACACCACCAGGAGCTGGAACTGCTGCAAATACTGAGCTGCCCGGATAAGGCGAAGGTTCAACTGGGTGGTTGACATCGATGTCAATGAAATTTGCTCCAGAAGGGGTTTGATGGCCTGGTGATCAGTATAGACCACCGTTTTCCGCGGAGCTTGGACGAGGTGCTAAGGGTCGGAATTTCAGGATAGTCGGGAAAATCAATGTTCCAGTCTGGTGGATAGAGAAGTGTGTTGATGACTTTGGTGGTTTTGTTGTTCTGTTAACGTAGGTTGCATAGTAGACCGTATCCTCGTCTAGCTGCTGGACATGACGACTATCTGATGGATTATAGAATACCTATAGCAATGGTTCCGTGCGTCGTAATACCTTCCTGTCTTACCCGATTCTTCTTTTTGTTGGTGGGGGGGGAAGAAAAAGTCGGCGTTCTGAGGAGTCATCTCTGGTACTCTGAGAAAACGTATCCGGAAAAACCCAGCATCGTTGCCTGGCATGCTACCAACTTGTAGCGCTGACGTTGGGCTTCTGGCCCTCAAGATGTTACGACGTGATGCAGTTGCTGATTGGATGAAGCTATTCCTATGTATGATTAGCACCAACCCCTAGAAGGCTTTGCAAGACAACAGAAAAAGACAGGAAGAAGGTCTGAAATAGACTGACTGATTCTTTTTCTTTGATCTGGATGTTGGGACATGCCATGAGTTATAAGAAATCAGGTGCGCAAAATAGAGCCACTGAAGGTCACTATTGGCCATCTGCTAGAGCTGCTGAGGACTTCAAGGGACTTATTCAAGTGGAAGTCTAGAAGCCAGATTGAAGAGAAAAAAAAGGTTGGTTAATTGTAATGAGGGAATATGATCAACAGATCGGCTGGAGTGTGTGGCGCACCCGGTGAGATTTGACCGGAAGGCCAATGAAAGGCAGACATAGGCATCTTCACTAAGATGTCTTGTAAACAGTCGGACAGAGCCACAAAGAGCTGTCTTGCCGAGGGGACAAGGACGCCTGCAAAGCAATTGTAAGAGATGGACTCTGAACAATATGATAATAATGGTGCATAAGCATACAAGATCTGCTGTGTGATTACTGATCACGAGGTCGTTGGAGTCAATACTTCGTATAGTCGGGCAGTGGATTCCTATTGTATATTCAATATCGCGTAATTCTCCGGCGAAGCGGACTGCTTCATCGTCGCAGAATGAAGTTCTTCGCTGTCGTTCTCTTGATGAATTGAGCTAAAAGCATACTCCAAAGATTTGCGAACGCATCGAGCTGGCCAACAAGGACCTTGCAAAATTTGCCATACTCTTGTGAAGCTTCACTGGTGCGGACAAGCTGTTGCTCGCGGTTGTAGGGTCGGTTATGAATTGAAAGTACTCGTCCGCCAGTGAACAATGAACACCGCCCACGCTGACACAGTCGTTGCACTTCTGCCCTATCCCTCCTGATACAGTCGCGGAACGCCCTTCTGGATGAAGGGTCGCGACAGTATCCACACACCTAGTCGGGCGGGGGCTCATGGTCAACTTGAGTCATGAGGCTGCCCTCGCGGAGTTGGAACGAACAGTCAGCTGCGATGTATTGCTTCACCTGCTGTACGACAAAGACCGCAACCCAGGCTTAGTACATTCTGCTCAACTGTGTCGATGGGACTGTGATATCCAAAGCAAAAGCAAAACACCGCAATCAACAGACACTCTTTATAAAGAAATACCAGCAAAGATAACTAAGCACAAATCAGGAGAATCCTCTCCCACAAAGAAGGTACTTACCAAGAAGGATTTGATAGAACAGCTGCATATTCTGAGTGAAAAGGAATAGATAGAGTAGCACCAGTCTGATATAGTTAAACCTTTCTGGATTGAGTTGTGGAAAGACTGCCTTAAGTATACAAGCCGAAATAAGAGGAGTCTGGGTTTGGCTGCTGTCCAAGAGCAAATGATTAAAGAAGAGGCACGAGGCCTGGCCAAGTACACAAGGAGAACCCACAAAAGCACGAGGCTGATCAGGATCTACCGCACCGATTCGCAGTTGAGGGAATTTATCTGCACAACTATCACCCCAGGTGCCCAACTTGATCATCGTCGACATCAAGGCTCATGCCATTCGTGGCTTAGCTGAGGTCAAGACATTTTGGAGATTCGAACAGCAAAAGGGCCAAACCTGGGACCAAGACATTGCCGGGAAACTAATGTCGATTCTTATTCTTTGATATGTTTCAGCATTCTAAATCCTGGTATCGTATCCATCTGATTCTCAGAAAAGCCACGCTGGTAGAACAGTCCATCGCTTTGGTTCAGATTTGCTGATTTCACTTGGATCATAAACATTGCCAGGTGATCTCGAGTATACCAGTCGTGCTTTTGTGGGGTTCTCCTTGTGTACTTGGCCAGGCCTCGTGCCTCTTCTTTAATCCATTTGCTCTTGCACAGCAGGCAAACCCAGACTTCTCTTAGTTCGGGTTGTATACCAGGTTCTGAAATTCGACCATTCATGTCGTCTCTGGGTAGTCTTCCGAGCGCCGAAGATAAGAAAACGCGTTGCCCGCCAAAGCGGCCGAGGCGCAGCCCACTACAGGGCGCAACGACAGGTCCCAAACTTCTTCGCTATCCTCAGTGAAGAAGAAATCGGCACCGTTCCCCAGCATTCTACCGTGAACGTATTTCTCATCCGAGCGATAACCCTAAGGGCGAGGACGTTCGTAAGACTATGGAGAAATGATATAGTTGCAAAGTTGACACTCCAATAGATGAAGTCAGGCTAAATCAAGTAGGGGGCTGATAACCTGATGAGAGCGTGAAGAGGTGTTGATGCTGCCTAACTCTGTGAGATTATTTACACGCGGTGCGTTAAACGGTAAGCTGTCCAGCCTCTCAGGAGGCCCCGGGCTCCGTCAATGGTTGTTGTGCAAGCGACAGCATTGAGAGGTATTCGAGGACCTGAAATTGCAATGCCGCGGCACAGCGGTCACCTTGCCAGACCACGCTATTGTTGAATGCACTGGCCTCGCCTGACCCTCACTTCGCCCCTGGCTTGGAGAAGCTGCATCTTCTCGCTCATGGCAGTAGAGCTTGATAATCTGTAGACAGGCCATTTTCGCTCATAGATCGTAGCGTTGACAGGTCCAGTCCAGTCATAATCATGTCATATCGGAACTTTCGCATCGTCGATGTACCTGTGTTCTGCTGATGGTTCATAGCAAAGACAGCGACTCTGGTGCCCGGATATAGATCCGTTCAATCTGCAAATTGGTAGTTTTGAGGGAGACTTTGATATTTCTACCTCTAAGATTGACATCAACTGACCGGCCAGGGTTCGAAAGGTGATGGACCTCCTCATCAGTAAAGATAATGATTCGCAGGCTGCTCACTTGAACCAGACTTGTATTGATCTTACTTAAAAGATCAGCTTCCTCTAACCTCACCTGGAAAGAGCGCGGTTGGCTGTGTAAGATAGAATCATACTGGCCGGGTGGCTCACATGTATTTCAAGTGGAACACGGACTCGGGGTGTTTTAAGGACCCCGCCGCAGAGCGCGCCGCATCCATAGTGACGGCACTGTCTCGTGGTAGAACACAGCGTCTAGCAGGTACGAATATACCATTGCAGGAATTCAGGCATGTGAACTGAGACTCTCCTGGTCTCAGTCTCTCTCTTTGACGACAGTGCTAGTCATTCCAGACACTCTGTATGGATTCTCTGTATGGATTCACGTAAACGATTTCGTTCACATCTTTTCGCTAGAAAAAGATCTGAGCTATAACTCGCTCAATAGAGAACTGACCGACATCAGAGCATAGTGATATGTTAATCGCCCGTGGACAATTTTCTATTCCTCGGTCATAGTTGGGCACAGTCATGGTTTGTTCTTGTACTAGAGACGTGCAGCCCAAAACCAGATCTTGTCGGAGCTGATCAAGTCCATATTGTCGACTGTTGTGCATAGATAAGCCGGCCGAGGTGAGAGATTATTGCCTGAGCAAGCAAATATATGCAGCGAGCCTGAGTCACCTGAACCGTGTCCTGTGTGCGTAGAATCTCAGGTAGCCACGCGTCCAGCTCGAGCCAGGCGGCAGCACTGTCACCAGGAATAGACCTGTATCATCGTAGGTCAATGTAACACGCATGATTCGCAGCCCGGATCGCAAGGTACTGTTCTTATCAATGTCGTGAGCGCCAGCGAAGGCAAGCTTGAGGCAGCGATGAAGAGAAGGTGAAGTGAAGATAGTGAGGACGGTAAAGCAGAGTCGTTGTCCGTGCAGTGGTTGCACTTGCACTCGAAAGCGTACTTCGACCCCTTTGAGATTGTGGCATCTGCTCTGCGTATTATTCTCCCGCAGTAAGTCACCACATGATCAGCACTGAACTTGCTGGGTATCTTTCTCCATAAAGTCCGGGAACACGTAGCGCTTTGTTACTTCGCCCTGTATCCTCTGGCATTTGTTAACTTGGGCTTAACATGCGGAACATTTCCACACTCCTCACAGTTCTCTCTCTCCCATCGAACCAGTCGGGTGGTATTCGAGTTCATATTATCGGCAGGCAGCATGAGATGTGGAAATGGCTTCTGTCTTGACCAGTTCGGACAAAGAGACGATGCATTGACTATTTCATGGTGCTCATCTGTTGCAGACATATTGCGTTTCGCTCCCGAAGTGAAACGAGGAGAAAAAGGTGCGTTATTCTGCTCGTTTTCCTTGGTGTCTTCTTTCCTGGACGTGCAGGAGAATCCCTCGGTGGAGATTTCTTGTGGTTTGTCGGCGGTCACATCCAACACACATATGAGATATAAGACGAAGAGTCACTTGCTCCCCTGATGGCTAATGCTCAATTGGCAAGTACACGGCCCGGACGGCAATACTTTTGGAATTTCTAGTGAACTGTCAGCGAGTCTCTATCGTGTTGTTATTGCACTCACCGCCATAGCCTTCTTTGTTGCGGCGGACGTCTGATGCTCCACCCGATGTGCCTTTTCGGCGTCCGCGAATTTGCCCGCCAACGCAGCCGCGGCGCAGCCCACCACGGACCGCAAGAACAAGTCCCAAATTTCCTCACTCTCCTCGGCGAAGAAGAAATCGGCCCACTCTGAGGATTGCGGCAAGATCGACACCGTTTCCCAACATTCCCGCAGCCACCTAGGCAATGTTCAGTTCGCGCACCGAAAAATAGTAAGGGAAAACAAAGTACAGAATTGAGCTGGGAAGAAGAACATACCGGAATGCAGTTCGACTTTCTACCGGCGCATTGCCGGCACTTCACCGAGGACGCCGCGTCAAAAACGCAGCCAGTCGCGAAATTCTTCCCCTCAGAGGGGTCATAGTTCTTCACCGAAGTGCGTAAGCACTTCAGGCACCACAGAGAGACGGGAGTAAACGGGTGGTCGGCCAGCGGGCGAAGAGTAGACTGTCTGGCCATTTTGATTCGCCGACAAGATGTCTGGAATGATCATATCCAAGTGATCCTTGATCGCGTAGGCTCCCAGTGTACAATACTATCGTGTGCGGAGGGGCGTCATCCCGCCAGTTTATGGCGCGGGACCTGTATGTTGGTTCATCATCGGGTAGTGGTGTTCAGCCGCCGGTATTCCTCTCTGAACTCTGAGTAGAGCATCGAAATATGGCGAAAAGCTGCAATTTCACGGATGAATCTTTTTGGGTCGATGGTGTTGCAGGGAAGAGAGTTCTTTCAGAGACAAACCTGCCGAGGAGAAGACACATGCACATTATAGTTCGGCATGCCGAGTCCCGGTGGACGCTGACTGCCTACCCGATCCGGCTTCTTCATCCCAATGCGGTCCCGAGCCGAGGGAAAAAATCCCCACACCCACCACATCCTAATCTCAACAGAGAGAAAAAGAAACCAGGACAAAAGAATGAACTCCGATGCGGGGAATCGAACCCCGAGCTGCTGTGTGAGAGACAGCGATGTTAGCCATTACACCACATCGGACCTTGTTGAAAAACAAACTCAAAAAGGACTCTATAACATAAAAACAAGAGGGGGAAAGACAAGTAATGTGGGAAACAGGGTCGGAACAAGAGAATGCGGTTGAATGAATCGGAAAGGGTGAGTGTGGGAGACAAGTAGCTATGTCAAGTGAATATCGTAGAAATACAAACGCAAAACTACTCTGCGTGTTCGAATTCTTTTGACAACTCCTCAGCACCGAGGTCTCTTTCATTCGCCCATTAGTCGTTCTCTGCACCGTATTCAGTATGACGTACCAGGTACTTAGTTCTGCTGATTTCGCCCTCGCGTGGTCTGCCTCTTGCAGGTCGTGATGCTAGAATATAATCAACCTCGTACTTTGCACCAGCACCGGTTTGGATATCTTCTTCAACCGCCGGTGCTTCGTTGTACTGACGCAAGTAAGGGTCAACGTCTTTTGGCGCGGGTTCAAGTTGAGCAACAACTAATCTATAGGAGTCGCGGTTGTGCTTTTAGGCTGGAAGCTAATGAGGATGCGCCCCTGTGCATTGTAGTTTTTGGCTGTGTTTCATGAGTAACAGGCCGCGAGCAAAATCATGTCAAGTCTCTAGTCGGACCAGACTCTGTGTTTTGGGATACTCCGGAAAGCAGGACGTTAGCAGCCTGGGTCCTCCTGATGTGAGCGTTGTCACCAGCAATGCGCTTGTATGTTTGCCGGTAACTGCATCGAACTCGTTGTGGGCAAGGCGAGGTCAATCGTGTCAATTTGTTGGCCAGCGACGTTTTCGTCGATCGGACAAAAAGCAAAGCTAGACGAGATACACAACGCCACTCCACATCGTCCAGGTTAGAGTATCGCGAACGGGCCGCAGCACTTACCCGCAAGGACAGAAGCCGGGACAGACCAAACACTACTCCAAGGAGCATATCTTGTGACTAGGGATGTAGACAATTATGGTACTTCTGCTCTTTACCGCAGACATACATACCGCAAACACTCTACCGCCAGACGAATCGCAATACATAGTGCACATCTGGTCGTGAGGAGATAACTAATCAGTTCAAGGTATAAGGATATCCTCGCGGAGCTGGGCATGGATTTCTAGCTGGGCCCACGCATTCCATCCCGTGAACGAGATGGATCGCAAAACCGGTTGCGCTATCCAGCGTCGCTCGCGACCCGACAGGAGCTGTTGTCCTGGCCAAGGTGGGAGTCCTGGGAGGATCAGAGGGGCCAGGCCCACGGATTCGGCGGCGTCCCAATTCACTATTCCTTGAGTATTCCATATAGCCATGGGTATACCCCTCGCGAGAGGGGGCGGCGCGCGAACCCACGTCCCATAGGTAGTGGACGCAGCCAACACATTTGGCCTGTGCACAACCAGATTGCCACGCTGGACTGGACTGGTCGCGGCAGTAGAGAGCGATGAGCGCCCGGTCTCCGACTTGAGCCTGCAAACACTTGAACGAAGCTGGGAAACTTCAACTGCGCATCTATCGAGCTGCATTGTGTGGTGCTCCGCTTTGTAACGGCACTATGGACGCAACGGGCCGTAACTCGAAGTCGAGCGTGGTACCATACTTGTATCCCCGTGATAGTTATAAGGTCATCAGGACTGTGAACGGAAGCAAGCGTCCTGCGGCGCGTTGAACGCAGGCTCCTGTCTACGTCGTACATACCTTTCAACGACTGATTCTCAGCAAGAGCGTCGCAAAACAGCCGCCGGGTTCCCGCAGCTAAAGCTGAAGAGGAATATGGGAACAGAGGAGAACGTTCCTCTTCTTGATAACACCTTACTCTTTCAGGGGCCTTCGGTGTTTTCCTTAGTGGTGTTGTGATGAAATCACCGGGATTCCAGCCACAGCGGGGCCGGTGGTATATCTTGTTCTCGATTAATGTCTCGGTTTTGCAGGCAGGAATTTCGATCTCGCACAATTTACAGGGCCGGGAACCTGCTTATTGGTCTGGTAGAGCTTGATCAACCAAAGCATTCGAAGGAATCTCTCGTTTTCCTGCTCCTGTCCCCGCAGAAGAGGGGACAGGCTCGCGAGTCTGAGCACTGCTATGAATCAAGTGTTCCTTGAATCTTCGCAGCGCCAGACTGAAGACAAAGCTCAGCTGTGTGTGTTCCGCTTTTCCTTTTTGTTTCATGTCTGGATAAGTAATATCCTCCATGAACGGGCATGACCACAGAGCAACCGGCCATAACACCGCACAATTGACTTTGGAGGGTTTAACCACCGCACCACGGGACCCCAAGGTAGTCAAAGCTCAGGTGCCTGTCAGGTTCCGTCAATCATTCGCGTGTAATGCAAGTCCGTCGACGCTGAATCAGGTGTCAACGAAAGGATGGCAGTCGAAAAGATCGTGGGTGTGTCACCCGCCGAACGGTACTCGAAACCAGCCATAGCGCCAAATTTGCTACCGAGGATAGGCCTGCATTTCGTATAACATATTCTTGCTGCAGGTTCAGACGAGAATACATTCCATGTAACCAGGAACCAACATTCTGCCCCGTTGTGAGCTTTCGCTATCCTGAAGTATGATTACCTGAGGAGGATACTAGAATCTCAGAAAAAGAGTCAGCGCACCGCCAAAGCACACAGGAAGCAAACCACATACCAGTGCCTCTTCCACCTTGACCGGGACTGCCAGTGTCCGAGTCAACTTGGACGGACGCGTTTGCAAAATTCAGCAAAGATCAAAGAATCGCTGATTCGTGACATCTTGAAATCTAGATAAATCCCACCACATACTGTAGCTTTATCCATTTTAACAAGAAGATCCAAGGACCTGAAGGTGCAGCTTCATAGGTCGCTTAGATGGAAGAGATTCTGCAAATTCCTGTACAGTTGTGCGCCGATTTCGGAGACCACGTCTTCTGAATTTTCAGACTTGGACCTCACTCGCATCAGACAAAATCTCGTAGATAGCAAGGTTCTTTAGGGGCTCCTAGAGGAGCTCCTGGAGGCGGCGGCTAGGCGTGGAGTCTAGCATGGTCAGTCACAAGTCTGTTTATCTAGGAGACACAGCGACAAACAGTTAGTACCAGAATCTCAAAGGCTTTGCAAGACAGCTATGATCAGGGGCTAACTCTTGCCCGCGCCTTTCAGCTTCTCCAGGAGCAGGTAATAGACGTATAAACCCAATGCCATACCCAAAGGACATCAGGTAAATGGACATCATTTGCCGGAAGTATGTCGTCAATAGGACCACTAAGCAGGAATGAAAGAATACAGGACATTGTCGTCCCAGTATATATTGTTCACCTCATCGTATGTCAAACCTTCACAAAAGCTACTAATACCGTCTTCGATAGTCTGATGGGAAAGTCATCATGATGTCTTTTCACTGTCAGTGAAAACCTCCTCAAGCGGGGGAGAGGTGCAGTCTGCTGCTCGTGTGATGGGCGACTCTTGCTTAGGGCTAGCGCTGATTTGAGTCATATTGGTGGTAACCATGGTCGTGGAAGTGGTAGGTAGAGATGGCTATAGTGATCTGGGAAGTGGTCAATCATCGATTCGGATGATATCAGTGTATCAATATCGGCAGATTCACTCAGACTTCCTGATGGCGAGTCAGGGTTCCTTGTGAGGGTCAGGGCTCGTTTTCGACTATCATAAAACCGAGCAGTCATCGAGGCCCAGAACATGTCTAGACAGTGATTAAACGGACGATGCGGAGTGAAAGTGACGGAAGGCTAGCCAATGTCTTGGTAGGTCCCATTTCCTCCTAGTGGAGCTCCATCCCTGTATTGGATTGGCCGTAGATTGGCAGGCCGAGACAAACCATGCATGATTCAGTCGCTGACGGATTGGCAAGCAGTGACACTCACGACACTGAGCGAGGTTCATGACTCTCTTCCAAGGTTGGCAGATTGGGGTGATCTCTTCAAAAAGATGTGGGTGGGGCGAAAGATGCGCTGAATGTGGGAATGTTTGACAAAAGGGATTCAGATGAAATGATGGAGTGATGATGGTGGATGATGACAATGAAAAGGTTAGTAGGAAGGAATGCAGATGATGCAGCTATTCACGGCTGATATAGTAAGCTGATGTCAAAGTTGATGGAGAGAACGGATGATGGTGATTGATGACGGTGGAAGGAATCCGGGGTAATACAGAAGATGAGCCTGTTAGGAATAGTAGAGAATAAGATTGTAGGAAGCTGATAGAGAAGCGAGGATGGTGGATGGTGACAGTGGGAATAGGGAGTAGGAAAAGAGAAAATGAGACCATTCAGGATTGATGGAGATTTGTTATAAAAAAGCTGATGAGATAGTTGATCTTGGTGTATGATGACCGTAGAACAGGATAGTAGGAGTATACAACATGGAGTTAATCAGGACTGATGAGAATGATTATAGGAAAGCCGATGGAGATGGGTGGTGATGATGAGGAGGAAGAGGAAGATGATGGGAAGAATAATCAAACACGATAATAAAGAAAAGGAAGAGAATGAAGTCGATGAAAGGAAGAGGAAGAAGAAAAGGGGAGGGAGAAGAGGCTGTATTTAAGCTTGAGGTCGAGGCTGTGCGGAGAAACCCTTCACTCGTTTGTCGCTGATTGAATGGATGAATGGCGGTAAAAGCAGTGAAGGGCCAACCCAGAGAATCATTGTTCCTTGAATTCCTACCAAAACGAGGTCACATAGAAGCCGGAGCTGGTCACGACAATCGGCAACTACTTTCGAGTAGGATCATGTGCATCGCCCTACGAGTCGATAGCCCGATAAGTGAATACCCTACAAAGTGATAGCCCTACTATTCAAGCACCCCTGGAGTCAATCAATAAACATCGAAAAGTCCAATGAAAATCCTAAAGATATATACAAGAATACAAGAAATTCACATTATACCCCCATCCCCACATTCACTCCTCAATTAAACCTGCACACTCGATCCATCGCTCTTCTTGCACGCACAGCCACAAGAATCCGAAGCAATCTGCGACGGCGTCCGGGCGTAGCTCGGCGGCACATCCAGTGCCGGGTTGCGCGCGAAGAAGTGTCTAGGCCGGAGGAGCAACGTCATCGGCTCTGCAGGCATGATCGGGTAGTCCTCCGGCGCGGGGAAGTGGGTCAGCCCGAAAGTGTGCCAGAGGACGATGTCGGTATTCTCGATGGAGCTGTCGGCGCCGGCATCTTCAATCCAGGCGGGCAGACCCATGGAGGGCTCGCCCGAGGTCTGGGGAACGTGGCGGCCTGCGGGGTGGATTTGGTCGTCCGAGTCTGTTGACGGATTAGCAAGTTTGTCAATGGGAGTAAAAACACAGCTAGAGGGGAAACTACATTTGGTCACATGCACAGCATGGCGAGCGAACCCAGCGCGCTTCCAAACCAAGCTACCCTCCTTGGGCAGCAGAGGCGGCACCTCCCGGCTGACCAGCTTGTATGTCACCGGCTTCTTGCTGTACGGATGCAGCTTGTTGGTGTTGGCGATCTCCCAGGTGCGGCTGGTGTTGCCGTCGTAATCCGACATGGCCTCGCGCGGGGTGCGGAACTTGGTCTTCTGGGCGTAGAATGCGTTGCCGTACTTGTTCTCGGCGCTGCCGACCTCGCCGGGTCCCCGCACGGCGTCGACCTGGAAGACGGTGTTGTTGGGCCCGTCGATGTTGGCGTCCACGCGCAGGCAGAACAGGTGCTGGTGGTTGTGCGCGTTGACCCCCGGGTAGACCTCGGTGCCCCAGCCCTGGGTGTCCTCGCCGGGGTTCATCGCATAGGTGTTCAGGATGCCTGTCAGCTTGATGTCCAACTGCACGGTGCCGTCCTGGTGGAAGATCCAGTACACGCAGTACTCGTAGTTGGCAGCGGTGAAGATGTGCGAGATGATCAGCTTACGGGCGCGGGTCACGATGACCGACTCGTCGCGGAAGTCGGTGTGCTTGAAGAGGATGCCGTTGTCCTCTTCGTGGATGCAGATGGCGTTCTTGACAATCGTGCTAGCGCCCGCGCGGTTGACAAAGGCCGCGTCCATGTAGTGGATGGCGCCCTTGCAGTCGCAGCCGAGCGAGAGACTGTTGGTCATATAGCCACCGCCGTACTCGCCGAGATCGAAGGCGTGCTTGCGCTGGTGCGGGTGCTCCGGGTTACCGTAGGGGACGACCATCTCCGCCAGGGAGAGACGGTAGAAGACCGGGCGGACGTTGCCCTTGTCATTGAAGGTGATGTTATTGAGCACGATACCCTCGCGGTAGTTGAACCCGACGTGGATGTTCCAGTTTTGCCAGTCAATGATGCGTCCGTTGACGTTGAATGAAACGCCTTCAGGCTGGGTAATGTGAATGGGCTTGATGTCTGTGCGGAAGCCACCGTCCTTCTCAATGGAGGCCACGTCGTAGTTGTTAGGGGCGGCCCTGCTGATCGGTCGTCGCACGGGAGGGATATCAATGTGAATGACCTCCTTCGTCTCCGCGTTGAAAATCGGGCAGAAGTCCAAGGGGAATGTGTACTGAGAGTCATCGATGTGGGGACGGTAGTACATGAGCGCCTGCTGCAGACGGACGTCGGCGCCGAAGCGCTCATCGTATCCGATGGTCCAAGCTAGGTCTTATCAGCATAGAACCATCAAATGATAGAAGTTGACTCACGGTCGCAGTAAACCTTGTGCATATCTTCCTTGGGGATACCGACGATAGCACACTGCTCGATAACCTTAGGATCCTTGCGGACGATGGACTCAACCTCCTGCAGATCCTCCATTGTGATCAGAGGCTGCACGCCGGGAGTGTGCTTCCACTCGACGACCTTCTCCTTCTCCAGATCGACGATGCCATCGTAGACCTTGCCGCCGGGCGCAATGGCAACAATATCTGCCATACGGGTGGGACGAGGCGTCTTCTGGGGATCCGCCAACCAGGCCATCATCTCGGCCTTGCGGGGCTCGTAGAGCGTGACAGCATTGAAGTTGACTTTGCCATGCTCTTTGCGGATGAGAGCCACCGCAGTATCTATTTCAGCGGTCGAGAGGGGGTCGAGGGGGTGAGGAGGAGGCGCGGTGGCCTTGACATGATGAGCCAATTGTTGCAGACGGTCGAGAACCATGATGTGATGTTTGCTGCTGAAAGGAGAGGATTCGTGAAATTCGTGGGGTGTTTGGCGGGCCCCAAATCGAGGGAGGGTAACTATATATCTAGTATAGTGCGGAGTAGTAGAGTCGGTAACTTATCGCGGCGGATGATGCTTTGAACTTGGCAGACACAGACACAACCAGCCAGCAATCTTGTGCGACTCTGTTTCTGCTGCTGCGATGAACGGGGACATCCCTGGATTTTATAAAGCAGGGTGTCAAATGGCAGCTGCATTGAGTGGATGGCAGCTATCGATGAATCCGATAAGGTGATGATGGGATGAGCACTTGGCATCTGCCGCACGGATGGGCGATAAAATCCACGCCCGGATCCCTTTGCCTGATTCAGACTAGCGTCCGATATGTGGCCGAGGCCGCCAAATGCGGCAATGAGAAGCTGGGCCCGCCAGAGCTGGAGACCCTGGGGTTCGCATACCTTTACCCGATTGACTAACTTATTAATAACTTACTAGTACAGAGTACAGGGTAACCACAGAGTACTCCGTACAGAGTACACACTCAGCAACTGTCGCTTCCCCTCACTCCAGTCCACCCCACCTATCAGTCTAAAGTGGCAACCCGTCAAGTGGCACATATCGTACTTTGTGAGTAATTCTGTCTACAACTCCAACTCAATCTCCCTACGCGCAATGATAAAATGCCGATCTCGGGTATCGCATCGCATCCTACACCAAAAAAAAATAAATAAAAAAATAAGCAGTGGAAATGCCACCCCACACTGGGTCATCAAAAAGAAAATCGATCATATTCCAGCCGTAGAAGAACACCATACACCCGTGCAGAAACCCCACCTCCAAGGCTATACGAAGGCATTTCAGGCGATGAACTCCATGGACGAACCGAGAACTAACGACAAACGAACAAGGACAATGCACCAAGAAAACACAACCGATGCCACATGCTATGTACATCCATCAAATCGGATAGGACCCATCCTGTCCGCCAGCCCAGACCAGCGACAAACAAGCAGAACACCCGAGAGATAACCAGCTTGATAAGCTTAAGCCCAAACAGACAGCGCAGATTCAAAACCACGCAAACTGGAAACACCCCGGGAAGACACGGTTCAATGGGTGACGGGATACGGGGGCCGCAGTAGGTTCCTATACAGAACGGGAGGGAGAGAAGGAAAAGGTAGAGGAGGTCGGCAAAGGCAGTCGTAAGCTCTGCGCACCTAAAATCGAAAGCCTGAACGCAAGGGGACAGTCAATCCGACGATCCGGGGCACGGTCAGAAGCTCAGGATTTGGCCGCTTGGAATTGGGCCAGTACGCCGCCCGTACCACCGGGAGTCAAGGTATGAGGCGTTTGACTACCGCCGATGTGACCAGCGTTAGGGGTGCTGGGGGTACCAGTGGCCGAGTAGATGGTGGCTCCATTGAGATTCGGGGTTTGGTGCGGTTGCATGTGGTACAGCAGTGCTGGCATCTGGCCGTTCAGGCCCCAGATTTGCCCGGAGTATTTCGAGTCGTCGATGGTGCCGCCAAAGACGAGCTGGCGCATCTTCCAGTAGATCTCGCCGGTGACGAGGGAGTCCGATCCGGCCTGGTGGGCAATTCCCACCCGCTTGACGCCCAGCTCGTCTGCAATGTCCTGCAGACCCGACTTTTGGCCCAAGTTGGTGAGAATCTGCGCCGCGGCCTGCGTGAGCGGGGTGTCGTTCACCGCCTGGTTGCGCCCGGCGTGCTTCATCAGGTACTTAATATCGTAGAGCGAGGGGAAGAAGATGTTCAGCAGCTTGTGGAACTCCTCCTCATTCTCCGGTAGCGGCTTGCAGAGCATGATCTTCATCAGGTAGCCGAAATCGTAGCCGGAGTGGAACGAGACCCAGTGCACGTCGTCCAGCAGGACCAGCCCCGAGCTGATCAGGAGCGCGCCGAACTCGAACGGATCGATGCCGTTCTTCTCGTGCATCGTAAAGTCAATCCCCGCCTTGGCCAGCATCGCCGTCGACTCCTGCGCGTACATATCCTCCTCCAACGAGAACCGGAAGTTGAACTGCCATGTGCAAGGGGCGGGAACGAGGCTGTTGCCGAGGGGCTGGCCATTGGTGTCGGTGGCGTTGGGGGGCGGGACCTCGCCCTCGGCCGAAAACAGGGTGATGCCGAGTTGGATCATTTTGAGAAGGTCGACGTTACACCGGAGGGTTTGGTAGTGGTAGTCTGCTTTGTTTGTGAACGCTCCGATCGGACGTGCGACAATGCCAGGAAACTCGGTGTCCTTGGACGGTGTGTTAGCTTGCACACCCCTCCGGCGCAGGGAGCGATCGAACGTCGTCCCGGCCACATACTGAAGCGGTAGAGGAAGCGTCTTACCATGCTGATGTACGGGTATTTCTCCACAAACTGCCGCAAGATCGCCATCTCCTGAGCCAGGTTGTGACTCCAGACGTCACGAATCCGAGTCTTCACAGCGCCGGCGGCCTTGGACTCGAGCGCCAGCCGGCCGTCATGAGCCTGATGTAATTGCTGTTGTTGCATCTGCGCGCCCCGGGCGAATCCCATCTGAGCGGCATGGCTGGCGAGCCCCGTGCCGCCTGCATCCGCAGCGCCTCCCGCCAGAGCTGCCACGGAGATGCCGTTTGCAATGCCGGAGCCGGACAGGGTGAATGGGTTGATGTTGGTGTTTGGGATCCCGGCGGCGAAACCGGGGTGACCGCCGAGGGAGGGCGGCGGAAGGGCGGCGTTGGCGGACTGGGCATGGGCGGGATGATGTTGTTGTTGTTGTTGTTGCTGCTGCTGCTGTTGCTGTTGTTGCGCGGCGACGGCGGCGGCTTGCTGGTGTTGTTGTTGAAGATGGGCCTGCTGTAAGTGGGTATATGATGAAGCGCCGAGGCCAGCAGGCCCGTATCTGCCGACAGGAGGTGGCATTATCGAGAGGACACGGGGGATTGAGCTAGCGTCATAAATTGAGGTGCACTGAACGAGTAGGTGTAATGAAGTCACAAGCGAAAGCCAGAGCTTAGCAAAGAGGAGCGAGACACGAGCGAGGCGAGTGGTGGTGGTGAAGGATGAGTGAGGATCGGGCCTTTTTTGCGGAAGAGAGAGGGGAGTTCGAGGTGAGAGAGAGATGTCCAAGGCGGACAACGGAAGCAGAACGACCTCACCAGCTCAGAACCTCCGTCCTTTCCATCCCCGGCCCATTCCGGTTTAGCGTGCCAAGACCGACTTCTCTCACTTGAGTCTTGAGTGTGCAATGGTTACAGCTTCAACTACACCTACAGATTAACACCCCACCTCCTGCGCCTGCAAATTGTCCCCTCACACCCTGCGGACACCGCCGATTCAATCCCACTCACCTACTCATCCAACTCCCCCCTCAAATCCAGCACAATGGCCCGCCATCCCACCGGCTTCGACATCAACGAATTCAAGCGCGCCGCCCACCCCCAGTCAGTTTGGGCCAAGCAAGACCCTTGGGCTCGCTAGTACGTCCTTTTCCCAATTGGCAATATGTCTCTGTTGACAAATCACTGCACTGTCTACAAACCACTATATCTATCTCCCAACCATATAACTGACCCGTCTGGGAAAATAGTGAGACCTGGCGCTACACCGGCCCCTTCAGCCGCTTCAACCGCTTCAAGACCCTCTTCCCGGGTCTCGGCATCGCGACCGTCGCGTTCGCAGGATACTGCGCCTACGAGGCTGTCTTTCTCAAGGATGAGCATCACGGTCACCACGGCGAGAAGCACCATTAAAGTTCCAGACGGAATGGACAGCTAGGCTCCTGAGTTCAGTTGGGCTAGGAGATCGAGGTGGGTTGGCCTGGGGTAATCGCCGATGAGAATGTGGAACTGGTCGATTCGAGATGCAGATGCATGCGGACGACGTACAGAATACTTGCCTGGGAAGGGGGGAGTGTTGCGCTGGGGTAGATGCCCTCGGCCGGATGGTTACGGGAGTAGAACAGCGTACCCTCGTCCGGGTCGCCACGGGAGCGTGGTTGATATGAGGAAGGGGATGGGTGCGTTGCTCCAGTGCTGTGGGCTGTGATGCTATATTGGTGGGAAGTGTTTTGAGCTGGAAGCAGGCACGCGGAGGTTCAGTTTCTGTCTTATGAGGTTTCTTTCGAGATAGAGGTGGAGCTTGGGAATCCTTCGTAGGAAGGGCGATTGTCTGATATGATGGATGCTGAAGAGATTAGGTTTGTACATAGATATCGTGATTCAATGTTTGTCCTGGTTTACTGTATTCGCAATACGTAGAGGCTACCTACTCCGTTGCTCGGTGCTGATTAATGGATGGTCAGCGAGGGGGTATGATTGTAGGTTACCTTAGGTTGGAAGTGATTGTGCCAGTTGTCGTCGTCGTATTCCGAGTACACTAAGGAACAGCCAATTGTAGAGCAAGTAATGGTCATCGGATAAGGTATCATTCATAATAGTAAAATCTCCCAGCTGACAGCCAGCCGCACCGCACATCTATACATGACTTTAAAGTCTAATCATAACAAGCAAAACCACATTCAAACCGAGATACAATCACTCCTCGAAAACCAGGGAAATACCATCATCACCCGCCGTCACCACCCGCTTACCATCCGCGCTCTGCACAAACGCCATGATACCACCCGACTGCTCGCCCTCCGAGTTCTCCACCAGACCCAAATGACCCTTCCACTCCTTCAACAACCCGTGCCCCGCCGCAGCGGTGCCACCACGCGCGTCCCACCGTCTGACGATCCCGTCCATGCCGACCGAGGTGAGCAGCCACGACTGGCTCTGCGGGGCCGAGGCAGCGGCCAGCGGGCCCGCGCGGGGAGGCGCGGAGCCGACGCCGGCGCGGTTCTGCAGGAACTCGACCTTGACGACGGCGCCCTCGTGCGCCTCGCGGATGTGCCGGCGCACGGCGAAGCGATGCGCCGCGTCGAACAGCGCGATCGAGCCGTCGACCGAGCCCGCCGCGAGCAGAGTCAGCGGCGGGGAGGAAAAGGAGAGCGTCTCGACCCCATCGGACTGCGCCTGCAGGGAGGCGAGCAGCGTGCCCGCCGCAGAAGCGCCGGTCTGCGCCTGCGACGCCGCCTTGCCCTTGGCCTTGCCGGTAGCAGCGCCCCCGGTCAATCGCGGCAGACCCACGACCTTGATGTGACCCTCGGCTCCGCCGACGGCGGCGATGGCACCGCCCGGGGAAATGGCGATCGAGTACAGGCCGCCGTCGACGGCGAAGCGCTGGTCCTCGGGCGTGAGACCGACGACGGCGCTCGTGCCGGCGGAGGAGGCGACACCCGCGGCCGCAGCGGCGCCGAAGACGTCGTAGACGTAGAAGCTGCCATCCTCAGAAACGGTGCCCAGCAGATTGCCGTCGGGGGTCCAGGCGCCGGCCGTGCAGGAGGCGGTGTGCTGGAAGAAGGTCTGGATGATGGAGATGGGCTGGGCGGCGTCGGTGTGGTCGATGCGGAAGACCCAGGCGCTACCGTCGTTGGCGCCGAGGGCGACCACGTTCTTCTTCTCCTCGTCGCCTTTCACGTTGGGGCACACGGCCACCCAGTTGATCTCCTCCACCTCCTGGGTCTCAGCGACCAGCTCCCACGCGAGGCCGGTAAGCTGCGGCGTCGTGTCCCGGTAGGCCCGCAGTTTGCCGTCCAGGCCGGCGGTCACGACGTACTCGCCTTTGGGCTCGGTGAAAGCAACCCCGTTCACGGTGTCCGTGTGGCCGACCAGCTCCGCCAGCGGTTGCAGGGACTCGCGCTCTTGTTTCGGTTGGGGGTTGGACTCGTAGCTCTGGGGAAGGAGGGGCCGCACGGCGTTGGGCGTCGAGTCGAAAATGTAAGCCTTGTCGTCACCGGAGCCCGTGATGACAATCTGGTTGTGGATGGGGTGCTGCGCAATGCAGAAGACCGAGTCGGTATGGCTGTCGAAGTGGGCGGCGGAGTCGTTCTCGAGTGTGATTTCTTGCTCCTCGTAGGTCATGGCCTGGTCTTCGTCTTCACCATCGGACTCCATGGGCTGGTCCTCATCGCGATGGAAGACTTCCTCGGCCTCGTCGGCCTGGATGTAGGCGTCTTCGTCCTCACGGCGTTCTTGAGAGGACATGATGAGTATGCGCTGGGGGGAGGGGGGAGAGGGGAAGGAAGCACGACAGGAGATGATGGATAGATAGGCACAGGCAATTCAAGTCTCTACTGCGACAGTCAGAAGAGGTCAATGGAGAAGAAATGAGAAATTAAATGCCATGAGAGGAAGAGGCAAGAAGCAGAGGCAATGGGAGTATTTTTTTTCTTCGCTGAGATCCCCCCGCTTAGAAATTCATTTCTTCCCCGCGATCGAGCCAAACACTGCAAACATCGCTGCGGAAGGTTTCGAAGCTCCCAGCCGGTGGAGAAAGAGCCAGATGCTTCGTTGTGATCGGTCATTCCACTGCTATCTACTATATCGCGTTCACTATCTACACAAATTCAATATATACCTATAAATGTATAGAAAGGTCTGTCTCGCAGACCTTCCATCTGAGTCCGCCACACTCTTCGCGTCTTCCAAACGATGCCTAAAGTCTCGAGCCAGCCTGTCTCCGGGCCTCCTTCTCCTGGTCTCGCAGCAAACGACGCAGAATCTTGCCGCTCGGGCTCTTAGGAATGACATCGAGGAAGCGCACACCACCCTTCAGCCATTTGTGCCGGGCTTTGTGGTCTTCCACGTGCTTCTTGATAGACTGGATCACCTCCTCGTCACTGCCCGTTGCGGACGGCGACTTCACCACAATCGCCTTGGGTACCTCGCCAGCGGCATCGTCGGGGATCGCGATGACCGCACAATCCGCCACAGCGGGATGGGTCAAAAGATGAGCCTCTAGTTCGGCGGGCGCGACTTGTAGTCCCTATGCACGTTGACCCGTCAGCAGCCATCTCTATAGCAAGCAAGCAAGCAAGAGATCAGGGGCGCTCCACTCACCTTGACCTTGATCAATTCCTTGATGCGATCGACGATGAAGACGTGTTCGGTCTTCTTGGGGCTCAAACGGATCACGGCTTCGTCTCCGGTATACATCCAGCCGTCTTTGAACGTTTCCTTGGTGGCTGTGTCGTTGTTCAGATAGCCCAGGACCACGCTGGGGCTGCGCACGACAAGCTCGCCAGGGGTCTCGTAGCTGGTAATCTCCTCGCCCTCGGGGGTCACGATCCGGGCTTCCACGCCCGGCAGGATTGTGCCCGAGGACCCGAACCATACATCCCACGGATGCGTGGAGGTGACGACCGTCGACGTCTCCGTTAGACCTGCACAGCATTAGCCATAAGGCGGATGGTGAAAGGTGGATCGTCTTACCGTATCCTTGTCGTATCGTCACCTTAGGGTAGAGCTTCTGGAAGTCTTCGGCAGTTTCCATCCCCAGCGGCGCGGCACCAGTGAAGACCGACTTGACGGCACTGAGATCGTACTTGGCGCACGTCTCTGCATTGCGGATCATATTGATGAGGATGGGAGGGACCTAAGCGTTCCATCAGCATAACACCCTCTTAGCCGCGGTCCCGCCCGAATTGACTCACCACGAACAACGAGGTGATCTTGAAATCCTGTATGCAGGCCAAGAACGAGTCAAGCTCAAACCTGGGCAGAACCACCACTTTGTCGCCTCTCCACGGACCCGCGTGGCACATCACGACGAGGGAGTAAATGTGGCTCTGGGGCAGTAAACACATGACAACGTCGGTGGGCTCCCCTTGCGTGCCGGGATCCTTGCGCGAGTCGCGGTAATCCTGCTCGAAGGCTTTGATCTGTAGCACATTGGCGATCACATTGCGGTGTGAGACCATGACGCCTTTCTACGTTTCCCAGATGGTTAGTCCTGTTCATAGGGATGTTGGGTCGGATTCTATTGTAAGCATAAGCACTTACCGGCAACCCCGACGTCCCACTCGAATAGCACAAGAACGCCGTCCGACGGGCGCCCTCCCCGGGGCCCCAATTCAGCGCCTCAACCTTTGGTAGTGCTTTGCCCGCCTCGATCAATTGATCGACTGTCTTGAACTGCGCGGGGGCCTTGACTCCCGGGGTGAGTTGCTGCGGCACCTCGAGCAGGAAGATGCGATCCCGGGACAGGCCGGCGGCATCCGCAGCCTCGAGCGCCGTCTTCAGCAGCGGCAAACAAGTGAACAGCACCGTAGCCTTGGAGTCCTGCAACTGGTACTTCAACTCCGCCGCTGAGTAGGCCGCGTTGGCGGGGCTGACCACTCCGCCCAGTCGATGTACAGCCCAGGAGAGCGTTAATGTATCGATCTGGGAAATGCCAGATTAGCTAACTAGGTCTTGTAAATAACCTTGGTCGTGTCAACGTACGGTGTTTACACTGAAAATCGCCAGGGTCTTGTCCCACTCGCTGCCTGCGTTGGGCTTCCAGTCGAAGCGATTGGAGAGCGAGCGCGCCAGGTGTTCAACGCGATCTACCACATCCAGCCAGGGGTAGGTCTTTCCGGTGACTCCACACGTAAAAGGGTTCTGCGAGTAGCCAAGGGGATTGCGGCCGTGGAGATCGGTAAGCATGAACTCGGCGAGTGAGATGCTGTCGGGGATGGGTGACAGTTTGCCCGCCGTTTTGGGGGGGCCGAAGACCATCTTTCTAGTATTGTCTTCGAGGAATTTACGGTGGTTAGAAAGTGTGATTGGGAGAATAGAGATGTAAGTGAGAAAATAGGCAAAGGACAGAAAAACAAGAAGACGGGGGTAATGGAGGACCGGGGAAATAAGTACAGCTTACGAGCGCATTGCGGGAAAAGCTTGGGTTTGTTATCGGCGGAAATGCCGAGGCTTTTGTGCTACTGGGATTGAGATCCCAACCCCGGCCTGGAATGGTCTGTACAATCTATCCAATAATCCATGGAGTGGGATTATCTCTGATAAAGCAGAGGAATGTTCTTAGACTGAGAATCGCATCCTTTCATGCATTGTATGGCAGTCAACCCGGGAGAATGACCCTATTAATGCACAGTGTATACTGCATAAGGTACTTCAAGGGCGAGAAATAACCGAGGCAGCGGTGGAGAGGCGCTTTTCCCCGCAAAAGATCGCCACACCCTAATTTTGGGTTGGATGACATCGGAGGGACTCCAATTTTGCATACCCTCAATTATGCGGACAAAAATAAAATGTTCAGGATGCCTTTCCAGACTTGCCCAACATGCTCAATAGGCAATGACATCAAAGGTCAGCATTACTACACTGTAGTTGTAGTTATAGTTACCGATGCGGATGCGGAAAGGGATCTATGCAAGTGCCACCGTTACATCCCCACGCTATACCAACCATTATTCACCCCTAATGTGAAGGAAGAGACCACAATGATTCCCATTCCATTATTCTCTGTGAGTAAGACACAAAACGCCAGTGTCGTGACATCACTGGGAAACACATCAATGAGTACATCAAAGGCGTTCCAAGAATAACCACCTCGTACCCATTTGTTGCAGTCCACACAACCATCAGACCTCTTCTTAGCCTGCCTCAACATATCATCTCTCCGGAGAAATCAGGAGCACAATCTGCCGACTTTTCGCTTCATTCAACACCCTTACCCGCTAAGAAGCAATAAATGGACCCCTGCGAAAACTGCGGTGGCGAGGACCATCGCTCTGATGCATGCCCCGTACCCCGCTGCTACACCTGCCTGAAGCTCGGCCATATCGCGCGCGTCTGTCCCGATCAGATCTGTCGCAACTGCCACCAGCGCGGCCATGAGGCGCGCGATTGCAAGGATATGAAGCCATGAGGATGAGGATGATGGTGAGCGTGATTGTTTGTTGTTGGAGATGAGAGGCTGATCGTGGTAGTGCATTTGAGAGGGAGTTCCGGGTGCACCTCATACTTGGGTGCGTTGGGTGGGTTTACACTCTGAGTTGGGAATATTGAGTTGGGCGTACTTGGACATTCCAGGTTGTGACATGATACTTTGGGTATATCGATCTCTTCTTCGATAAGTTGCAAATTGGTTGAGACGGGTCGAAGCTGGGTACATGGCGGGGACCTTGTGGTAGCTGCTCAACATATCGTGAGCAGGGATTCTGATAACCGGAGAGGAATCAGTGTAAATGGAAATAGTCGCTTGTGCTCCCTACCCTCTCTTCCCAATGAATGTATGTACAGCCCTCTGGCCAATTCATGCGGCAAGCCGGGTAATGAGAAAACGATCTGTTGATCGCGAGGATTGATACCAATATGAGCTTCCTTAATGGCAGCAGTGGTGGGAAATATCAGACTCAGCTATGAGCGGCAGGCATACGTCGCTTTGACAGCATTGTATTCTCAGCTACACCCCAAAATGTGGGGAACCCACCGTTTCGGAGTATGGTCCGTCTATAACATTATGCTTACCCATTTTATTCTCTGATTAGGATGGTTGGGACATGCTGCGTGCCTGTGTGGATGTCGCGCAGAGGCATTGCTCCACTCCCAGTGTGGGTATACGCGTCCTGGTCATCTTTGAATGTTGTGTTGCTGAGGCTGGAAATCCATAGTGGGGGTGATGCGTATCAAAATTCTTCACTTGGCTGATATCTACAACGGCTACAGCGATAGGACGTAGGTTAGTCTATATAAACTACCCTCTAATTAAAGTAGAAATCAAGGTCTTACAGGCCGTGTATAAATGAAAAGATTAGAGAAGAGAGAAAAGTACATCGAAATAGAAAATGATAATTTCATCATATGAAACAGCCAAACCACGTTCAGTAGCTTAATACGCAGCTTAATGAGCAATCGGAGGGGTGTGCTTCGGTGTCTTGTTCGGCAAGCTTTGCCATACCGTAGTAGCTCTAGCTGTAAGACAACAGTTGTTAAATGTGAGATGATTGTCGTCAAAAGCACTTCTTTCTGACATGTTCATCAGTTAAACTCCATGATGTTCGTGGTTGTGAAGCTTTAAATTTAATGGGGTGCGGAGAAAGCGGACCGCTCGAGTCGGAAGATTCAGAAGGACTGTTCTCAGGAACAGTACAGAGCATATAACTATAGTATTTCAGAACTGGCCTCTGCGTACGACCACCCCTTTCATACAATTGTAAATCACTCGAGCATACATATATCAGCAAGATCCTATCATACATCTACAAATAATCATCACATACCAGTGAACTAAAAAAAATCCTAGTAAGTTAGCATGGCGAAATTCCATCAAGACACCGCTTAAGCCCTCCGCTCCTGTAACTGGAATCGAATCCAAGTGTTCCCCCCGTCTGCAACCCAATTCTTCTTCCCACGTCTCGCCTAAACTGCCTACAATTTATGCCAGCTCCAAACCGGGATAACCTTCGGCTAAGCCTTTGAGATGCGGGCAAACTGCCAAGCGATATCTATAGGCGGGAAAACCCCATCACAGATTGGCACAACTCACCCCCTCGCCTCCGGATAAATCCACATTTGCAGCACCAGCACATAGAAACCCCGCAATCAAATCAAGATGAGTGCCACATGTACCCACCGTCATCATTCTGCAGTGCGAGCTGCGACAGAGGGACATTGGAGAGCCGGAGCCGAAGGCATCCCCATGACCGGAAGCGGCATCCGCAGCCGGCTAAATGGGAGACCCGTCGCCACTATAATGTACAAAGTGTTGACAACAGGAACAGATTTCCCGGCTGTGGCCCATAAGTTATAAACAGATCCCAGTCTGGTGGTTGGCGACTCAATGAAGTTTCTGCTTTGCACTTCTGAGCCTTTGTGCAACTATTCCGACCATGCGACACATGCCTGTGCCCGCCTTCCGCGCAGCCCTGCTGCTGCCGCTCTTAGGGCTGGAAGTCCCCGCCGCCGCCGCCAACTGGGGCCCCCGCCAATTCACAAGTTTGGTCACCTTCGGGGACAGCTACACTGACGATACGCGTTTCTCCTACTTTCAGACGCATAATAATTCCGCTCCACCGGTGGGATGGGTTGAACCGGAGGTAAGTCAGCACTGTGTCAACCCCACTCACCTCAAACCCCATATTTAAACCAGCTCCCCCCCTCGCCAACAAACATAACTACTTCTGGCATACTGAACCCCGGGGAAGGCCAACATCTCCTCCTCCGGCGGCTATATCTGGCCTCACTACGTCGCAGCCTACCACCCCGCCATCAAAACCCGCTACAATTACGCCGTCTCGGGCGCCACCTGCTCCAACGCCATCATCGCCCGTCCCTACGATTCCGCCGGCCATTTATATCCTTCGGTGCGAGAGTATGAGGTCCCCGCCTTCACCGCCGACGCCCACTACACCGACCCGACCACCCACCAGCCCTTCCTCAACCTCCCCGCTGATGAGACTGTCTACGCGCTATGGATCGGAACGAATGATCTGGGGAATAATGCGTTTCTGACGGACTCGCAGCTGAATAATGCCACGGTTGTGGACTATGTGGATTGTGTGTATGAGGTTTTGGATGGGGTGTATAATGCTACCACCACCACCACCACCACCGCGCACACTCCCAACCCCCCTCCCACCAAACAGGGTCAAGGAGACAGCAGAGCAAAATACTTCATTCTCATGAACGTCATCCCCCTACAGCTGACACCGCTGTACGCCACCCCCGAGAACGGCGGCATCGGGCCGAGTAAATACTGGCCGGATAAGCCGGCCAATCTGACGGAAATTTCGGGCAGGATGGAGGGTCAGGTGGTGTTGGTGAATGAGGCATTTCGGTGGCGCACAGCCGCAGAGGTGGTCTTGAATCAAAGGTGGCCTGGGGTGGAGGTGGCGGTTTTTGATGTTTATTCTTTGGTGAGTCTATCTTTTTGGGGGCGAGGCGGAAGGCGCTTAACTTTTTTTCTTCTCCTCGGGACTGAGTATCATTTGTCTTCCTCTGAGAATTGTTCATCTTTTTCCTTCTGGGGCTATTGCTAATGGCGGCTGTTCTAGATCCAAGAAATCTACCACAATCCCACGCAGTATCTGAATGGGAGTGCGCCGGCGAATGTCACCGGGTATGAGTACCATTGCAACATCAACGGGACGGACTGCGTGAAATCCGATAGTCCGGATTCGTTTCTGTGGTTTGATGCCTTGCATCCGTCCGAGCGGACGGATCAGATCATTGCGGAGGAGTTCATCAAGGTCGTAAGCGGGGAGAGTCGGTTTGCGGAGTATTGGTCGGGAGAGTAGATGATAGGGTCAGGGGGTTTGTGATGATTTGGAATGATGATGATGAGAAATGAGTAGATTCTGTTTATCTGATGTGATCGGAGTCGATTGTATATGTGCCGAGAACTGGGTTGGCGGCTGCTTCGAGGGCAACAATTTCTTGGTATGTTGTTCTCTCTCTTCGTCTGGTGCTCGGAGTAGCTTGAAGCGATACAGCAGATCCCAAAGCCCGTACGGCCAACCAGCGAGCTCCCGTCGAAGGCTTGTAGTGATTGTAGTGCAACCCTGGTCGGAGTTGTAAGCTCAATTCTGTTCATCAGCCGATGCGAAAGAGTTCTTACCTTCCATGCTGTTCGAGTAAAAGGAGTGAGGAAAGACCAACGAGGGGAGAGAAGAAGGAGAGATGAAACGAGGAGAGAGAAGAGAGAAAAAGGGGTGATAACGAAAATTGAGAGAAGTGGGAGGGAAGGATGGGAAATATAAGGTGAAAGGCGGAGGATGAAAAAGCTGGAATTAACAGTGAATGATCCTCCAGCTGGCACCATCAGCTTTGGCAAGTTTGCGCGCTGCCAGATTCATCACCTCCACCTCTTATTCGATGCACATCAAAGGCTTCAAGCTTGAAACAACTACAAGTCTTCATTTTCTTGGTATCCATAATTCGATCACCATAGATCATGCGCTTCGACTTCACTCTAACTACCTAGATGTCCATACTAGTAGGAACTGAGCCGTAAGTGCTGCACACTCCCCTCTATCCAGTCCAACGGTGCGACAAACGCCATCTGACTCCAGGAAAAGAGAGTATTCTTTCCTCCAAACACAAACACCTCAAACCTGCCTGCGAAGGTGCCATCAATCCAGACGCGACTTCCACCAACAACATCCGTGCATATCGTGATAAGGCTTCTCAACGGTACAGCCACGGGTTCATGCGTCGAGGATGTCGTGTTGACCCAGATTCGGCCTGGATACGCGGGATCAAATCCATCAGACTCAGACACAGATCGCAGAGGATACTCCCACCCATCCGACACAAATGTCAAAGAACCATCGAATCCCAATTTGAGCATTGCATCTTCGGAGGAGAGAGCAAACGGTCCAGTCACATTAAGCTCTAGCGTATAATTCATTCCCTTACTACCATATCCCAGGTGCAGTTTGCTGGTGCTGCCGTTGTTCATTGCATTCCAGCTAATCAGTTCTCCTTCACTTAGATTCGTTTCTTCAAGAAGTCGCCGATCCAGATTCTGCCCCACGGCGTTCGCACTCAGCAACCGCATTGAATCGGCCAAACGCGATACATCCAGCTCCTGACCACGGTTACCAGACCACACACGAGATGCAAATGTTGGGATTCCGTCACGGAGGGCATAGTACGCCTCCAGCTGCGTTGTCGCGTCGGGACCATTATCATTCCAGGCTGCGATGATGGCTCCCTTGACACGTCTCGGATCAGGCTGCCTGGTGGTATTATACGGGTTGAACAACGGTGGCGCCCATTGCAAGTCTTCCTCGCCTCCGAAATTCAACAATCGAGTATTGTTGAACAAAGGGGGATACGGAGCTGGGAGGATGGGCATGTGGTCATTTTTTAGAGACATGTAAGCCCACCAATCTTCGGAGTTGATCAACTCATACCCATCTTCTGCAAGGCTGACAGGATCTGACTGGCCATATTGCCAGTGCTGAACGATGACATCCTTGGAAATTTTACGGGTACTCGACGGCTCGTTCGTGCCCCAGATGCGGATCTTCTTCCCTGCGGTCTCATTGATGAAGCGAGCCATCTCGTTGACAAAGTCGATGTAGTCGTCCGCCAGGGCGACGTCGTACTCATCCGCTCCGATATGAACCTCTTTTGTTTGAAACCATGGGAGGAAATCCGACCATATCGATTTGACCAGCGGTACCGTATCCGGGTGCGTCAAGTTGAGGAGGTCCTTCGACTCCAGCGCCAATTCCGGCTTCCACTTGGTGATAGACAGTGCATGCCCCGGTGCCTCGATCTCCGGAATGACGGTCACTCCATGTTGCGCGCAATGATATTGAAAGTCTTCAAAATCCGCCCGCGAAAGCGTCTCGTTAGGTCTTTGCACCAACCCCTGCAAATCCGAGCTCTCGGGTCGCAATGAGAATTGTGAATAGACGTCGTACCACGTCTCATTATGCCCGCGGTTCAACGGATAGTTGTCACTGCTGTGGTAGTGGAACTCGGACAACTTAAAGAACGAGGCGTACGTGCACAGGTCTTTGAGAAATGCTGGAGAGTACCATTTGCGACCCGCGTCAAGCATGAACCCCCGCGTGACAGACGAAGGCGCGTCCAGTGTTCGGCCGGCTGGGACTGTTTCCAGGTCGTGAATCAGCAATTGCTGTAGAAATGTCCGTGTTCCCCACCACATCCCCCGAGCACCGGAACCGCGAATAGAAGCTCGGCCAGCATCAAAGATGAGCTCATAACCTTCCTCGGTGGGTTCCTTGTTCTCATATGTTAAGTTGACCTGCTGTTTGTTCAAAAAGTCTAGGAAGATCCCCGTCTCGTTGATTTGGACTGTGTCTACCACACGAAGTACCCAAGACGTGTTGGTCATTTCTTCTACATCCTGGCGAAAGGTCTCCGCAAACTCGCCAGCGGAGGGAGGGATCAGAGTCAGCCCATTTTCGTCACGCCAGGACGCAAAAGTGCTGGTGATGAAGATATTCTTCTCTACTGCCCAAATGTCGAATCCATCGCGCGACAGCCCCGTCGCATTCCACTCGACTGGCGGAAGGACTTGTAGGGCATATGCAACCGCAACTGTGCAGGAAAGGGCCACAAATCTCATGATGTGAATTGGGATTATCAGTCTTCCTTGCACTGCTAAGGTCTGTCGGTTGAGTGAGCAACAACATGGAGGCTGGATCTCGCGAGGTGCAATATGTAAGGGACGTATACTATGTGGGGATTGCACCACCTACGCCCGAGTCGTTACATTTCCATGCGGGGAATAAACATGCGGTTCTACGGAATTGACCTATCACTGCCAAAGCTCCCTTCCTACAACATGCCGATCGTTGGTGCGCCAAGAGATAAGGAATGTGCAGGTTGCAGAGTTGAATAGGCTTCTCGACAATCGCTTTGCAGTCTTTCTCCACATACTGCGGTCTTGCCTGGGGATAGGATAATACATCGGCAATGGTAACCACTTCACGAGTGGTTGTTGTTTGCGTGTACGGCAGGACATCGCGGCCACTGGGCAAAAACACGTTCAGAATAACTAGAGAAATTGCATCTACAAATAAACCCCCAGATACCCGACAAAGGAACATACGCAAAGGTATTTTTGAATATAAGAAAAGCCCTAAAAACACTATATTTGACCCCCAAGACCCTCAGAATCCTGATATAACTGGAGGCTTGATCACCAGAGCTTGCTGTTAGGAACCAGCTTTGAACAGTAGCTTGGTTTTCTTATCATTCAGCCATTCCTTCTTGCTGCGGCGGATGATAAGTCGCATTCTCTACCCTCCGGACACAATTGGCAAGGATATATTTACACATATCGATTTAGTCTTCGCTGCCTTTGTGGTATTGATATTGAGATTAAGCTGCCTGAAGTAGGTGCTGTCCTTGGACTTAGGCCCGTCCCTTTAATCGGTTGGTCGCTTCTAAAATACGTCTGATCTGGTACATGAGCATTTATCCCAGCAGAAGCTCGGCCGCCTTCCTCTTATATTCACACGGTGCCGAAAAGGTCAGAAGGGCACAGAATGAAAACAAGTTAAGATGGACTACTACCATGATCTTGCTCAAGATGTGCACACCGGCCTTGATGGATGCCGCTGCGCTATCGTCACATCAGTTTTCTGTTGATCCAGTCCATCCAGGTACAGATAGCATACTATTGTGTCACCGGTCTATTGGGTCTTCATCTCGAATGAGGATGAGATTCTCGGCATTCGTGCCAAATTTCTGCGCACAGAAGCTCATTTGTCATTGCTAGATATAAGATTTTGCTCTTGTGCTGTATCTAGTTTGCGGTAGGCAAAAGTCAACGGGGTCGTGATCGATACCTCGATTCTCGATCCGCTGAGGTGTGCGTAAATTGCTTCGCGTTGACGCCATATTTGATGCATACAACCCCTACAAATGTGGCAGCATTCGACCTGGCTCTGCAATGCCTTGGTTCTGGTGATCTTTCATGTCTTGCAGTACTGAAATTCCGAGAATCTCGGTTCGGCCCCTCTGTGGTCGATGCTCAGGAGCCACACAGCACTACCGATACAAAAACCTCTTGACTGGCAGAACACAGCTGCTCTAGACCATCACTCCGTCCTCACCTCACCATCTCTGCTGCATCGAGCAATTGAAGCTTGTTTGTGGTCAGCCTCTAGTGGTCACAGACAAGCTTCGATGTCTTTTGAAATTTTCAACTCATGCGTCACGCCCTGATGAGGCTCGTCGGCAAACTCGCTTGTAATGACTTTAGCCATTACCCTGCAGGTTTCTCAACTCCATTTGATGCAGCGTGGAAGGTGGGTGAGGTTTCTGGATGCACGGCTAGCTACAAATTCACAGAAGTGGTGAGCCATTCTGTCACGGGCTCATCACCGTCAACCACGTGTTACTCGGGGGAATTCATGTTTGCAGACACCATCTTTTCCAAACTGCACAATACCAGGACGGTCTATCGATTCCTTCATCGCAGAAGAATGGCGAAACGACGCAGTGACGAAAAAGGGTCAAGGTAATGGCAAGGAGTGTAGTCAAATAGAAGGAATCAGGGACACGAGGTCGGTCAGAGTGTGTTGAATGTGAGGCGACTTAGGTGAGGAAGAACAACACAAAATAGTCGACTCTTCAAAAGATGGGAGTGAAAGAAAGAGGTTCGAGATGTCAGATGAAGTTTGCGAGACGTTGAGAATGTGAAATTCGGAGTCAGTTTTGATGCTTATAGGTACGCTTGATCCAACCGACGAGGGCATCCGAGATCGCTCCTAGACCTTTAAGTGGTAGGGCGGCTGGGAATGTGTAGTGGATGGTAGAATATTTGTTGGCTAGGAGAAGCAGGCTTGGGTCCTGCTCTCCGTTCACTGCTGTTGCGGCATATACATCTCATTAACAATGTTCACAACAGGCGCAGTCGAGTTGAGAAATGAAGTGCTGAAGAGGCTTGTCAGGCCTTCATAAACTGCATACAGAGTTCTAGCTGGTTATTGCTGCACCTCGCTGTGCAAATTCCTGGTGTTTATTAATCCGGATCTGGGTAAGCTTGCACGCCATAGAAGGATTCTTCAATTGAAACGCAATGAGACAGCAGGAGACCACAATTGCTAAGCGTTTTATAATATTCTGAGCATTGCTGTAAAGGCACTCCGCTCCATGTTATGGACATTGGTCGATGATCATCGAGACTTGATTGACTCGGCAGCGGGATGGTAGCAGAGGGGTCTCATGCTCACGCTCGCGGACCTTAGCCTGCGACGTCTTTCCAATGCTCCTCTGATCAATAATATCCGCAGATGCCACTTTCTAGTTCGAGAATACTTTCGTAAGATGCTGGGCGTCATTAAGTTACCCTTTGGTTTCCTCCAGGAAAACTTTTATCGGTTGTTGCACTTCTGGTCCCGCACCACCACGGACGCAATTCTGTCGACGTCTACCAACCATGACTTCCCTTCGAGTAGTGGCGCGAACGATATATGAGACCCAGAGTTTTAAAACGTAGGAAGTCAGAGACAGAAAGCAGCTTTGAGGCCGTCGGCAAGGTTGTCCTTTGTATCCACTCTTTCCAAACTCATCTTTTGTTTCACACACTGATCCCTGATGGATTAGAGCTTGCCTTCAACTCGCCGGATAGCCTTTGAGATAATCGGGGCACGCACGAAGTTGACGTCGTTTTTTATCATCAACCGGCAAGCTTAATTCGATGGCGTTTTTCCATACGAACAAAAGGCGTCGGCGGCGGCGTCACAGTACGCCATATATTCGGCACAAGTTGACGACGTCGCCACGACGCAGAGTCACGGACAGTGCGGCCGATATGGCCGTAGTTTCAACCAAAGCATTGCTCATAGATTGGCAGGCGGAGGTGTAGGATCTGCAGACACAGCTCGAGTTTTGAGGTTGCGGCATGCATCGCACCCCTAATCGATAGGAAGATCAGCAAGGCCGAACCAAGAGACCGTAAGGCGCAGAAACGTATTACGCAGCTGCTTCAAGATGACCAAAATGGGGAAGAATTGACATTCCAGCTTTCGAGCTATGGCGGAACGCATGGTTTCTTTTCGAGTCTTATTGTGGCTAATCCGGTGTTACTTGAGGCGCTTGAATCGAATATCGTAATGCAGCGATACTAGTCTGGCCCAATCTTTTCAATTTGATGTATGATGGGATTTCTGGTACATTAGGCCCTATGTAATCTCGCCGTTCATCGAGTTCTTTGCGTGTGACGAAGTCTGATTTTTGGAGCCCTCGTGGGTCGGACAGGTCAGTTTGGTTCGTTCTGAGGTTGTCGTTGCCTTGAAAGGCTCCGCAATCTCACATCTGGCAGCTCTTCTGAAGAAACTTCTGTTCGACGGTGATACTGCCCTCAGCGGTGCACCTTCTCGGCAGGGTTTAATCGATGCATGTCTTCGCCTTCTCAGTCCGTGACCTGTAGTCTTCTGGCTGTAACACGAATTAAACAGATATTGATCTTCACCGTTAGGTCATCATTAGAGACATTCATTCGCAGAATAATTCTCTTGTAGAACATAAATTCTACCTTCTGCAGTCCTCTTTTGTAAGCAGTCACGAGTTAAGACATCAGAAGAGAGATAAAAGCCTACTAAATCGCTGCTTCGGCGTAGGCAATGGCTGTGTGGACGCATTAGATTATCATTGGCGCTAGTCTCTTGGGTGTTGTTGGGCCCTTGGGCGAGGTTGTCGTACACTGTCTCTCTCTGTTGGTAGGCCTGATGTGAAGCCTTATATGCAGTGTACGCATTGATTTGTGTCCGTGTCCATCTGACCTCACTACCTGGGTTTGTGCCCTCATTCCACTCTGCCCATGGATTCTCCTCGACTGTTTCGTTCCTAGGCACAAATCTTTCTTCCATTCGATGTCCTTATGCGGGCCAGGTGTCTTGAATTCCGAAGTACTTAGTCTTTTTTGTGTTCAAATTTCTTGTCGTCCTGATTCTCCTCAGCGGCCGGCAATGGACTCTACGTACGCAAAGGTGAGGATCGACGAAAGTGTTGGGATCCGTCGAATGGAGTTGGGTCCGAAAGGAGAATACGTGATCATATGGTCTTCTGGCCAGCTGGCCCCAGTAGCGGCAGAGACAGGATTCTGATCCGGGCGGTTCTGATTGATCGTAGGCAAAAGAGCAGGATCAGTTAACGGTTGAGCTGGTTTGAAAACCTTCCCCACGAGCATAGCGGAAGTTGTCGGGTCAAACGGCCACTTCGTCTCGGTCACAGGTTGACAAGCAGCGAAATCCGCCACACTCCTGCCCGCGATCAGGTAGTCGGCCAGCACTAGTCACGAGGAGCTGCTAAGAGCTCACTCCGTATTCTCGACTGTGGGCTGCGGAGACAGGAACTGAAGGACCAACTCAACACGTGGCAAATCTGGGCCAGATCACGTTAAAATGTTCAGGATAGAGTTGTGAAAGCATCATGACCAAGAACACCTTGGGTGTCCTTTTTTTGAATCGACACCTTTGAGCCGTCACAGATTGAATAAGATAATGTTGGTCTTCTTCCAAAGTAGTTTCGAAAAGCCCCAACACGAGCCGTATCGCTCAACGTCCACGGCTCAAACCACTGGCTTCACCTCCCTGCATGTAGGCGATAAAGTCACCAACTGCTTGCTCAGACATCAAATTGAAGTCATTGGTGAACAAAGACTGAAACTTGGAAAGCCTCTTGAGTCATTCGAAATAGTTGTCTAGCTGTGTTAAACGACACTTCAGACCCGTGCGGATGAGCAAGTGAGGAATCGCCACAAATCTCTCACAAGTGAGGCTGGGAGAGGAGCTGTTCGACTCAAAGGGATTAGCAAGAAGCTTACGGATAACTGTGGAATATCGCATGAGTTCTGTGCAAGGCAGTCCTCAGTTTTTTCCTGACTACCTGTGGTTTGTTGGCTGGACACTGAGAGTGAGTCAAGAGGACCCGCAAGAACTGATCGAAATAAGCACTGCAATCATATGGTGTTACCCGGAGCCGAATTCTTGCCCAAGTTTAGCACTTTCAAAGGGTCAGTCCGATCGCTTATGTTACCTTCATTCTGTGATCAAATTTAGATCTGTCTGGACTCACATGCGAAATGCTCACCAGGAACGATACAGATATCCAGATATCTTGACGCTCAGCATCTCTCAACAGTCGTTATCTTCTTAAAGGGATAGTGAGGTCTTCTCGTTCCCTGAAAGAAGTGCCGCGGAGGAGGACATAACGGGAATTGATAGCTGCGCCATCAAAGCCCGGTATGAGATACACAGTAGGACAGAAATCCAAAAATGTGTCCTGCGCGTCGGAACCCACATACAGTTTATCGAGCAAGCTGTCCTAGTCGACAAAGCTCCCCACTCGCTTCAGTTCCATCTCAAATGAGTCTGACAGAAAACACATCCTGCCTGCATCCGGACTTGAGCTGCTAGATGCGGTCACCAGTCAGGGACTGGCACCGAAACATAGCCTCCCGCGCGTACGGGGAACAGCCATTCCCATTCGAAACGCAACCGTTTTTGTCGTCCGCCAACTAAGGGAAGCTACGCTCGACCCAACTTTCAAGGTGTAAGACTGCATCAGTAAACTTCTGAAGTGCTTGTTTAAAATCGTTATGATATTGTTTCATAACCTCCAGTAGTTTTTTGTTGATGTCTGTCTCGGTACGGAATTCGGGGAGCCGTAGGTATTCGCTTAATTCGTGGTTGGTGATGTTTGTACCGCTGTTGTTAACAACGCGATGAAGGTTTGTCCTGATTTGTCCTTGTACATAGACATGAACAATGGAGTTATCGTAAACCATAGTGTTTCTGTAGAAGTTGCTTCGTCCTTGAATCCATCGAGCTAGAAACACTCAAGAAACCGTGCTGATCCCGACCGTCGCACCTGCTCAGTCTTACACTTCTGCGATAATGTTGCGAGGTAATACGATGAACTCCCTCATCTCTCAACAAGCCACTAATTGAAGCTAGTGTCATGCTGTAAGCAACAGACACTGGGTCAAAGCAATTCAGCCAGTCCCACACCCTGCGGCAGTAGCCCTGCGGAATCTCCTCTTCTGTCTCCTTGCACTCCTTATCCTTCGGAGACTGCGCTTCCAAGGTATCTTCTCCCGTGAATGGAGTAGAGCCGGCAAATGTTCGGCTTGACTTGGTTGTCTCGCTCCGTACAACAGAGGCGTCAATGTCTTGCTCCTTTCTCTCAATTTCGTCAGGAATATACATGTCGCGATGTTATAGCAACCGCAGGACACTCATAAACCTCAAGGAACCCGTAGCGGCACAGATGGTACACTCAACCATCGGAATCAGGAGAACCTCGATTCGTAGCCAGATGGCTCGCTAAGATCTGAATCAACTCCGAGAAGTTAGAACCGTCAAGAGAAGAAATTTTTACTATCAAAGAGAAGAAGCAAGTCGAGAAGTCAACTGTGGAAGTGGAGGAGTGAAAACTTACCAGTGCTTCGTCAAGGCGGGCGAGGAACCTCAGAATATGGAGGCCAGGAATCAAAGGGCAAACTGCATTAGCCAAGTCCAGTTTACCACATGTCGGATGTGAGTAGTGGCTTGCAAATTCGCTGATCGGAGGAACTCGGCGGTCTTTGTGTTGGTTGGTTGGTGTCTCTGAACCGTCTGGAGACGGAAACCTTCTGGCCTGGTGTATGTGCTTTGGAAGCCTTTTTGTCGAGCAGAAGTCGAGGATCTTCCTCTCTGCGAGAAGAAATTGGAGACATTTCTCTATCTTCCTGAGTGAGGAGTGAAAGTGACGGGATGTCTGACTCGTACATTCGAGCGCGGAGAACAACCCCACGTTGCGTTAGGGTGAAAGCCACCATTCCTGAGGCAGACTGCTAAGGATCGAGCTGCATCGTGCGTGTTATGAAGGATTACATCATCCAAGGGGACGTGACATCGTGCACTGTTGGGAACTAAGGAAAAAGATGGGGATGGAGATAGCTTGCAGACATGGGAGATGGGAATGGTGAATGGGAATAACACAGTCGCAGAGCAGCGTAGAGAGTTGAAAGACAAAAAGGCGAAGCAGGAACCGCGAGCTCGATGAAGCAACGGACCTCCGCAGACAGACGTAGGCCATGAATGTTGACATGGTTGTCTCATCATCCAACGGAACCTGAGGACGATATGAAGGATGTTGGCAGACACCTGAAGAAGGGGACTTTGGTGTTGTGATGAACCCAGGCAATCAAGCATGGTCCACTGTTATTTTCGATTGCTGGTGGTGTGGGTTGAAAGATTGATGGGTGGTGGTAGTCGGAGAGATGAAGAGAAGAAGAGAAGATGGCAGGTGGGAGGTATGAAATGTAGATGTATTCATGATTGAGGAATGAAGAAGAGAGTCCACATCAATTCACCAGCACATCGTGCAGTATCCAGTCACTACCTACACAATGTATATCTAGTCTGATCAGCTTAACGGTCATTAGCAACATGTCATCATTTCCAAGAAAAAGATGTATGGGGGGGTGCTGCATAGTTAACGTTCACCGTTCTCCGTTCTCCTTAATTGAAGAAACAGAAGCAGGATATTCAAGACAACCTCCTTACGGCCGTGAATGTGGTGGACATGGAGCTCTCCACAAAGCAAAGAAGAGATAAGACTACCTCGGCTCGATACATTGAATTACCCCACCCATTGAAGCTATCAATCGACCGACATTCATTCACCAACATCAGTGCCATTCACACCTCACTGAATAACCCCACAATGGACCCTCTCTGCAAGTAACCCTCCACCGTTTTCTTCCAGAGGAAACAGAAACACACACATGTCTGCACCCTGCAAGGTGTTTATACTTGAAGCCCGACAGAAAATAAATCCTTATCGGTGACCCGGTGGGGAGTGCGGGCTTTTGGACCAACCAGGGGACAAGCACGATAGCAGCAGCGGTAAGGCGTGCTGGGCCTCCATGCTGGATTTCTGCTTATCTTCAGAATCAATCATGTCTCCCCTCTTTTCGCACCACCTCCTCTGCTGCTGTTCTGTGCCCTCGACAGCATCATGACTATCACTACGGTCAAGGAAGGCACCAAATGGGGCCAGAAATGGCGCTCATCGCCGCTGTTCATCGTGAGTGCCATGGCCATAGCACTGTTCACCGGTAAGCAAAAGGAAAAAAAAAAAAAAAACTGTCAAGCGACGCATCTCAGCACCATCATTCGTTGCTTGAAGCTGACACCATTCTTATTGATTACTACTAGATACGTTCCTCTACACCTTCCTCGTTCCGATCCTTCCCTACGTACTTGAAAATCGCCTCGGACTGGATGTCGCCTTGACACAACGGATGAGCTTTTCTCTGTTATCGGAGAGCGCGGTAGCCTCTCTGATCACGAGTCCCTTTATCGGTCACTATGCCGATGGATTACCTTCCAAGAGGGGACTGCTCATCTGGTCTCTGGTGGCGGCCTTGGTCGGGTCTATAATCTTGGCGATGGCGACTTCGAGTGAGTGACCATGAGATCATTGTGGCGGATTGAGGACAAGCTCTGCTGCTGAGCTATGGGGGCTGACCGCTACGAAAATAGCTTTCACGCTGTTCGCCGGTCGTCTGGTCCAGGCGATTGCCAGTTCGTTTATTTGGGTGGTAGGTTACGCCACGATCGCGGACAATGTTCGGCCGGAGCATCTGGGCAAGACCTACGGCGTAATCTCCCTAATCGTCGCAGCGGGTACCTCGGGCGGACCCATGGTAGCGGGCATACTTTTCGAGGTTGGAGGATACTGGCTCGCATGGTCGAGCGCCTTTACAATCCTGATCGTAGACATCGTCCTGCGGTTTCTCATGCTAGAAAAGTCAAAAGCTAGAAATGGTAAGTAGGCACGTCTCAGCTCGAGCCCGACCGTCCACTAATCCTGTGCCTCAGAAAGTACACAGCCTGCTCACAGTACCGCGGCGGACCCGGAAAATGCACCGCTCCTGGGTCACAGCAATGCAACCGCACCCAATTTGACAGGGTGGAGGTTCTATGTATTTATCCTGCAGCATCGTCGATTCCTGGCTGGTGTCGTTAGTTTCTTCTCCTTTGCCATCTTGATCTCGAGCTTCGACACTACCCTCCCACTGCATGTCCGCGATGTGTTCAACTGGGGCAGTTTCCCCGCAGGGATGATGTTCTTCGCCCTACAGGGACCGGGGATCATCCTTAGCCCCCTTGTGGGCTGGCTGAAGGACCGGGTTGGTACGAGGTGGCCAACGACAGCGGGATTTCTCATCCTCGCACCAATCATGTGGGTATGTGGGATGCCGGGCGACGACCGCTTCCCTTGGGCCAACAAAGGCGACAGAGGACAAGTGATCTACACAATCTGCGTCACCCTGGTAGGCTCATTCTCCTGTCTGATGAATGGGGCGGCAACAATCGAAGCCACAGGTATGTCACCCGCGATTTATGGGATTGAACATCACCTAATTATAAGATGGGCAGTCACCATCGACGAGCTTGAAGCTGAGACCCCGGGCATCTTCGGTCCGAATGGAGGCTACTCGCGGGCTCTGTCGATGGCCAGTGTAAGCTGGACTCTGGGCGCATTTATTGGGCCCGTGCTTTCTGGATACCTGGCCGAGCACGTCGGGTACTATGAAATGAGCACTGTGATTGGTGAGTTGATGTCAACGGCTTGACATTTGTGGAGCGAAGCTGACTTTCGAAGCCATTGTGTGCGCTTTGTCTGGAGTCAATGCGTTCTGGAACCTTGACTCTCGGGTGCATCGAGACCGTGTGAGGGAGTCTGAATAGACGAGGCGCTCCGTATGACTGCTGGAAGTTGCATAACGTAGAACGGTTTGCATGTGATGCCAAGGACGACAGTTATGAGACATGTCATAAAAGTTCTGAGTTTAGATGTATCTTTGTTTTGACAGCCGAGGGCTCTGGTTTGCTTTCGACGGGGCGGTGGCTTTTGGGGCGTCGACGCTCAACTACCGATGACTGATTTAGATTGACTCCGGACGAAGCCGTACCCTGGATACGCTTTGGGCTCGCTTAGATTGAGCCCAGCCGGCTGTTCTTACTATCGGCCGGCTGATACGGTCGAGACAAGTCATATCTGACATAGCACACTTATCCGAGGGACTTGTCTCCGAGCACAGATTTGTAGATGCATTCTCGTTTCTCGCAGAGGTAGTGATGCCTGCTACTGTGAGCTAGGTTGTCGAGATACCTTTCGTGCTTGTCCCTCGTAACCTTGATATTTGCCAATGGGCCTAGATGCTTCAAGATGATTGTCGATCCCTCTTTTACAATTTTATGACAGTGACGACTCGAACAGAGGTTCGAGCAAACCTGCATTAGCTTGCGACATGGGGCTGAGGAGCCCTGGCGCGTATCTGAGACCGATTTGGAGACATTGGGATGGATGTTTTGCTAGTCGAGGATGGGGATTGAGATGGATGGAGCTCATCTCAAAATAGCAACACAGTGACCCTCATGGCGGTCCCGTTAAAATGAGTCCGTGAACACTAGGGCTAACGAGTCAATTCGTGCTCTATGGGGTGGGAAGGGGGAAGCAGATAGGGGAGAGAAGAGGCTGTGTTGTTTGTTCTGGAAGAAGAACAAGAAGAAGAAGCCAAGGCAGCCGAGGAGGAGGCCCCAGGTCTCACCCTCTTTCCTAAATCTGTGTGGTGGCCTCGGGACTTCTTCCCCTTCGAGACTTGCTCACAATGTACTATTACTGCTACACTATCCATGTCACCATCATCGCTTTCGACTTTTCGAGGCTTATCGCTTCGACACAGCATACGCTCGCTGGTCTAACCAGACCATCGTAGCTGAGTATTATTGTTCTTTTCGTATTGTTGATCAATTGACACAAATATTAAAATGAATGGGGTCACTGCCAGGGTCACTTGCCTTCCGATGCCCGATCAGCAGGAACACACGGTTCCCAACGCTCTGGACCACCCGAACACTTTCTCTCACACAATCTCGACAGCTTTCCCCTGCAGCCACGCAGTGACAGGTGTAATCAAGCTTACTCGTCCCAAACTTTGTCCTCCGTATCATTCCCGAGACATGCGAACCGGACCTGTCCAGCCACTCCCAGGCCCCTTTCTGTCAGCCGTTTTCGGGTCACCGGCGAAGGATATGACAGGTCCACTGTCTCTGGATTGACAGGCTGCGGGGAAGACATCATAATCGTCCATCAACAAGATTTCTACACTGCTAATTCTGCAGTCTTTTTGCACTAGTGGCTATTATTTCTCCTCTATTTTGCCTCTCGAGACTCAGTTTTCCACTGCTGCCATTGTTACTCCGTAGCAAGCCCTTCGAGCGCAGGCCAGCGCTTTCAATCCGAATCCGAAGCCACCAGACGGAAAAGCTACGTCAAGTATTGACAACAGTCGCTTCGACGGTGGAGAACGGAAGGGCGGGGTGGGGGCCAATTACGACAGGCTAACCTCGTTCGCTGGTGTGGTCACGGACAACTACCGTTAAAAATGGAGACCAGAAACGAGGGGAAGAAGGAGAAGGGGGCAAGGGGGGCCTTATCCATCTCTGCTGGATCTCGAAGCGGAGTCGAGTCCATCCTGATCATTTCGGATGGACATGGACAGAAACGCAGAACGATGGACATCTTCCGCTTAGAAACCACATGGGAGGGGGACCACCGTTCGTCATCGTGGGACAGGCTACATACAGCATCTGCGCAAGAAGAAATCTCGACCGGGATCAAGGGGGTGAGCCATATTGCCGACCGGGTCCGAATCCGGCCTGCTTAGCAAATAGATCTGGTCTGACAAAAGACAAGGATTGATCCCGGTCGGAATTTCACGATGGGATCGGCAGATATGTCCGGAAGGACAGGCTTTAACCTTGAAGCGGCTGGAAATTGATCAGACAGCGTGTGCAGATTTGCTGCAGGCAAACGCACAAGAAGAAAGGAAAAAAAAAATAAAAACCCTGCTTAGTCACAATTAGTGTCTTGGCTTCAGACACTGCTTAAAAAAAAAGAAGAAAAAATTCAGCAGGATGGAGGGGGCAAAGAAAGCAGAATCCAGCGCAGTCTGCGTCTAATCGAGTTCTCCTGAATCCTGATCAGATGAAGTCGCTTCCCCATCAATGTTAATCTCAAAAATGACACACGGACCAGCTGCCGGGTGGAAGAGCTTTGGTCTGACCCAGCCTTCGAGCTCCTTTCCCTGAGCACACTCCCCTTGCTGTCCACAATGAGACCTATCGCCAAAGTTTCTATGCCCTTTACGAGTGCCGAGCCGGGTCACAACGGCTACAATGGAATGATCCAGCGTTCCTACCGCGGAACTAATGAAGTTCAGTCACTGACAGCTGCTGGCTTCCAGCCTATGACGTCTCGGATTGACTGCTCGTCGGGCATGGAGTGGAGCTGCGGATGAAGGCCTGGCGCCGTTCATGCGGCCGGAAGTCGTAGCTCATCGGGTTTTGAGGCTGTCATAGCCTATGAGCCTATGAAGCCTGTGAGATGTGGATTCCTGCAGACAAATTTTTCCCAGTTGCCAATTTTTGGCTGTCTCGAAACTCGATGCCAGGGCCAACTTCCGAACACTCTCCATTTTCCGGCCGAACATGTCCCCTCTTCGATGGTCTCCCAAACCATCGTTGATGCACCAGTCTCATTGGTCTATATATAAATTTACTGCTCTCCTGGCCTTGCCCCTAGGTATTGGAGGCCGATGTATCTCGCCCCCAAACCTTTTTTTTTATGAGAATTTCTTTCCCTAATTCGACTCCTGCCTCTTCAGAAAATTACTTCCTCGGTTCTGGACAATCGACTGCTTACCACGCTCCTTATATGACCGCTCTTCCCTGTTTATGTACACGATCCTTCTGCGTTGTTAAACCCATTACAGGATTGATTGAAGCTACATCATGATGGATGTCGGATATGAAGCAACCCCGCCGCCTTCCGCGGGGAAAGACTGGGCCGACTTTTGGTACAATGTCGACCGAGCACCCGCCGAAGAAAGCGACCCAGTTCCCCGCGATATCCTCGTTGTTGGCGCCGGCATTGCAGGCATTGCCGCTGCCTTGGCTCTTTCCAAAGAACTGACCCCCTTCGTCCCCGACCTTCGTATCACGGTATATGAACGACACGACATTCTGTCTACCTCCGGCGGTGCTATCAACCTCACCCCCGTCGCTCAACGGCACCTCGATCGTCTGGGCGTCCTCGCAGAGATGGACCGACTTGGGCCGGAGGGCGGGACCGATGTGGACGCCATCGAGTTGTACTCTAGTCGGTCCGGGCGGTCCCTCGGATCGGTGGATTTTGTGGACGAGCATGGCAATGGGTTCGGCGGGTACAAGGGTCGTCGTGTGATGCGGATCGCCCTGTCGGTGGCCATGCTGACAGTGGTTGAACGGTCCCCGAATGTGAACGTGGTGTTTGGGAAGAAACTGATTCGCGGAAAGGAGACGAAAGACAAGGCTACGCTATACTTCCACGACGGTACTACGGCCACGGGCGACTTGGTTCTGGGCTGCGATGGTGTTCACTCAGCCACGCGGATGCACTGGGTGGATCCTGACAGCCCGTCCGAGTACACGGGTATCTCCTTCTGCCAGACCCTGGTTGACACTAAGAAGATCACCGCCCCTGTTCACTTCCGCTCTACTTCCATGAACATCTCGCGGCACGGTTCGTTATTGGCCAGTTACTGCGACCGCGACCATGAGCAGATCTTCTTGGCCGCTATTGTGCAATTCCGGGAGGAGCTGCTCCCTCATTACCGCATGGACCCGGGCCAAGACTGGAGGCGAACGGCTGCGATCAAAAAAGCTCTGCGCCAAGAGATGCAAGAGCGCTTTGGCCGATCGGGAATCTCTTGCATCCGGGACTTTGTGAACAAGGCCGACGACTGGATGCTGTATCCTGTGTGGCAGGTTCGGCCTAACGCCCGGTGGTATCGGAGCCGGGTGATCCTCTTGGGCGATGCAGCCCATGCGGTACGTTCTGATTGATGAGTTGGATGTCCTTCGCATACTGATCTGACTAGATGCCTCCTCGTGACGAATCGGCGGCCTATGCCTTGGACGATGCGATTCTCTTTTCTCGCATTCTCGCCAAGCACCGTTATGACCCTCTGCCTGTGGCATTCAAGGCTTACGAGGAGCTGCGTCGCGGGACCGTGAACGCCGCCTTCCAGGTGTCCCGGCGGATGTGGGAGAAGAACCGCGACATGGGCTTTCTGGAAGGCCGCTTGAAGGAGTGGACCTACCCGATGCAGGTTCGCAATGCGAAAGACGCACGCGAGCAAGCATGGGAGTTTGATGCCACCAAGGTGGCGATTCCCGGGGCTCTCAGCGATCAATCTTCATCACTCTACTCATCAGAACGCGATTTTCTTTAGACTATTTGCATTGGCGGTGTTCGGTTGGTTTGGGTTGGGTTATTGGGATTGGGATTGGTTACGAGAATACGAACTGGGATATTGCATCGATCGATTGTTGTCAAAAGAACGCTAGGCTTGGTGTAGGCTGGGCTGATCATTGATTGACCTTGACCGCACTGCTTTGTTTTTTTTTTTTTTTTTTTTTTTTCGGTCTGCCTGGTTCTTCGTTTTTGGCTACTATTACTATCACTACTACTTGTTCATATATTCTAATTTCGCTTTTCTTCCATGGGTTCCGGATTTTGCTGTGATAGACTGATTAAATATAAATATATTGACCAAGGCGCAATCTATTCTTCATCTATTCTGCCAGGTTTCTGGGCAAAGAAAGTGGACACGGCGCCCACCAAATCCCGAGAAGCGAGAAAGGGGGAAAGACTATGCGCAACGGTTTTACTCCACGACTATTTTCGGAGATTAATTTATTTATTTTTTTTTTTTCTTCTGTGGTCCGCCGGAAGCCGGAGGGAATTGATAGCTCCCGATAGCGTAGCCGCTAAACCGCACTAGCGGTTACATACTCCGTACGTTCGGCTGCATTAACAAGGATGGAGTGTCCAGAGATTTTCCTGGATTTGTCGTCTTCCTGCGCTTGATTTTCTGTGCATAACTGCCTGTCACTTGAGGCTGGAGGTTCTAGTGGTTGAGATCGTGGGCAAGAGATGCAGGATTCCTCCGTTCCACTTTGGTGTTTCCTGGTGTTTGCCGGAAGGAGAGGATCGCGGATCGTCTGCTCTAATTAGAGAGTTAGTTCAGCTGGAAGATCCCAACCGTTTATTGTGCACGTAGTGATTGGGAAGATCCCGCTTGTGCTTGTCGTCCGTGTTGGTGATTGACACGGATGTATATTCCGTATCCATGATGGCGTGCATGGCGTGAGGTACTGAGGAGTGGTATCGTGGTAGTTGCCATGATCAGCATAGCTTACCTCGTTCCATTCTGCCATGGTTTTCGTTGCTGCCTAGGATGGCTGATGTGCTAGCTGCTAGCCTGCTACTGAGTGAGTGACTGCAGTGGACAAGGAAGGCGTAAGGTAGGTACCTAAGTACTCAGTATGGGATTCATTCCTGTACTGGGCTACACAGCCTCGTATCTTCATGCTAGTTACTTGTCTGATTGGTGAGCTCGGGTTTTCTTCTTGGGTGGTAAGCTTATTCTGTGTGGGGTCAGGAACTGACAACTGCATGATCGTTTGGTGCAGGGGGAGGAGGTAGGTGGACTGTGCTTGTATGCTGCGTGTTGACTTGCTGGTCTTCTGCTTGTCACGTGTGTGTCGCTGTGATGTAGTAGTTATCGCAGATCTTGAGATGTGATATGCTATAGATGAGGCTGATATGCTCCCATTGTAGTGACCCTCGATCGTTACTGTAAGTGTCTAGAGCGGTAAGCAGGCAAGTGTAGAGCTGCAGCGATACTAGTAACTTATCCAAGGTTCCACCATAACCACCGGTACTGACTGCAAGAAGAGAGCACGAGATGGATGGATCCAGGATCGAACCACCAACCAGACCCCAACGATCGGCTAGCGAACCGAGCATCCACTGCATACCTTGTCCACTTGTCTACGGAGGTAGTTAGGTAGCTACCACACCCGACTGAGCTACGAGCTACAATCCAGATAGTCAAGTGGATGAGGTAGGGACTCCCAATGTAACCTCGTCCACTCCAGCCAGAGAATCAATCGGAGATAAATCGTGAAGCTACCTACTCATATCATCATATCTGAAGGAGAGAACCTTCAGGATATTTTCCAGTACCGCAGAGATGATTATCCCCCAGCACTCCCCACTCCACATGAAATCCATCCAAACCACTTGCTCGCCGGGGTTCGTTTGATGCTATGCAGATTCGGGACCGCGGACAAGGATCCGCGCCCCCGATCCTGCATCCTTCATCTGATCCGATCCGATCCGATTCTCCATCGCCTGTTCCGGCTGTTTAGGTTGGATCTTGAGTTTTGCTACTCCGTAATCGTTGGATGGATTCGAAGGGATCGGGTTTCTAAACCTTATTCCAGAATCTAGAATATTCTCGGCGATGTCTCGGGTGTATCTGTATTCGGTCCGGATAGGACAATCGAGTAGGTTGAGTCTCGTATTCAGCTGTGTATGGTGTAGATTGACTTGCTTTTTTTCCAGCTGTCGCTGTGTATGCTAGCAGTGAGTGCTCTTGTAGAATCAGTAAGTTACTAGTGAGCAAAAGTCCTCCCCTAAGTCTCGCAGGAAGAGAACTGATGAACCTTGGCACACAACCTTCTCCCTGGTTTTGAAACTGGTACTTGCATGAATCGATGAATTATGACTCACAAGCTAGATTTGAATTCCCTCCATAACCAACCATGAACCAGGGGAAAATTCATCCAGCCCATGGCCCCTGGCCCCATAGTCATACAGTACACAAGGATGGTTCCCCGGCCTAAGGTGGTTAGCCCTAATTTAGTGCCGTTCGCAGGAATGGGAGCGGGAAGGCCCCTCGGCGGGGGTCTGTGTTCTTTCGCCCCGAATGAGATCCGGATCAGCTGATACAGTACGGAGTACTTTCGTGGGAGTGAATGCATCATGCGGGGGGTTCCACGCGGTATGTGTGATTGATGGCCTTGACTGCAGTGTGCCCCTCGGAAGGGGTTGTGGGGGGAGGAGTTGCCCACTCGCGAAGAAACCTAGTGACTTTCCGTAATATCACAGATATTCATGCAGGAAGATCAGCTCGTCGGACGATAAACTGCGTGATGATTTCTCTTGGACTAGACTCATTACATCGAGGTACACATAACGAGTTGGCTATCATTGGATGAGATAACTAGTCTGTTGTTGTCACTAGAGGGGTACCTAGCTACCTTGGTTAGAAATATGTCTTCCTCGTACCTCCTCCGCTGCCTGCACTTCATTTGGCTAAGTGCACTGATGGTTGGTGAACACCACTACCATTGTCATCAACGGTATACTGCATAGCCCCCATTTGGCATACAGAGCTCCAAGGGTTGTCCGTAACTATGGACAGTTCAGTTGACCCTTCATGTAGTTGCATCGCAAGATTATATTGCGTTGCCCGTAGAATCCACCGGATCAGTGAGACCTTTACTGTAGGTCTCAAGGGTCTGGCAGAGTCCGCGAGTTCATCTCCGGGGGTTTCTTGACACAAACCCTAGTAGGGAATATTGACTCACCATACTATAACTCCCTCTGGCAACCTTCTCTCACAAGGCCAATCTCCTGAACAGACTCGAACGTGCCCTTAGGCTCTCTCGCGTGAGCTGCATTATCAACCCTTAATAATGGCAAAGAGCCTCACTCGCTGTCCGGAAGCTGATACTCCAGCCACAGGGTCTCTGTCATCTACGAACGGTAAGCGGCAGTCGGAATTCCGTCACGACAAAGCTTCTTGCGAATCCAAGCAAGAGCACCACATACGCTGCATGGGCGAAACACCAACAATTGGGCACGAACTACCCTGCAAAGGGGATCTAGTTCAAGATACGAACTCCAGTCTGGTATCCAGCAGGAACAATGTCCTCGACGACACGCAACGGTCACGCTTCTCTCATAGAGCTGAATAAGATTACCCTCCCTCTTATACTCACCAGATGCAACGTTGAAGGTTCTTTGAAACACTCAAAGGCAGGGTCAAGAAACAGCCACGCTCCACAGGCCAAATAGGGTCACTCTTCTACTCACGCTCACGAGAGTGTGCGCTCTATGCAACTGAGTTACCACGTGGGCCGAATTCATGCTGAGCACCCTCCCGTCCAGCCAGACACAACTAGCCGTGTATATTCTGTCAGAAGCACAGCCAAGACTGGCGGGGGCTGATCTGGTATATGCACACATAGTGAGAGAATATAATGGACAGGCAACTGCAACTGTCTCGGGGGCAGGTTATACCTGTAACACAGGCTCGAAAGACCTTGCAGAAGAACACTCTGAGTTCGAATCAGCAAGAAGCATACTCAACGCAGATAGCAAGCGTACAGCTGCAGTCGAGCCAGATTATAGACCCCCTCTTTTGCGTAAGGAGCTTTATTTAGCGTTGGGTTCCATTGCTGCGGCGCCATCCCATGATTAGGGCTCCGGAGACATGGTTCATGTATCAGAGTGACTGAGCTGCGACCACGATACGCAATACAGCAATTGACCTGATTAGCTAATGTGATAGGAATCCATTGATACTGTGATACTCACCACGGACGTTTATCTTTATCTCGACGAGTCTGCCAAGTCAACCGCTGCATCGAGATGCAGGACACAGCTCCGTGGATAGTCTGCATCCGGGAGTCGGACCCACAGCCTGGAGCATGAGCCCCACCCAGCACCAAAAGCACAAGACACGAAAAAAACAAAAGATGAAAGCCCAACGCGGGGGTTGAACCCGCAACCTTGAGATTAAGAGTCTCACGCTCTGCCGATTGAGCTAGCTAGGCTGGTTGTTGAAGAGCTAACTGCTATTGTAAATATATTCCAAAAGACAACGGTGCTATGCACTTGATGCAATCATCGTTGCTTCCTTTGTACATGAGATACTAATAGCAGAGACACATTCTCGTGACTCAGCTATGTTCATTTACAGAAGAATGCATCAGATGTGGTTTCTCTAGGTACTATGCTACAGACTCCGAGTCATTCCCGAATCAGAAAGGCATGATAGCATGGCTGGATATATATTCTCGCTGCGGGCCCCGCCCGGATACAATGGCATATCCTAAAAGTGATGTGGATTTATGCCACCACCCTCCATGGCTGCAGCATGTAATGAGGAGAATACCACACTCTCGCATATTGCAAACTCAACCCGACTCCAACCATACCGGCCACTGCAAATGACCTCACTGGTCCGTAGCAGAGAAGTCCAGTGCCAGACGGTTACCGACTCCCACGATCGCGGTGTCTTCTCTGGGTGTATGCGTACAACCATCGCAACCGATTCAGCTGGCGGTCCATCTCATCAGCCAGATTGATCTTTGTGTCACCGGTAGTATTACGACGGTTCCCTTTAGTAACCATAGATCACAACCGATAGTGAGAGCGAGTGCAATGTTACTCAAAGCAAGAGCCACCGGAAACACAGACCGAAAGACGTCGTTAGGGCGGAACCGGCAAGCCGCTTTTGCTATCCCCAAAAGCAACGGAGAGATCCGACCTAATCTGCAATACAAGGCAATCAGAACCTCGTTTCCCATGCTGTGACTTTTGACGCACTGCTCGAAAGAGGCATCCGGGTTCCCGTGGATACCGCTGCCATACCGCTTCATCTCGGTGGTCAGGACGGGATGTCAGGAAGAGAGGCGGAGAACCGATCTCTGAATCTGGAGGTGAGGAGAGAGCATCGGGCAAGAGACGCTCAGAGGCAAATGGACGTTGAAGAGTACCAAGACATGAAGAGGCACGTTCATGCGGACCTATACCCCGACACACTGAAACCATACCCGACTCCAACATTCACATTCATCTCGTTCATAACAGACAGGTAGATCATGACACAGTTACAGGGATAGATTAGCACAACTGAACGCCGGCGAAGTCGACCCCGCATAATCGGCGATGATCGCCTCGACGGCCGCGTACAGCCCCGGGCCTAACAGAAACAACCCGCATGCCATCACAATGATATGGATGACTGTCATGACGCTGCGTCCCGCGCCTGCAAACAGCCTGCCCCGGTACAACTGCCAGTAGGCGACCGCGAAGAAAATAAACCCAAAGAACGAGTCGAAGGCCGCGCCCAGCAGCGACAAGAAGTCGCCCATGCTGGGGATGACCTCGGAGAAGATGAACCCCAGCACCCAGATCACCACCATCAGGCCCAGCCACACCCCCCAGCCGATGACCGTGTTGCTGTGCGCATGGCGCGAGCGGCCCATCAGATGCCCGAACACGAACTTGGCGCTGACGTTGGCGTAGATGACGGCGATGATGAGGGTAGGCGCGATCACGAACCCGAACGAGGCCTTCTTGTACGCGACCGTCCCCAGACTACCGAAAGCCGGTGCGGTGGCGTACTGACCCAGGTATCGAAATCCGATGGCGGGGGGCACGATGAACAGGATGACGGAGATGCCGGTGAGGACGGCGAGGGCCTTGGGGAAATCCTGCGGGCGCTCCATCTCCGAGATGAAGGTCGGAAAGAGGATCTGAGGCACCCAGAGGAAGGTGATGTTGAGGACGGCGTTCATGCAATTGACCCAGGTGGTGCCAGGAAGGGGAAAGGCGTAGGTGTGCACGGGGCCATCGCTGGGGTAGTCCCCGTTGTATCCGTACAGGGGCGCTTTCTCAATCCCCGCAAAGATAAGGAACAGAAGGATAGAGATGGCCATGCAGGCCGCTAGGTCGGTTCAGCGAATGCGACCGGGAGCCGATGCCACACGAGTACTTACAGGAGAACATGGACATGAAGGAGACATGGTGCAGCGTTCGGGGGACCGAGAGCACCACCCCCATGATTGTGCAGATGACCGAGAAAACCACCGTGCAGAGGGAGTGATCGGACAGGGTGTTGAGGATCTTGGCCCCCGTCAAGATGTGGAAGCCGATCAGAAGGATGTTGTTGGCCATCAGCATGAACCCGGCGAATGCATAGGCAGCCTTGCTCTTCCCAAATGCATAGTATCCGAAGTCACCTGCGCGTTGTGTCAGTCGGACCTTGATCGCATCATGCCCGGCAGAGACTCACATATGTTTCGGATCTGCGGGTGTTTCATGATAAACTTGTGCATGGTCATCGAGGTAATCCAGAAGAGGATCCCCGACACTAACATGGTGATGATTCCTGGCACCCATCCCAAGACGCTGTTGTGCATTGCATGGATCAGAATTCACACTTTCCGACCGCAGGACTCGACTTACGAGAGCGACCAGGATTGCGACATGATGGCCAGACAGACCTGCTCTCCGCACAGCAGCCACGCCCCCTTCTGCCAGGACATGGTCCGCAGCTGAATCTCATGTTGATGGTCTATAGAGTCAGCCTCGACCTCGCGCCATGGGTTGATGCGACCCCATACCTTCATTCTTGAGGGCATTCAAGATTTCTGCCGAACTGTATCCGTCCGAGTCGAACTCATCGACATCCGCGGGCTGCTGCACCGGCCGTTTCTGGTCGTCGGGGAGCATCGTGAATTGTTGTTGGCATGCACGATCAGCGACCCAGTATGAGGCGAAGGTATCTCCGCGGCAGCTGCAGGGTTTTAAACAAGGCGAGTGTATTCTAGACGCAGCACTAGTGCCAGCGGGTTGATTGGAGTGCTATGGCGTGATAACAGCGCCAATGTTCGCGATAAGGAGCCAGATAACCAACCAGCACCATGGAATCTCTCCCAGTGGCTGCTGATGGCTCTAGCGTGGCTCCTTGGGGAACAATGACAGAAAACTTTGAGGATACTCCCAGGCAACAAACTGTGCAGGTGCGTCGGGGCAGTGGCGAGGAAGGATCAGTGAAGGAGCTGGAGTTGAGGAGAGACTCGGAGATGGCCGAATTTGGGGGATGGCAGCGAATGTTACCCTGCCATGACCTTACATAATCGAAGTGGCCATCAGAAGTTATAACTGGAGTGATAGAGGAGTTATACAGAGTAACAGGAGTTATACAGGGTATCTGGACTACTACACCATAAGTGACAGCCTTGTGGTTGACACTACAGAATAAGGTTGTCAAGGGGGGTTCCTGGCCAGCCCACACACCCAACGCGCACACCACGTGTGCTGGGGATGGCGTCAGATCCAGCCTCAGCTTTGCCTGCCACCCCGTATTGAACGAGTAGGATTCCAGTGCCAGTCCTGTTGGTTCATCCTACCAGTGGATGACGATAGAAACTTTGTTGAACGCTGGATTTTCAAGATGGAAGAAGATTTACCCACACATAAAGTATCCTGCTTGCGCACTCACCCACAACCACTCTCTACGGAGTAGAGATTTCAGTGAAAAGATTTCAGTGAAAAATCTTGGATCTGTGAAGCAGACCAAGGCGATGATTGAATTTATCTCAAGCTCAGCCTTGAGATAAATTGCAATGCACGGCCTCAGGCATGAAGTGAAGAGGGCCACCGTCGATCCGAAAAAGGAAAGGAACGCGGTGGGACTCAACCACACTAGACCGTTTTCGGCCATGCAGGCTTTTCCGGTCTGCCAAGACGGGGTTGCCAGGTGTATGCCTGAGGCAGAAAGGAATCCGCAGTGAATACCGGTTCGTCCGCAGTGGAAGAAGTCATCTTCCAACAAGCTCCAGTGGGCTGTACTCGAGAAGAATCAGAAGCGCAGATGACTTTCTGCTAGTTTTCCCTTTTTTCAAAGAGCATCCTGCTAAAACTATTTATATCTACTTAGGCCAGGCTCATACCAGTCATCAATAGCATAGCACAATCCAGAATAGACGACCAGTGAATCCCAGTCCTGCTTGGAGGCTCCCAGAGGAAGTGCTCAGGCTAGTTGTTGAAATAGATGAAAATTCGTCCGCACTATGTCGACGACCCGCGCATTCGTGGCCAGACGGACAACAAGCATAACCGCCCTGATATAGGCGCACTTCACCGACATACATGATAGAATTGTGCTGGGCTGCTCTGACCAGGTGACGAGGGTAATTCACCAGCATTACCGCAGCCGCAAGCATGAAGTGGCCCGCTTGTCGCGTGTCTGCACAATTCTGCGCTGACCAGGAGTAATCTTTCCATGCACAGAGCGGGTATGTCCTGGCGCTCAAGGTCATTGACAGTGACTGACTGGAAGACGACTGCGGGTCAATGGTTGATACCTCACATCACTCTGGCATGACGGTGAGGAGACATGAATCAAATCGCCGGAAGGGCGAGATGCAGACTCGAGTAGCCGTAAGCGATGTGGACTCTATCGGCGGATTATGAATTCCACCTTCTGGAATTGCAATTGCCACTTCGATGAACTCGAACCAGAATAGAAAGACCCACCAACAAACCCACTCAATAGTCTTTATCACACCCTGAGCAACGGTGCGATATGTGGATCTGTCATGCGTCTCAAACAGGTCACTATGCCTCTTTCGTAGCGCAAAAGTTGTGGGGAAAGCATACTCACTCGATCATGCATGACCCTGCTTAATTTCGCCTACTCTTGTCCCAGATTCATCTTAATAACTGTCCAGGAAGACTTCCCTCCCTGCTGATAGAATACTCCCACAACGTCTGGATCGACCACTGCGATGTCTCCTCCGACCGCAACCACGACAAGGACTACTACGACGGACTCATCGATGTAAGCACTTCTCCCTTCCCCGGAAGACCCACTCACGCAACCACCCACCAGGTCACCCACGGCTCCGACTACGTGACCATCTCCAACACCTTCATCCACGACCACTGGAGGCCTCGCTGCTCGGCCACTCGGACAGCAACGCCAAGGAGGACACCGGCCAGTGGTGGTCAGTGGTAGATAGTCATTCGTTATCGCGTAGTGATCTGATAGTTCAATATATCACCTGCCAAGACGTGATCTATTATGGAGATCTGTAATGTGAAACGCCATGGCTTGCAAGGTCTCCACAGGTTCCTCGCTCGGACCAGTGCATCGCATCGCATGATTGATCTTCGGCAAATACTGTACTCCGTATGCTCGGGACGCACGTTGTTCGTTGACTCGCTGTACTGGTGCTACATCAGCAGGGGTGTTTCCGTACCGCTTGTGCGTTGTGTATGTCGTATGATAAGCCATATATACATAAAGATTAGATCAATACAGCTCCAGCTGACCCCCTTTTCCTTCCCTTTCTCTTGTCCACCATACAGAGTACACAGAATGTACTCCCCCCAATCCACAATACTATACTATACTAATTATCGTGATGCAACCCCCCGACAACCCCCAATCGAATCCCTCAATTGAACATGACATGATAGATCCTCTCCTCCGCCATCAAAAACATCTCCCCCGTCCTCCCAAACGCGAAATTCGCCACTCCGCCCTCCACGAGGATCTTACCCAGCAGCACCCCGCCACTGGACCAGACATTCACCCCGTCGCCGCATCCGGCGTAGACATTGCCCTGCGCATCGACCTTGATGCCATCGGGGACCCCGTTGTCAGCCATCACGAAGACGCGACGGTGAGTGAGGGCGGGTTGGTTGTGGATGAGGGATACGTCATAAGCGTAGCTGGTTCTTCGATCAGTTTGGTTATGTACTAGACAGCAGAGCGAAACATACATCGTAGCAGGCATCAACGGATCGAAACTCCCATTGCCCAGCGCATACCCCGTATCGGTCACATACAAGACCCGTCCATCGGGGGAGAAACTCAGTCCATTCGGCTTGACGAACCCATCGGCCACGACCCGCACATTGCCACTGACGGGATCGAACCGGTAGACCTGATTCGGGAGCTGCGGGGCAGGTCGCAGGCCCTGGATGGAGCCGTACGTCGGGTCGGTGAAGTAGATGCCCCCGTCGGTGGGGTGCACGACGACGTCGTTGGGGGAGTTGAAGGGACGCGAGTAGAAGCTGGTCAGCAGCGGGGTGGTTGCGTAGGATCCTTGTGCGGATTCGTTGTTGGTGGTGGTGGCGGCGGCCAGAGACATCACGTACAACCCGGCGGGGTCGGTGAAGTTGCCCAGGCCGCAGTACAGGATCCCATCCCCGTAGGCGATGCCGCCGTTGGGGTTGGGGATGGGCGGGGAGGGACGAACGATCTCCGCGGTGAGCGGGTGGGCGTCCAGGTCGACCTTGGAGATCTGGATGGTGGTCTGGTTGGTGGTCGGGTCGGTGAGGATGTTGCTGGTCATGTACAGGGTGTTGGTGGTGGGGAGGTAGACGGGGCCTTCGTGGGCGAAGGCAGTGGTGTTGCTGAGGAGGATGGAGATGGTGGGATGGGCCCCGGTGATGTTGAGGAAGCCTGGATCGTACACTTGGAAGGCGGAGGAGATGTTGCCCGCATACGCATACGGGAGGAGAGTGAGGGCCATCTTGTCGATTGACCCCAGTTGTGCAGTGTGCTGTGCAGTGTGCAGAGGGAAGTGGTGGTTGGGGATCGCAGGTTATAAGTCTCTGCGGGGAGAGATGTTAGAAGGTTATTCATTAATCGATTAACTTAGATTCTCGATGGTCTCTCTTGGGAAAAGATCATCCCACGCGGTCTTGGCCTCACCGAGGTTTCTCCGACTACGCCGGTCAGAACTGGTTAGACTCAGTGCATTTATCGATGGAGTCTGATTTTGTTCGTCGTGATCGGAATTCTCTTCCGAACAACAGGCAATAGCCGCCATTGGAAATACAGTATCGATGTTTTGTAGACTATATATCACTTAGCTTTATTATCAGCTATTACCCTAAGTCAACCAGAGGTAAGTCTTATTTAGAATATTGTATCCAGATATTCTATGTAGCTGGAGGTAGAGCTAAGAAGTTATTTAAGCTAATATGATATAGTTAACTAGTTATTGATTTAATAAAGTTAAATTATATAAGCTATCCGCTCAAGAATAGATAGTAGAACTATCAGGTACAATACTAGGTAGGATATTACTATGGATAATTCAACTACTATAGAGGAGCAGGAGTACTAGAAATAATATATATATAAAGCTATTTACTTGCTTAGCTTCATCTTTAGCTACTATCTAGTCCTAAATGACTCTGCGTGGTACTACTTATAAGTGTAGCTGGTTAACAAGATATAAAAGTAATAAAGTACGTATAGGATCAAGTAAAGGAATTATTCACATGATTTAAAGAAGACAGTGAATACATCAGTGAAGATCGATCATGAGAATTGCATTTCATAATGGCGGCTATCGTCTGTAGTCCTGTTTCTGAGGCACAACAGCCTTCCGTGGCATTGAGTCATCCAGATCCACTCAACTCATGCATAACAGTATAGAGGATGCCTGATGCCCTATCATCCACTTGTGCTGACCTGGGTAGAATGAGAATACCGTGGCATCCGTCCATCATCCACCTGATACTTGTCTAGCTATAGCTATAGCTACATTGAATGAAAAGTAACCCTAGGAAGGGCAAACCGTGAAATTGATCTGTTCAACCCATTAACCATAACGCAAGTAACTACATCTCTGTTTTAGGTGCTAGACACACGACCACACAACCACTGCACGAAGCCAACCATCCCCCCTCACAGACAAAACACCAAATTATGCCTCCTTCTCCTCCTGCTTCTCATTCTCCATGAACCACCGCACACTCCGCTCCAGCCCCTCCTGCACCCCAACCTGCGGCCGATACCCCAGCACCCTGCGCGCCTTCGCCCCGTTCAACGTGCGCGTCAGGGTACTGAACCGGATCCCCTCGCGCGTCATATTGGCCTTCCTGGTGCCCCCGGAGACAATCCACGCCACCCACTCATTGAACCAGCCGATCGTCAACCCCACCCACTTGGGAATCACGATCACCTCCTCGGGCCGGACGGGCTTGCCGGCGAGACGGGAGACCTCGCGCTGGAAATCCCAGAACAACCAGGGATCCTCGTTCGTGATGTGGAAGCACTCCCCATCGACGCGACTCTCCGGCGGGGGCGCGGGTTTTCCCCACGCCTCGACCAGGGCATGCGCGGCCAGCAGATGGGCATCGGCCAGGTTGCCCACGTACACGAAATCGTAGGGGTTGCGTCCGTTGCCCATCTGGAAGCGCAATTTACCCTGGCGCGCCACGGCGAACATCTTGCCGAGGGTGCCGATATCGCGTTCCCCGAAGGCGAGGCTGGGACGGATGGCACACGTCAGGATCCCGTGATCGTCTGGCTGCACCTCCTGCTCCTTAGTATCATCATTCTGATTATTATGATGATTGAGGAGGCGGGTGCGATTCGCCGCTTGGATCGCATCCTCCGCATCCGCCTTTGCAATGCAATACAGGCGCTGCTGCACGGGCGGCCGTAGGATGGGCAGCTCCTCGGTCGCGTCGATCAGATCAGTGTGGTTGTCGTTGATCACCCCCGAGGTCGAGGTGTTCACCAGCGCCTGGACGGTGCCCACGTCGCGCGCGGCCGCCAGGAGGTGGTGCGCCCCTTCGACGATAATTCCCCGGTAGGCGCTCTCCGGCGCGTCGGAGAACTCGGGCGAGGCGGTGTGGAAGATGGTTTTGGGTCTCGCCAGCTGCATGATGCGCTGCACGTCGGCGGCGCACGAGAGGTCGCCTTCGTGGTAGTGCACGCTGGGGGCGGCATGGCGGTTGCGCGTGGTGGTGACGTCGAGGCTGTGGATGATCGTGTTGGGGTCTTCGGCGAGGAGTTTGGCGATGATGTGGTAGGCAATGAAGCCGTTGCCGCCGGTGATGAGGACGGGACTGAGGGACATGGTGTATATATATATATGTGTGTGTGTGTGGATTGAATATGTGTGTATGTTTATGTGTGGAGGTGGATTGATTGTGTATGGGAGAAAGAGAGAGAGAAAGAAAGGAAAAAAGTCACAGAAATAAGAGGGCAAGGCTGTTCTTATTGTTTCTGGGGGTGACGGCACAAAGACTCTCTCATTCACGCTAAACACCGTTAGATTCAATCAGTGCACAGCACGATCCCTGCAGGAGACACCTATCACATCGCCACGATATCCCCCGGCAGGCTGTAGTACACCCTAGGGATTAGGGGCTGATTGCCGATAACTACATACTTAGTACTTGACTAGTACTTGGTACTTCGTAAATAAAAGGGAATGCTTATACAGTACATGCTTACTCAGCGACTGCTCATCGAACTACCAAGTACCTACTAAGTACCTACTAAGTACCGACTAAGTACCTACTAAGTAGTTATAGGCACAGACAGCACCGAATGTCTCCAAAGCACGAGAATAATCTATATACAGCCAACCCTCCTATTCACTATCGCACTCTCGACCCTCTCACCACCTCAGACAGGCGGATCCGTCAGAAACTCCAGCTCCTGCGCATCCATCCGTCCATCCTCCCCGCCCTTCCCCTTCAGCCTCTCCCAAGTCGGCCCCCCCGGCCGACGCTGCATCGACAGATGAGTCCGGACCGCTTCTCCGGTCTCACTGACCTTGGGGGCCTCGCGACTCCCGCTCTGCAGGGAAGTAAAGAAGGAGGAGCCGATGGAGCGTAGCCGAGCAAAGCACATGGGGAAGGAGGTAGCGCAAGCGACAATAATGGCGATATTCATCTCGACAATCCTACCCCAATCAGCATCACCCTTCAATTCGCAGGTTCAAGTGCAAGAGACATACGTAAACTGGGCATTCCGCCCCGTCACCCAAAACACATCCGAATTATCGTTGATCTGGAAATTGATCAATCGGGCCAAACTGGTGGCGCAAGCCCTACCCTCCCCCCTCGTTAGCAATTCTGTACGGCGGCACCAGACACCATGCATGCAACGGGGACAGGGAAACGCACCCCAATCCACTCATAAACGTCACGAACAGCCCAATCCGTCGCCGTCGACTCACTTGCAGCTTGACCAGTCGCGGGATCGGCAGCAGTAGCACGTAAAAGTCCGTCACCACGTTGATGACCGACTGGATGGTGATCATCGTGTCCGAGGTGAACTTGCAGTACGGAGCGTCCAGCTGCGAGAGCTTCGCGCATTTCACCAGACTGCCGATGGCGACGGCGATGCAGAGGGTGTACAGCACCGCATCGGCCACGATGCCGATCCAGACGGCCACGATTTCGCGGCGGAGCGGGAAGATGCGCTTATAGAGGAGCAGGATGGAGATTTTGGCGAAGCACACGGTCCATGGGAAGGTGATGCCGCCAGCGTCGAGGACCTGGCCGAGAAAGAATTAGGGTAGGGGTCGGGATGGATTGTGGAGGGGACCTACTCGGTTGGATGAGGGGTGGATGAGGTTGATGGCGCGCACATCCCACATATGGCGGCCGATGCCCAGGGGGAGGGCTGTCCCGTAAGGAATTAGAGGGCTGAGATGGACATAAGGATGAGGGACTCACTTACTCTGGGTGTACAATGTCATATGTGCTATCGAGCCACACTGCTTCTCCTTAGCATGCTGTCGAAAACCACCGGACCACCACCACCATCCCAGGAACTTACTATCGCGAGAATGCACGTCGCTGCAAGTCACCCATGTCAGCCACATCCTCCACCAACAAGACTCAAACTTACTGTCTTCAGCCCCCCACATCTTGATCAGACACGTCCGCACCCAGACCCGCGCCGATACCGCCAACAGCGCCAGAAACAGAAAGATCGACTGCAGCACGATAATCGCCGTCCGCTGCGACGGCGGGTTCACGAAATTCGACACTTGGCCCGCCGGCGGCGCGACAGCAGGGATGTTGTAGTAATCCATGACCAGGCAATGCGGAGCAAGCAGAGCAGAGCAGCGCAGGCAGAGCAGAGGCAACGCCTGATCGTGAAGGAAGAACTATCAGCATTTAAGACCCTCCTCACGCAGCTTACCCACCCTGCTGAACCGATGCTGACAGACACAGACCCAGATCAGCCCGAGCGGAACGCACACAAGCGTGAGGACCCGTGCAAACATTCCTGCATGTCAGATTCCTCAGGTCAAGCGTCGCCATGCTCCGACAGTGCGAAGCGAGAAGCAGACCGGGAGGCCTGATGGAGGGGATGACGGACTGACTCTCGTGGGGTCCAAAACCTGCGCCTGGGATTCCCCCCGGCCCGCATCTTCAGACGGTGCTGGTCTGGACAAGGCTCTGCGAGAGTTGGGTGGCTTGGGCTTGATGTCGTTGTGGTGGGGGGGGGAGCGAATGGCTCTAGACGCTGGGCTTACCAAGCGTGGCTGCAGGATCAACCCCTCCCTCAGCGCTCGGCGCCAATGACTGTCTTGCAGATGATGTTTTTAATTGCTATTGCTTTTGCTATTGCTATTGCTATTGCGCTTGTGATACGCACACGCTTGTCTGCATGCATGCACTACGCACCGAGCGTTGGGGGATGGAGCCAGTCAGTGGCCTCGGATTCCATGCCTTTTCTTTTTTGGTTGCATTGCAGGGCTTCACGGAGTCTCCGGGGATATTCCCCCTTCTGTCCCGCGTTTCTGGACCATTTCACTCGATACATCCGCGGGATGAAAGTGGATATCTCGTCCAGCCTGGCCTATCTAGGTATTAGGGGTCCATCTCCAGGCGAAATCCGCTGGTGATTCGACGGTGCCACCGGAAGTATGTCCAGTCTATACGGAATACTTCTTAGTAGTTACAGTATAGTGCCATGCAAATATCGACCACACACACCACAGTCACCACAACACCACAGCGATAGATAGTCCTACAGCCCAACGTCATCGCGTTTTCCCACCACCAACCGTACATCTCCACCCCGAACCGGCCCCCCCGGCCCCGAGGAGACGGGAGTAAACCCTACCTGCGGAACCCCATCCAGCACCGCCTCCACGCGGAACCGCCGCACCACCAGCGCCGCAAACGTCAGCGACAAGCGCTTGCTCAGATACCGGCCGACGCATTTATGCTTGCCCGCGCCAAACGGGATGAAACTCTTGCTCTGCGCCAGGGCCGGGTGGGCGAGGAACCGGTCCGGGTCGAAGCGGTCCCACTCGCGGCCCAGAATCGGGTGTCCCATGGCCAGCTGGCGGTAGGGCACGAGCAGGTGCGCCCCCGCGGCATAGACCCGGTCGTTGATGGTCACCGCCTGCGCGACGCTGCGCGCCGAGCTGGAGTTCATCGTGAGGCGCTGAGCTTCATTGTACAGGGCGGAGAGGAGGGGGTTCTGCTCGAGGCGTACTGCGAGGGCGGAGAGGGGTTCGCCGGCCGCCGTGCTCTGGGAGATGAGGGTGTCGACTGCGGCGGTGACGGCGTGCAGGGTGGGTGGGTGGGTGCTGATGTGCGCGAGGATCCAGAAGGGGAGTTTGAAGACGTTGGCGTTGGCTCTGTTCCCGTTCGTCAGATCTCACTCACGCAGGTCGATAGAACAGGGATGGATGGCTGGCTACGGACTCACCCCCAAAGCACCATCAACAAATACGCGGCCATATCGGCCTCGCTCAGCCCGCGCCGCCGCATCTCCGTGAGGGACTGACGCACTGCCCAGGATTGGTCCTCCTGGCTCGCGGCGGGCAGCCGCATGTAGTCGACCAGACAGCGCAGCACGCGGGTTCGCGCGAGACGCACCGCCCTCCCGCACGGCCGGGGGAGGTTGAACAGCAGCTTCCACAGCTCGTTCTCCAGACACACCAGATCCTCGACCAGGGACGGGGAGAGGTCCCAGATGGCGGCGCCAAAGTAGGCGGTCGTGACCGCGTGGATGATCGCCGTCTGCGCCCACTTGTAAAGCGAGACGGTGCGGCGCTGGCCATCCTCCGCGGGGTGGAGCAGGGTCGGCGCCTCCAGGGCCTCCCATCGGATGTGCGACTCGAGCACTTCCAGCGAGCGCGAGAGAATGGCCGGGCTTAAGGACTTCTCGAGGAGCTGCTTGCGCATGAGCTCCTCTGCGACCAGGACTAATGGCGGGGCCTGGGCTTTGGCTTCCGACTCGTGGTCCATCTCCGAGATGCCCCGTTCAGAGCAGCCCAGCCCCCGGAGGAGGTTCTTCAGGTGCTCCACGTGCGTGAGCTGCGGGGGCTCCCTGAGCACCGCAGTCGCATCCTGCTCCGAGAGGATGTAGTAGATCTTCTGCCCGAAGACGTTGATGGCGACCGGCTCGCCGCTGCCTTGGCAGTACGTGCTGTGAAGACACGGATTAGCCATGAGGGAGGGGGGGGATATGCGAGTGCTAGACTCGAAGGGGCATGGATCCTCACACGGCAGACGATAGCAGAGCATGGGGATTCCTTAGCATCGGGATGGCATGGCCTGCCCCGAATCATTAGCGCCGTTCACGAAGGGGTCCGAGCATTCAGGCAAACCAGGCCGTACCAACGACTGTGTGTGTGTGTGTGTGTCAGCAGGAGATCATCACGGTTTCTGCTAAAGTCGCACTCACAGGGAAACCAGTAAGGAATCTCACGCGGCGAGTTGGGGCTGAGCAGCGGACGGACGGTGAAGCGCCACAGACGCCAGAACCCGAGAGCTACGACGCCATAGAGGATGGTGTCCAGCAGGCTCAATCGATCCTGGATGAACCCAAAGTCGGTGGCAGGAAGAGCGTACATGATGCACCAGACACTGCAGCAGAAAGACAGTGGAACGGAAGGAGGGTGAGGTCGAGAGGTAACCGCCCCAAAACTACTCGTCCTTATATTGACCACCCAGTTTCTCCGATGAACGATGCAAGCCACGGCTGGGCCATCACATTCGTGACCGAGCTGCTTGGCCGCCAAAGCAAGGATAGGGATTGGAGGGGCTTCTTCGACCGAGGGCCCAGCCGGGGTTTCGGTTTCGCCACGTCGACTGGGCTGCACGATAGATTAATATCGCGAATATTGCTGGCCTGATGCGGACTTGTCCGCGGCTATGAGCTGACTGGCTTATCGGAACCACTATTCCTAAGAGCATGGCAGTGCACACTGCACAGTACACCGGCTGCGGCTGAAAGAAGAGGGCAGTTTCATTCTGAGGATCACGAAAGACCGGGGATCGCAGGTGTTATCTTTAGGGCCAACCACGCGTGAACACACGTGCAGAACAGAGCAGTCCTGATAGCGAATCCGATGCAAGACGAGCGGGGTGATGCCACTATTTAACCTCGTATTCCTGCAGGTTCTAAACTAGCGTAGAGTAGCGTAGATTATTATCGATGAATATAGGGTCTGTGCCAAACTTGGCATTCCTCCGCACGGGAGGATGAATTGCTTGTCTAACTCCATCCGCTTAGGGCTTCATTTCGAGGGATCCCCCGCGGGCGAAACGCTCCTTATCTGCAATGATGGCTCAAGCATCTGATCCTTGGGCTGGTGGATGGTAGCTGGGCCGTGGGCTGCGGCTCCTTTTGTAGTTGGCCTGTATCCGTATGCTTGGTGCTGCTCCCCCCCCGGTCGTGATGATTCTGTAGTTCTACAGACCTTTGCCTGGTGACAGACGGCATGCAATCCTCACTGTCAACCGTAACCTTCAATCTTGGGGCCGTTCCTTGGGCCGTGCTGTCGGTCTTGGTTTGCGGTTGGCTCATTCGCTGTGGGATGCGAGCCAAGGCCCAGGAGCCGGTAGATCTACTGCAGCACTGGAGTGAACCATGCTGATGCCATGTTAGAGACGTCAAAATGTCCTCCTCGTGGAGCCGTCGATCCCCCTGCTCAGGGTGGTGAGCCGACTGCGATATCTTTTGCAAGGGCCTGAACTGGTGCAGCAAGCGCACGTAAGTCCGTCCTATCCCCCGGAAACACCGTCACTGAGCTCAACTCGTGTACAGACCACCGAGGGCGCCTATGCCATTCCCACCCCAGAAGGATATCAGGTCCACTTCTCGTCGAGGGAGCACATCAAGCAGCTGGTGCAGGCCCCCGACACCCACCTGTCTCTGCACGCGCTGGCGAAAGATGTATGTCTGCCCCGGCTTTTGGTCTCGCTGGCCGGCCCAGGTTCTTCGGTCTGACCCCGACAGATGTTCCAACCGAAATACACCATGAACGGGCTGGGCTTCGACGACACGATGAGCGCCAACGGGACGGTGCACCAGCGCGCCCTCCAAGCCGAGCTGCGCGCCGCCCTGCCAGCCCTAAGTCGGCCGCTGAACGACTGCATCGCCACCGCCCTCGCCGCCGAGATTGGGGAGGGCCAGTCGTCGGGGGGATGGCGCGCGCGGCCCATCTTCCCCATGGCCAAGCGCATGATCACCGCCGCCAACGCCCTCATCTTCTTCGGTCCCGACGTCTCCACCGACGCGACCTTCCTCGACGCCGCCCTCGAGTACCCCGAGCACCTCATGGAGACCGCCGAAGCCCTGCGCCTGCTGCCCGGCTGGCTGGCCCCCTACGCCGCCCCGTACCTGATGCGCCGCCACCGCGCATTGCGCATCCTGCTGGACCGACTCACCCCCATCGTGGAAGGCCGCATCCGCGACCCCGAGAGCGCCGCCAAGCACGCCGACTGCATCCAGTTCTTCGTCAACGCGGCGGCGCGCAAGCACCAGCAGCGCGAGTGGCCGGCGCGCCGCATCATCCAGGTCCTGCTGGGGGTGTGGTTCGCCTCCGTCCACCAGCCCGCCATGTGTCTGTTCTACGCCCTCGACGACCTGTGTCTGCATCCGGAGTACGTGCCGGCGCTGCGCGCGGAGGTGCGCGCTGCCAGTGCGGCGTCGGGGGAGGCGCACGCACCGCGTCTGCTGCCCAACCCAGCGCACCTGCCGCTGCTTACGAGCTTCCTGAAAGAATCTGCGCGGCTGCATCCGACAGACTCGATTTCCCTCCGTCGGAAGGTGGTGCAGCCGTGGGTATTGAGTGATGGGACCTCCCTCGCGAAGGACGATGTGGCTTGTATCCCGTTGCAGCCGATTCTGAGGGATCCAGCCCTCTACAGCAATCCACTCACTTTTGATCCGTATCGGTTCATCCGCAGCAGCCGCAGCCGCAGCAGCAGCAGCACCCAAAGACCCCAGAGTGAAGCCCCACCCCCAACCCACACCACCCCTCCGAAACACACGGTGGTGACAACAACATCCGACTTCACCGACGCAGACGCAACCTTCCCCATCTGGGGCCTCGGCAAACGCGCCTGTCCCGGACGGTACTACGCCTCGTTGCTGCTGAAGCTTGTGCTGGCGCAGATCCTGCTGCAATATGAGGTGAAACTGCCCGTGGAGGGCAGTCAACGGCCCGAGAAGCGGTATTTCTACTGGCGGTCGGCGATTGTGCCCAAGGCTGGAGCGGTGTTAATGTTTCGCGAGAGGGATACGGTGGAGGCATAGGGAGGTAGTTACTAGTTCGCTGGAGGGTTGGGTCTGAAGGTTGATTTGAACGGTGGTTAGTACTTGAGGATGGGAATTGGTTGTTGTGTTCTATCGCCTGATCATATCAGTTGCAGGGCAGATGGCCGTTAGCATTTAGTAGGGCGATACGTCCAGAATGCACCGCGGGGACTTCAAATCGTGCTGTGCTTTGCAGAGACACCGGGTCATAAACCGGCTGGTCCATCGTATCTTTCCAAGTTTTTACAGCCCTAACCGCCGTCGTTCATAGCCATCTCCCCCGGGATGGCTGTCCGGCCTCATCCCTCCCTGCAGGGGTTACCGTCTATTTCTCGCAGCCTGTAACACCGACCATCTAGCGACTTGTCATGCCATTTGCAATCTTTGCCTCTTTAGGGGGTAGGTAGGGATGGAAGCTCCCGCATGGTGTGAACAGTACAGTAGACGGTGAGAATTCCGGTCTAACTATCTCGGTGTGTTCGTCCTTGCTCTGTCGGCAGGATGAATACGGGCTGGGAAACCGTGTTAGAATGTGTTCTGCGTGAGCTTGAAATTCTCTGTTTCATTTCTTTAGTCGAGTCAATCGCGGGACTGTGTTTTCATCGCATACTACTACCAAATGCATGCCACCGAACAAAGCCCTAACCCTCAGAAAGGCTGATGGTCATGTTGCAGAACCAGTAGGCCGACATCTGCCCGCTGCATGGGCCTGCTTCGGACCAGCCCTGAAGTGGTTCCAATCTGTCTTGGGTGAATGAATCTTCCTAAACTATTGCCTGCTCCGTGAAGGAAGACGCGTATCCTCCACCCCGAAAATCAGGTGTCGAGGCCGTCCAGGGACTGGCCAATTAGTCAGCGGCAGGAACCCTGCCCTGATGACCCGCATTGGCTTAGCGTCTCAAAGACAGCCAATCGTAGAAGGTCAGAGGGGCCGCTGACTGATCAATACTTATATTTAAGGCAGATCTAAATTGGTTAGACGAGTTTGAGGATCGTCAGGGAGAACGATGCGCCTTGTTTGGCATGAGTCTGGATTCCTGGATGTGTGGACTAACCATGGTGGAGTAGACTCGCTCAGAAGGAACTTGGTAGATTTTCGCGAGTATCCTCGATTCTATTGTGACGATGGAGTACATCTGTGGACATGAGGGCTGATTCGAGGCAGTACGGAACATATCGTGGACTACTAAAAAGTGACGGTGGTTTCGTAGACAAGAACCCTCATCACTTTCTGAGGCATTTACGATGCTCCACACTCCTTGACATGTTCCATCTCCGAGAACAAGACGAGACAGGTCGAGACAGGTCAACGGGGCCGAGATCCGTCTCTCCACTCACTCCCTGATTATCTCCAAACCGGAGCACGGAGAATGACAGCGAAACAAGCCTGTCACAATCACCTATCTCATTCGGTTGAGTGAGATAAGATGTCCAAACAGTATCCCCAGGAACTCAGGCGTACGTAATTCCAAACCCGTAGTTAACTACTAGTTACTTAGACCCGCTAGCTATACCGACCCACCGGAACACCGGGTACTTTGATTTTAGCCTGCAGCTTACCACTGCCCTATCCGCAAGGTTCCTGACGGGACGTGCGTCAGGAGCCCTTGACGGTCTGACGCGTCAGCTTCAAACCAACCGTGCAGAAGCTTGGAATTCCAGCATGCGTGCATGGTCATGAGAAAGTTGAAGCCAGTCACATTACTGGGCCTACCAAGCACCATCGCTTCAGGCAGACGGATGCAGGCGGACGCGAACAAACAGTAGGATGTTACTCCGTACTGAGATGAGGATCTGCACAGCTGCATCTCTATCGGCTTGGCAGCTGTCCATGGGGCCCGGTTGATGCCGCGTACAGGCTAACAATGCTTCACTGGTCTAGTTCACACGCACCTAACACCAGTCCAGCATCCGTAAACCAATAATGCGTCTTCACGGCTTGGCTGCCAGGCCAAGCTCATTCTCAGATAGATGAAGCAGGCTGATGCACACCACCGGTCAGTGAACTATGGCCGAGCTGACGAGGCCGCCAAGCGTGGTAGTGGCCAGCTCGACATCGGTGGCAGGGTGTGCAAGATGTCGACAATCAAGAAATATGCGGTAACGTGGGACCTACTCGGTTCGCACGCGGGGTAGCCGTCACCGGTGCCGTGCAGTTCATGTTGGAAGGTTTCGCCAGGGGCAGGGTCGGAGTCGTCACGAGAGCCAGACCGGTGCGTCAGTGGCAGGATGAAGAAACGCGCCAACAGCATCATGGATTGGTGGGAAAGACCCTCATGCATCCAGATCGGTGATCAGTGGGGACCGCGGATAAGCTTATTCCCGCTCGTGAGCATCTCTACGTACACTCAAGAATGAGACTGTAGCGTGATGGGCTGCTTGAAGGGCAATTGATGGTCTGGTGGTGATCTACTGAATGAAAGAAGATATTATACCACATCAGCAACCATCCACATTGCTCAAGTCAAGGGGCGAAAATAAGGCAGGCGAGGCAAACCTCTGGTACAGCACGCGAAAGATCCGGTGGCTTGGCAGATTCTCAGGTAAATAACTTCACTTATAAGCTGAAGCCCGAGGAGAGGCAGTCTCGGAGGGTCGGAGAACCCTTCGACCCTCAATCCCGGGGAGGGCCACGCAAGCGGGTGACGAGGGATGAAGGGAGAGAAACTGTACTTTCCGCCTCCCGTCCGGCTATCCATGGATCCATCCATGCCCTAATTTTGCCTCAACTTGATACCCACCCCCCGTGGTATCTGCTCATGGTTACCGGCTTAAATACCTGCTAAATAGAAGGGCATTTCCCTTCCATGACGATCCCTTCTTTCATCAAGTCTACCACCCTTTTAGTCAGTCTTTTCAGGCCTACCATGGGCAAATTCTCTCACGCAGCTGTTGCTGCTCTGGCAGCCGCAACCGCCCATGCCACGTCGCTCTCGGACCTGTGTACTGTTTCCAACGTTCAGTCGGCTCTGCCGTCCAATGGCACCCTCCTAGGCATCAACCTGATCCCCTCGTCCGTCACCGCGGGCGTGACTACCTCCAGCGGGGGCATGGGTGGCATGAAGAAGCGCGCTGACAGCTACACCTACTGCAACGTGACTGTCGCTTACACCCACCCCGGCAAGGGCGACAAGGTCGTCCTCAAGTATGCCTTCCCTAGCCCCTCGGAGTTCAAGAACCGCTTCTACGTGGCGGGTGGTGGCGGTTTCTCGCTCGCCAGCGATGCCACTGGCGGTCTCGAGTACGGCGCAGCCTCGGGTAAGTAGTGGTCCAATGCCTCCCTCCCATAATATACCTAGTAGCCACTCTTCTAACTGATGCAGGGGCCACCGATGCCGGCTACGACGCCTTCTCCTACAGCTACGATGAGGTCGTGCTCTACGGCAACGGCTCCATCAACTGGGATGCCACCTACATGTTCGGCTACCAGGCGCTGGGAGAGATGACCCAGGTCGCCAAACCGCTTACGCGCGGCTTCTACGGTCTGGACAGCGACAAGAAGATCTACACCTACTACGAGGGCTGCTCCGACGGCGGTCGCGAGGGTATGAGCCAGGTCCAACGCTGGGGATCCGAATACGATGGTGCCATCACCGGAGCTCCCGGTAAGCTGATGTCCTACCCCCGGTGTCAGGACCCCCTACCCTAACTCCCTATCTAGCCTTCCGTTTCGCCCAGCAGCAGGTCAACCACGTCTTCCCCGCCACCATCGAGCACACCATGGACTACTACCCCGAGCCCTGCATGCTGGAGAAGATCGTCAACGCCACCATCGAGGCCTGCGACCCGCTCGATGGCCGCACTGACGGGGTCATCTCCCGGACCGACCTCTGCATGCTGAACTTCAACCTCACCTCCATCATCGGCGAGTCCTACTACTGCGCCGAGCAGAACTACACCTCGCTGGGCTTCGGCTTCAGCAAGCGCGCCGAGGGCAGCACGACCAGCTACCAGCCGGCGCAGAACGGCACCGTGACCGCCGAGGGGGTGCAGTTGGCGCAGGCAATCTACGACGGTCTGCACAACACGCAGGGCGAGCGGGCCTACCTCTCGTGGCAGATTGGCTCCGAGCTCTCCGACGCCGACACCGAATACAACTCCGACACGGACAGCTGGGAGCTGGATATCCCCTCGACGGGCGGCGAGTACGTGACCAAGTTCGTGCAGCTGCTGAACCTTGACAACCTGTCCAACCTCGACAACGTGACCTACGACACCCTGGTCGACTGGATGCACACGGGGATGGTCCGCTATCTCGACAGCCTGCAGACCACCGTGCCCGACCTGACCGAGTTCGAGGCCTCCGGAGGCAAGCTGCTGCACTACCACGGCGAGTCCGACCCCTCCGTCCCCGCCGCCTCCTCCGTGCACTACTGGCAGTCCGTCCGCGCCGTCATGTACGGCGACCTCTCCGCCTCGGAGTCCCTGACCAAGATGGCCGACTGGTACCAGTTCTACCTCATCCCCGGCGCCGCCCACTGCGGCACCAACTCCCTCCAGCCCGGCCCCTACCCCGAGGACAACATGGCGATCATGATCAACTGGGTCGAGAACGGGGTCAAGCCCTCCCGTCTCAACGCCACCGTCTCCTCCGGCGACTACGCCGGGGAGACCCAGATGCTGTGCCAGTGGCCCACCCGTCCGCTGTGGACCAGCAACAGCAGCAGCTTCGCGTGTGTCCATGACCAGAAGTCGATTGACACGTGGACCTACGAGTTCCCTGCCTTCAAGGTTCCCGTGTATTAAAGGGGGTGTCTGGGGGGGGGATATCCGTGACGGACATCTTGTGATTTGTGATTATTATGGTTCTTCAATTCGAGTCTTTGTACCTTCTTGAAGCTTTATAATTTTATAGCTGGAGCTCACTATCACCCTTTCTTATCAGTCCTCACCACTCGGGGACAGTCACAAACTAGATTCAGACTCGTATGGGTTGTACTTGCGATCGAAAGAAGTACAGCAAGCGAGGGCCGTTGCCCAGAGCCAACACTTCCACTGCAGGGTTCAAACTCCTGTGCAGGACACCCGCATGCTGTTGAGCCAAATACTTTAGGTCCCCATACAATACACCATAAGGTCCCTTCATTTCTCGTAACACCCAACCCTTAATGCCTTAGACCCAAGCGCAATTTTTAGAAAAAGCCCGCGAACGTTTCACTTAGAAACCAAAGATGAATCCGTACCCTCAAATCCGATCGACAGGGCCACCAAGTCTGCGTGCCAGGGTAGTGATGAGATCCACCCAATCCCTCCACCGAAATGTGAAACTTAGGGGTAAAGAAACCCCGAGTGGAATCTCAAGTGGGAGGGAGGGTTGATGGTGATTGGCCGGCGAGAAAATAGGGTGAGATTCCCCCGTCGGGTCCCCGGGGAGGATGCGGAGGTCGGGGGTGTTTGAGGCTGGGAGCTCCGATTCGTGCCATTCAAGACAGACAATGAGGCTTCCTTGGGGTTGAATATTGGGGTTGTGAGATTCTTGTATAGTATGTCATTTAGGGGTTTGTTCGGTGTGAAGATTGGATTGCATTTCGGATAGTTTTGGGTATTGTGGTAACAACTTGAGGTTGTGGTTGAGGGAAATATATATATATACAGGTCGAATCGTACTTCCTGACCACCACCATCGGCTTCGGAAGCCATCGCCAGTTCTAATAGGAGGGCTACGAGTACTGTACCTTGAAAAGATATTGATATACAGTGACCTTTAGGCGATAAAGTGATACAGTACCATTGAGGCTCATGTTCAAACTTCAACTTGCGAGGGATAGAACTGCCCCTGCTTCTGCCGACAAGGATGCGTAGTGGTTATATTGCAAAGAACCAAGACACTTCTAACAAGCACGTCTTGGTGGCGCAATTGGTTAGCGCGTACGACTGTTAATCGTGAGGTTGAGAGTTCGATCCTCTCCTAGGACGTCATTTCTTTTTGATTCTTTATCACATCCCCATGGATGTAGCTGTACGGCGGTCGTGGAGCACGAAAGGATGATTGCGACGATATTGCTTTTTTATTCATCGAGAATTCCCCTCCCTTTCCTTCTATAAGTAAACGCGGATGACGATAGACCTCGGATGCTTTTTTTGTATCAACCATGCCAACTGCAACCACGGCAATCAACACATCCCATAACTAAGCCACTCTCCTCCACCCTGCAAAACAAACCCTCGCGATGGCAATCACCACTGCACCCAGCAAGGCACTCACCCGGGCAAACACCATCGCCGCCTCGTACGAGCCATACCGAGTGATCATCGCCCCCGTGATGGGCGGCCCCGTCAAACACGCCAGACTAAACACCCCGAGCGCCATCCCCAAATACGAGCCGATCACGTTGGGCAGCGTGGCGGTGAACAGCCCGATGACCGCCCCGGAGAAGAAGCCAAAGAGCACGGAGAAGACGATCATCACCCCCGGGGAGTCTACGGCGAGCCAGCTGAGGATCAGGACCCCCGAGATCGCAGAAGACACGACCAACCCGTTGAATCGGCCGATCTGGTTGGCGAGCAGACCGGTCAGCAGCCGGCCGGCGAAGGAGCCGGCGTTCATGATCGAGATCAGGGCATTGGAGAGGTCGGTGGAGAGGTGCAGGCTGGACTGCGCGAAGGCCGGGACGTAGAAGAAGGGGGTGAAGAGGGCCCACATCACGAGGAAAAGACCCCCGACCTGGTAGGTATAGGCCGGGTGGCGCCAGGCTCGGTGGTTTAGCAGGGGCCCGGATTGGCGCCGCGCGGACGGGGTCGAGATCGAGAGGCAGGCGATCAGGCTGAGGGTGAGCATGAGGAACCCGATGATGCGCACGCTTCAGCCAAAGCCCAGGCGGGGGCTGTGCAGCATGCGATCCAGCGCGATGGGGAGGATGACGCCGGCGACGGAGGAGCCGGACGAGGCAATGCCCATCGCGAGTGGTGGGCGGCGCAGGAAGTATTGGTTCACGGCGGTTAGGGCTGGGGTGTAGGTGAGCCCGTTCATGAAGCCGCCGAGGATGCCTTGGGCGAGGAGGAATTGGTAGTACTCCGTGCAGAGGCTGGTGAGCATGATCGAGAGAATGAAGAGGAGAGAGCAGGGGATTAGGATGATCTGGTGGGCTGTCATGTTAGTGGAGGATGATGAGACCTGGGGAGCAGTTAGTCACTGACCCTCGGACCATAGCGGTCCATCAAGGGGCCGGAGATGAGGCCGGCGGAGAACATGAAGAAGGCATGTAGCGAGCCGATCCGGGCGATGTTGGAGGCGCTTTCGGCGTGGAGGAAGGTGCTTTTATAGTATGCTTCGTAGATGCTGGGAGGGTCAACTCAGAGCCATTGCTCGGGCTGAGGTGGCGTACGCAAATGCATTGATATAGCCGAATGTGTTGAACATCACACACCAGCAAGACAAGACAGCTAAACATGCTTTCAAGCCCCCTTCTGGGAAAGTTGGGGTTTGGGAGTGCTAGGTTGGTCGCTCATAGTATTGTCCGAGGACATGCTATTTTTCTCGACGGCGGACATAATGATGAGAGATTGAAAGAATGTAGAACAAAACACACACACACACACACACACACACACACACACACACTTTGTCTATACCAGACAATCAGCGAGGACTGGAAATGCTTTAGACATGGCTTTTCTATATAGGGTTGGAGACGTGGACTGGCTCGGAGATTTCCCGATGGGACGCTATTTCCTGGGGCCGAGTTCGGGGCCGAACCTCCCTCCGAGCTTCATTTTAGCCTCATCTGAGAAACACATTCCAGTTGAGTGAGTGAGTCAAGTGCTCGTAGACTGAAATTCTAACAGCAATCGACCATATCGTGTCTTTCTATCTACTCCAACACAACCCTCTGCATATACATATAAAACGGTGCTACCGCCCCACTCACAGCCCCATTACTCTCCACCGCAACCATCACCGCATCATCAGACACATATCTCAGATGATCAATCACCGGTTGTTTGTCATAGAGAATCGCAGTGGACACCACCCCTCGAAACTTGACCTCCCGCAGCTGATTCCGCACTGGTTAGATCATCTCATTCTCTTCCTCAAATGAAGTCAACCCCCAATAGCAGACAGGGAACATACCCGGGCCTTCCCATACGCCTCCAACCATGTCCAGTTCCCCGCCGCGTCAAACACCATAAGATATCCCTCGTTGACGGAGACAAGGTCCTTGCCGGCGAACTTCATGTCTTCCATGATGGCTTTCTCGGCGGGGTGGCCGCTATGGAAGACAGAGCCCTTCCATCTGCCGGACAGGAGCTTCTCCGGAGCAACCGGTGGGAGGCTGTCGAAGAGGTCGGCAAGGTCAGAGTCTTTGACCTTGTTTGGTCGTTTGGTGAGGGCCCAGAATTGACTCTTCGCCTCGCTGGCATTGTCGGACGTTTAGTGTTTGTCTGATTGCTGTAGTGACAGTGAGTAGAGGCATACCTGTCCGGGGCTTGGGTTGGATGTTGGGTCATCTCGTTCCGCTGTGGTTGTGTTTGTGGACGAAAGGTAGAAACAAATCGCAATGGCCTGGGTTGTCGCAGAGCGCATGCTCCAATTGTGAATACTTCTGGTGTGCGCCGAGGGCCTTAAGTATATACAAGAGCAGGCTATGACGTTGCAAGACGCAACCCACCACAGAAGAAGAAGATCCCAATCGAGCAGAATTTCCATTTTCAGGAAATGCTGCTAGGCGCGGGCAGTACAATGATATAGAGAGCATTCCTGATGTGGCGACGTGCATACCAGGAATGACTTGCCGATCTTCGCTCTTCTAGATTCAGCAGATTCGATACTCAATTTGGTGGCTGGCATTGTCAGGCCCGTCAATTCTTCTGGCAGATTGGCTGCCTCGGATTTCTTGTGTCATTTTGTCTGGCTGGGATGGTCAGCCTTAGAGTTGTCCGAGATCTCTTCTGGTTGTCTGTAGACCGCGTATTACGACAGAGAGAGATACGGTGATGATTCTATGTCTGGGTTCGAAGCCACGCACCTGATTGAGCAAGCCAATCTGCTAGCAAGGGTACTGTGTAGGTTCTACATTCCTAAAGCTAATCTAAGCGAGAAGAATCGATGCGATGTATTCTCTATTGCTCAGGTTAGGGTTTTTATTCCCTACTATGCCTACGCTCATGTACAGAACTTGCTCGAATAAAGCTTAGTAAAAACAATATATTCTGAGGTCGTCTATGAGGGATGAAAGCATAATGCAGGGGTTAAACGCCACTCTGCTCCTGCCTGTCAACTCTAGTCACAGAAAACAGATCAAGATCTCATCACATAATAATAAATTCATTGTACCTAGGTCCAATGAGCCTATGATGTAGGAGGAAAGAAATAATGGAGATTATCGTTCGATAAGCTGCGGGCAACTTTTCATTTAGAAATAGTGATGACCTTTGATGCCAGTACCCTTGGCAGTGCAATTCTCCAAGTGTTATCCTTTGTCGGTCGTAGGCTTACAGGCCTTTTCAATATTCTTCCAATAGCAATCCGGGGTTCATTCGCCTGAAAGCACACAGGGAATGACATCCATTAGCTTATTTATAGCCCCTTCGGTAGCATCAGTTCTGAGCTCATCCTTCACACCGATAGGATCCTCACACCGGCCTGGAAACAACTCAAGCTCTCCCCAGTCCACAGAACTGATCCATCAACCAATTTACAATGGATGTCCCAAGACCAATTGCCCACGAAGGTTGGTACACCGAGTTTGAAGGGCACACCATCCGCGTAATTGTCGAAAGATCGGTGCTGGACGACCGCGGGTTCCAAGCCACTCAGGTCGCCAACAACAACATCTACGACAGACTCACTCCCATCTCATGCTTTGAAATCCCCACCAACCTCGCCGCGGGCGACAGTCCACAAGAGTTCGCCCGCCGCTTCCTCCAGCTCGAGTGGCGGAGGCAGCGGCAGAACCATTCCTTGACCCCGGATTTGATCTTCGCTGGGGCGGCGACGTGCATGGCGCACCCCCCGCGGATGCTGCTCTTCCACGAGGCGTGTCCCGGTCATCCGGGGAAGCCGGTGATTTGGAGCGCACCAAGTGGACAGATCGAGTTCCCTCTTGAGGCTGGGATGAGGTTTGATAGGGGGTTCTCGCTTAACCCTGACTATGAGCACGTGAGGGTGATGTTCCTGCACTCTATTCTCCACAAGTTGTGTTGCGACGCGAGAAGCCCTCAGCCTGTGCCTTGATGTGTCGTGGCTCTGTGGGGGGGTGGATGTGGTTCGCTGCCTAGCTCTTTACACTTTACTCTAGGGTATGGGAAGACCGGAAATGGAGATTCCAGATTTTGCTTCGTAAAACCTATGGATTGAGATTTAGTATCAAGGCTTGGCTGATGATCCGTGACGTATGTATTCAAGATATAGTATGTCTACTACTGACACTTGGGAAAGACTATGTATGCTCCCGGATACATTATGCTAACGGGACTCCAGAGTCAACCCTAATGTCTTGTATGATATCAGATATCTCCCGTTTAATCTGACTACGCTGTTAGTGATATTAGTACAAGCCCGGTCCTGCTGCAGTCCCTATCCTTTGTATAACCTTATAAGAAGTAGAATAGTAATATCCTTTGCATTCCTGCTAGCGTTTTTGTCCACATCTGATTATTCAAAGGCGAGCCTCAAAGGACATTGCGGGCTGGCTTGAGTCAAAGCTTGCACAGAAGATCACCAGCAACAGAGCTGTCTTAGCAATTTGTGAAGGACATTCACACATGTTAGACATCACTTGGTGCAGAAGGGAGCTCTCTGGAAGCGACTGCATGATCAGTCCTGTGCAGCAATACACTGAGTGATAGCATTGAAGTCAAGCAATGTAATGCCATGTCTATCTTTCACACCTTGACTTCTTGACTTCTTGACAGCCCAGGTGGAACAGTCAAATTCATCATCTTTTTCTCTTTTTGCCCCTGCTACCCAGAATCTCTCGGGGGTAGTCACATTGCTTCTACCACTTCATGAACAGAAGCTCATATAACCCCTTCGATACGTGATGCCCCTTTTGCAAGAATCAGAGGTGATAAATAGATAGAACTACCATCCCGGTACCAAAGGGACCCCAGAACCACTGCAGCAGACAACAGGGACAAGATAATCATACATAACAGCAGTGACTACCTACTCAATCACAGAAAGCCACTCCCAGACCATCACCAACAGTAAGTGACCACAACAGTATCATTCGCAGCCACAACCAAAGCAAAATACTGCCACACCCTGCTACAAGATTATAAAACATTCAATCCGGCTGAATTCCAGCAGTTGGGGCTGTGGTTTAGTGGTATAATATTCCCTTAGCATGGGAGAGGTCCGGGGTTCGATTCCCCGCAGCTCCATTTTTTGCTGGCAACAGCCGCCACACCAGCCGCATTCTAAGGATCGTGATTTTTGTCTAGATGACTTGAACTGTTTTAGGGTTGTGCGCGTAGGCTGTGATCCCTTTGGGATATGCCACGATGGAAGTATAAACTGCAAGAAAGGCCCGATAAGTACTGATGACTTCTGTGGTGGGGTTGCATTCGACGATGATACGTCCGTCACCTCCGTAGATTAGGGCTTTGGTCATCTCAGCAAAGAGAGCGGCGTGGTCCATGGCTCAGCTAGGGTACAACGCTCGTCGATAGTATTTTCGCTCATCCCCCCTCGTAGAGGGTCCCGATTTGGCTTCGGGCGTGCTGGTCCCATAGCCCGAAGGCCGTCCAATCGAGCCCGTCGCATGCGAGGATGAGGTGCCACACCTCTGCGATAGAGATGTCCTGGATACTCATCGTATCGAGGGTGTTGTGCTGCTGGCGGAATAGAAATTTCCAAGCGATGAGAGGATCGTCCTTCCAGGATGATGACAGTACTACAAAACTCGGCCCCAGCCTCCGGTCAGCATCTTGCGAAAGTACTCGGATGCGTTGGGGGTTTACCCCCTACATTCTTTCCACTATTCTCGTTTCTCAGCTTCCACCTCCCGACGAGCAAGAAGCTGATGTATTATCTACAGAGTATTCAGTGATAGATCATGTTCGGAACTCAATCCCGCCCCCGCCAAGCATTCCATCCCGTCATGCAAGAATAAGCTTAACCGGCATGAATTGGGGCCGAAACTCAATGCGGATAGACAGTCCCGGAGGATCGCCCAGACCTGGTGCCTGAACCAGCGTAGATGGCTCTCGAATCCTGGGAAAGGTTGTAGATTTAACTTTCGCAGCCATGGCTATTCGAACCGGCAACCCATGCAAACGAAGAGATCTAAACTCAAGCTTCAGAGTTTCCTTGCTTAGAGCCGGGATGAATCCAGCGACACAAATCCCGACATAGCCAGATCCGCAGAGCAGGGTACAGCATACAGCCATACTCTAGCTCCCGGTGAGGAAACCTCTCAACTTGCCAGCTTGCTTACCAACAGGGGTACTCCCAATGACTTCGAGGTACTGTCACTTGACTCTGCCCTGCGGGCTGGGAGCCTTTCTACCCCTGGGGTCATTACATGCATTCTAATTTTTTTTCCATTCACATCTCAAGTAAACATGAGCCATGTCACCACCATAAGTAGTAGGTGTACTGTGGCTGTGCCCGCTCGGCTCAGCTCTTTCCTCCCGCGTCGACAGGAAAGGAAGAGGAGAGGGGGAAAGATCCACAAAGGCACTCTATCTACTCAATCCCAAACCAACGCCTCGAAGGCCGATGCACGGACAAAACCAGAGAAAAGGAGGACCCGTCCGTCATCCACCGCCTCAAACAACCCAATGTACCCGCCAGATTAACTTAGAAACCAATCCGCATGATTTGAATTATCAACCCGAGGCCAGACCGGCTCAGACGACAAGCAACCCTAGCGCCGTCACCGGTGGCCGAGGCTAATGCATGCCAGCTCGCTAAGAGGCCGGCTTGCCCCCTCGAAGGAAATTGCCCGTGGGAGGGAGGGGAGGGATCAGAAAGGTACTGTTAAAGATAGTGCAGTGCCAGGAATGGGATCCCTGTCTAGTGTCGATTACTGTATCTCTGCCCCTCCCTGTCATGTCAGTGTCTTGTTCGGGGGTGGTGGAGACACCCAGGGCTCGGAGGGTTGCTTATATTGGGGGTGGTGGGGTGGGTGCTTTTGGCTTGCTGTACCTTAGGAAGGGGGTAGGGTATGTCATATTGTACCTTCTCGAGAGTCATGCGTGCTCTGGGTAGATGGAAGGGTCGAGTCAACGCGGTCGGATCGTGCTGTGCGAACGGATCCTGCCGCTAACAGTGCTAGAGCAGCGACTAAGTGGATTAGCGGGATTAAGTACCCCTGGAGGCGAGTAAGTCTTAATTACATAGTTACATGATAGGTTGATTCCAAGCAGGGGTACAAGTTAGATTCACAACTTTTTCCACCAGTCGGCGAGACTTCTAATGCTTCTAATTAGGGTCTATGTCGTCTATCGTATGCGGATACAGGATGCGTAAAGATCATGCTATGATATGGCACATATTGCACAAGATGGAGATAAGAAATGGGTAAGGAATATCGGCGGCAAATCAAAGATCGCAAGCTCATATCGGGGTGGTGGTGGTCGTCGTCGTCACCGTCGTCTTCACGTGGGGCACGCTCACCCCCTCGAACTCGATACTGTGGACGCTGCTGCTGCTGCCGCCGCTGCTCTCGCTCAGACTCGGGCTGTGGCGCGTCGCCGCCTCGGTCTCATTGCTGACGTGGAACTGGCGATGGGCCCAGATCTCGAGCGGGGGGTCGTGGATGCGCTCGCCGGACTCGGTGCGGTCAATGGTTGAGTGCAGCTGGGACTTGTCCCCATTGCGAAAGCGCGACAGGTGGATGGTGGAGCTGTCGAAGCGACTGGTGAACTTGCTGGTCTTGCGGCTGCGGCTGCGGCTGCGATCATACGAGGAGTGGTGCAGGAAGCCCTTCAGGTTGAACATGCGGCGGAATAGCGTCCAGGTCTGGGGCAGGTTGGCGACGATCACCGCAGTGGCGGCCTCGCGCACGTACCAGTCCACCCATTCATCGCCGTAGGGGTTGGAGATGGAGTAGTACTTGGACAGGATGGAGCACAGGATCACAAAGGCGCCCAGCGAGAAGACCCCCAGCAGGGTCAGCTTCTTGGTCAGGGTCAGCTTCGCCTTGATCAGCAGGGGCAGCGGGATCGCCATGATCATCAGATCGGTGGTCACGTTGAGCGCCAGCGAGAGAATGAGATGGTTGCGATACACCGAGCATTGCACGCTCTTGGGGGGCACGCTCCAGTAAGCGGAGAAGGGGTGGCACCAGCCCCCGAAGAACAGAATCTCAATCAGCAGGAAGCAGATTCCGCAGAAGAGGCTGATGCCTTTGACCCATTTATGCTGCGGGAGGCCTTTGCTGTCGGGGATGGCGTTAGTGGTGAAGTCCATATTCAAAGAAAGAGGGCCAGGCAACTCACGTCATGGTCGAGTACAGCAGCAGCAAGCAGGCCTTGCACCCCCAGATTGTCCCCAACCACATCTGTTCCACCACGATGACCATCTTGCTGCCCAGGATGCGGTCGGGGACGGTGGCGGGGTCGATGCTGTCGATTTGGTCCATCGGGATCTCGTTGGTGCCATGATGGGCCACGAGGATGAGGAAGACGGTGAGGAGGATGTAGAGAATCTAGCCGCAGTCGTCGTGAGTAGGGACTCTATGGATGCTTCTTGACGTGCCAACCCCATACGTACCACAGTCACCAACATCACGAAGTCCTCAATCTGCAGATTCCTCGGCGAACCCACTTGCAAGGTGCGGGAGACAAATCGCATGAGAGCTATGCCACCATCAGTTCCATTGCATGGCCATGATCTCAGAAAGGAAGCCTACTGATCAGCAGCACCACTGCAAACCACACCCAGGTATTCACACTGGAGGTCATCCTGGCGGCGAGAGGCGGGTGACAGCCCGAAAACGAAGGCAGTTAAGATTCGAGCGTCCTCAATATCCGAGTCATCGGGCTGGACCAGAGATTCCAAGGAGAGTGAGGGTCAGCCCGGAACTGTAGGGCTGTGGTCTCCCTTTTGTTCTTCCTTACACCGAGTCTGGCACTGGATTCCCGTGGGCTCTTCGCTTGGGTGGGGGGAGGACCTCAATTCAAGGATAATAGTCCACGGGCCTGACGCCACATCGGCGGGGTCTACCAAATTCTTTAGGTGGTTATCGCAAAGTTTATCATTGCGAAGGATTAAGCAAGTGGAGGGAGGGAGGAGAAGAGAAGGAAAGAGAGAATTGGGCGGTGATGAGGGACAAGGAGTCCATTCTAAAATGACTCGAGTGGGCGGACGAAGGGACTATGGCGTACTGTGTGTATGGAGTACGGGTTTCCTACTTCACCAGTGATAAGAAAGGAATCCATACCGGGCCCGATAGGAAGCCAGACCCAGGGCTACGGCGCAGCCACGGCCCACTGGAAGGTCGAAACACACAATGTCGCGCATGGACAATCTCCGAATTGGGAATTTGGCACACGTGGTTCCTGGGCCAATCGCGGCGATCGATCCAACAGTCACTGACACTGGGTGTCCTTGCACTGTCCGATGGGCAGTGATCGGCGTCTTTAGGGAGGAAAAAGTTTGCACTTGGGGTGCCTGGGGGTGAGATGCCACTCATAGGGCTGGGTAGGGTTGAATCTTTGAATGATAGATGCGCATGCTGGATGGAATATGAATTGGGCATTTTTCGTCCGGAGTAACACGGAGTAACACGGAGTAGTTAAGAATACGAACCGATTCCTGGAGTGATAACCCCAGGAAACGAAACCCCGGAGCGGTGGGTTCTCAGGGGGGTGGAAGGGGGACTCTGAGAAGCCTCCTGACTATGCCCGGTTTTCCAGGCAATAAGGCTCCAGATGATTTGAAGACAATCTACCTTGTAGTATTCATTTATCTTTGAAACGCTCTTCGGTCTTTCCTCTGGACCGGCAAACTCTAAAAGAAGACCCAAGAAAATTCTTTCCCGCATCCCGAAACTGTAAAGAAGTTATTTTGTGCCGGGATTGTGCTTCCATTTGGGCTGGTACGGTTCCATGTGTCTGATAGTTCCTCTCTCCTTCTCCAAGTCTTTGGAGGTGTCTACAATTTTATTTACTTTATCTGGCCTTCTCTGAACCATAAAGCCATTCAGGGAAGGGATGGAAGCCCAAGGGGGAGACAAGCAGGTCGGATCGAGATCGGAGACGGAGGATTGAGGGTTTCGGGGCTCGACCGGAGCGGGTTTAGGGTTAATTGTTAGCCGCCGATAGGCTGTTCGCTGCCTATCACGAACGAGTCATACTGCCACACTAACTACCTTAATGCAGGCAACTATTCCTTAAGGTAAGTTATGGCACGCATAAACTCATTCCCCTTCCATGCGAAGGATTGCAAACTCAAACTCCTGTCGGCTTCCTTCCCGGGGGAAATATAGATGAGCTTCTCGTGTTGTTCGGGGCCGCGGGTCGAATTCGTAATCAACCTCCGAGACTGTCGCGGTGCCTGCCCGTGGCCCTCCCAAGGTCCGGGTTGAAATAATTCTGACCGTGGCTGCAACAACTCTGTTTCTAAGCGGCTTCTGGCGTCATTTATCCGTCGCATTGTGAGTCCGGAGTCCACCATGGATGTAGTCGAGAGGAGTTCCAATCAATCTCAAGTACAGCCCTATGTCTATCGTGCTCCGTATGCGGCCCAATTAATCCATCTACGGAGTAAGTAGTAACTAATAGGAAATACAAACCACTAAGGTATCCATAGAGGCAACCCGTTGGCTGAAAATAGACATTGATTATGTTCAGTTAAGTTGACATTATCAGATTCCTACTGTAATGCCCCCCACATCCCGAATGTCTTGCCTCCTTGGCGCCCACCCGCAGCCGCCAACCCGCAACTTCGCCAAATGCTTCCTGTTCGAATGCTGCCAAGACAAGCCATGTATTAAAGGTTAGAGACATCGGAAATATCTATCCTCTGCTCATGGCTGGGATCGCCCCTTGTGTTCAGGATCATGCATTTGGGGTATGCATCGGATCTCCATGGCCGCGGTGGTCTTTATGTGCGCCGGTTATGATCCACCGAGAGGGAGTGGATATGCGTCGCTGCCGGTGGGTACAGAGATCGGCGCTCGCAGGCAAAGATCGATGATGGGAATCAAGGCAGATGAGGGTCTTCACGCAAGGAATGGTTGCGATCAGCGTGGTGCCAACGTCAATGCTATGGAGTAGAACTACCTTTAGAATGAATTGGCGACTGAGTGCATCGCAATGCATTCATGTAAGTTGCTGAATAAGCACTGCACAACTCGATGACTCACTTGTTGCAGTAGTTAACGTTAAGTAACTAAATTGACTATACAGTAGGTATAACCACTCTGTAACTTACATTGGACATTTCCTGAGATGTCCTCCATACCTCCTTACACTACCTAACTTAATGCTCTCGGTAATCGTCCGCCTGCCTGCACCAATTCGAGCATCCCCGATCGGCCTTTACTCGGAACCCCTTCTTCCGGGGCATACCCGTTTCAATCCCTTGCTCCGTGCTGAAGGATCCGAGTGGATCGCCTCGTGGACGCAGGGAGCATTAAAGTGAGAAGGAGCTATTCCAGGATTTTTCCACCGGAGACTCTTGATTCTGATGTACTAACTCCACTAGCATGCATGCTGCATTGCGGAGAAGAACCCAGTTCGGGGGAGGGGACGTTGCTATTGGAGCAGTGGACCGGGTTGGGATCATACGAGGTTTGGAGGATTGCCACGTTGCCGGTGGGAGCGTGGCGGTTCCTGGTGGCGTTGGTAATTGCAGTGCCTTCTTGATAGGGTGGATTGAAGAGTTGATTGTCTCGTATGATGGGCTGTATTCTTGGATAAGGGCTTGGCTGTACAATATCACTCGTGGAGGCGGCTGATTGAGGCTGTCCTGGGAACGAGGAGAACCCTTGCTTCTCGGCATGATGCCAATTAGCCGTAGAGTAGACTTGGAGGGAATAATATCTTATTTGCTTCTGGTCTGAAAAGTCGATTTTACCAGTTATCTTCACAGTTTCCATGACCATCCTCACCCCAGACATCACCCTCCATGCTTTAGAACGGGAATCAGACTCTCCGAGAAGTTGAACCGGGAATGGTACAGGGTTAGCATGCGAGATACGAGTAAAGATATACCCAAGACAATAAGAGCTCTACCCTCTGCACTTCATTGCTAATACAAAGATCACATATGACTCCAGAGTACAGAGGTGCTGCCAGGCTCAACTGAGCTAAGAATCTCGGGACGAACATCCTCTCAAGCTCGGCAAATGTAAGACCTTTAATGTCAGGGACCTCCGAGGCATATGTAGAGCTCAGGGTCAAGGTCAAGAAGAATCCAAGGGACAGACCGTTGACCTAATCGTGACTTATCAGCGAACAGAATCCAGAAGACTAGTAGGTATATAAGCGCCAAAGATCTACCAATTTACCGGCCAGGAGCATGCCAGGCTCCCAGGCAGCGTATTCAAGCCAGCGCCAACAAGAGAATAAGCGGATCCTATCCCCAGGCCAATCCTCGGCCAGCACAGTCGGAGATCCAGCCGGAAATTATCCCACGCGTCTAGCGGCCTTCGCAAACCGTTTGACGAAGACATCGCGGGCCTGGAGATGGTAGCGCGTTGTTGCAATGAGAGGGACGATACGATAAAGATGTGTTCCTTTCCCCCTCATCAGAATATTGCATATGTGCTAAGTGATCGTGATCCAGGAAACCACACATCCCCTGTCGAGAGAAAGTCACGTCATCGAGATTTTCGTCCGCGCACGCCCTACATACTATGAGCTGCTCTTCTCCGTGCAGGACGCGAAAAGCAGCCCACAGGTTTCATCAGGCGTGTCGTGGGAAGCAGTATCCTCCACCTGGCGACCTTTGGTGCCGGTGAGCGTGATGGAGGTCATTGTGATAGGGATCTGAGAGGTGTAGAAAGGATTTCTGAGGATTTGGACTCGATGAGTTCGACATGTTGAGCTGGAGGGCCTTCTACAGTATAGTTCCGGAGCATCCATCAATAAGACTGCCCCGCATGATTTCCGCCACGTTCCGAGTCAAGATGCGGGGAAGATGCAGAGATATCCTGCTTGTTATCGCTATCCTGCGCTTGAAGTCTTTGAGTGGAGGGATGATGCAAGTATCGGAGCGAACTTTGCTGGCCCATGCCGCATGGCGTCATATTGCAATCGCGACGGGTCACAGCGTCGCATCCCATCACTTGCAGTTCCTCACCGTCAGTCATCCAAAATGACTCGAATTTTACACGACTGAGCCCGACAGCCGGCATTAGTGTACTGGCATCATCTTCCCAACTCTCAGTCAGCTTACCCCCGACCCCGGACGGAGATCGGCATCTGACTGTCGTTCTAGGACCAAATGGCACGAATGACCAAGCCAACTCGGCGGTAGACCTGCACTCCCTGCAGCGCGAACATGGATGATGATATGATCGCCGGTTATTCGAGGGGAAGAAGCATGTCGGAGCAAATTTGGCCATTGGGATCGTGCATGTGTGCGACGCTGGAGGCTCCGCCCACGGCACACTGTTACTCAGCCCACAAGCCATGCAGCGGGGTGGGTCAGAGAGATTGATTGCGGTCGCTACACTGCTGAACATTAGATTAACAGCCGGACCATGCGTCAAGAAGAATCCCATGTCGAACCAGGATTGATGGTGGTGAGGATTCCGGGGCTGAGTGTGCGCATTGACGCTGTTACGGACGGGTCGGATGAGGGCAGATATAAATAGTAGGGCAAGGACGGGCGAGGCAGTGGCGTCGAAACGGACACTACTACTAAGGCATCTTCAAATAATCGCTAGTGAGAGTTCAACATGGTTCTCCTACTACAGCTGCTGCTATGCTATTTGACCTCTGGCACGGTGGTGAGTGCCAGCCCTAATCACACTCATTACTCCTATCACGAGCTGTGGATGCTGCAGAACTATTTCTGGCAGAACTTCCTCTATCCCACTAACCGGGGGCATATAAGAGCCAATGACTCCTCGATCTTTGCAGCTGATGTATGTCTATCATATATATCTATTTTCAGAGTGAATTGTTGATATCCTTGTTGATCATCTCCCCTCCCACTTCTTCTTCCCCCCCTCCTCCCGACGACTTCATCAGATCTTCATATTCCTTCTCTCGCTCAGTTCTAATCCCCCCATTAGGTCCAAGGTCGCGTGCATGCCACTCGCACATTTGACGGCCGCGAGCTCAACAACGAGTACATCTTCGGACTCTTCTCGCAGCCCGACCATCCGGGCATCTTCGGGCCGCCCATCGCCTACAATATCACCCAGTTTGCCGCCACCGACAATATCGCCGCGGCCACCACGCTCCTCAGCTTCAATATCACCACCTTCCAGCTCGTGATCCCCGCCGCCATCGACACCTGGTTTCAGTATGACTCGTCCGGCCGAATCATCCAGTACGATGCCGTCTTCCGCTGGCTGGATTATCTCTTCGTGCCCCTCATGCAGGCGGCGGGGAAGCTCTTCCACCTCGAGGATTCCGCGGCCATCCAGACCAAAGTAGCGTCCCTCCTCGCGGACGCCATCTGCCAGACCCACCAGGACCATTGCCATGGAGCCAACCAGCAGTACGCCTCCAAGGAGGACTGTCTGGTGTTTCTGACCCGGAGGGTGCGCTTCGGACAACCATACGAAATGGGTCAGAACACTTTGCTGTGTCGCGAAGTGCATGACAACATGGTGCAGTTCAACCCGTCCGTGCATTGTCCCCATATCGGTCCCAATGGTGGGGGTTATTGTGTCGACGACCGGACTTACCAGCAAGTGGTGCTGGAGAAATACTTCCAGCGGTCGTGGGTGCCTTACGGCTATGCAGACCACAATCCGTGGGTGGCTGGAGGAACACCCTGAGGATCAGATCGTGGCCCTACCGTCGGAAGGAGAACTTCCAGGCTACTGGTATGTGTTGCTCTGACCTTCCAGCCAGACGGAGCACGGTTGGCTGCTGTGAACCAACTGACCATAGAGCGAGTATCTCGCCCCTCGTACTCTTTGCTGGCAACACCGAGTCTCCCCTTGTCCCCAACCTGTCTGGGAAGGGAAATGGAATGTAACAGCGACAACCCAGCTGGCACACTGATCGTCAGAAGAATGCTCAGGGTCTTCTTGGCAGTTGAGAGTGAGATTGTCGATCACGCGCCAACCACCACCATCGCGTAGCTCGGAAAACGACGACTAGGCGCCGTGCTGGATAGCAGACTCTAACAGAGAATGGACGAGATGCCGCACGCCATGTCTCCACATCGATGGACAATCCGAATACGGATTGGTAGAGCACGAGTTCGCCTGAATAGTGCTTTTCCGAACCCCCTCTGTGGCTTTCGGTCTTGTTGTCGGATCAGGTGAGGTGCAGGCAATAGATAGTTATACTGCAGAAGACTAAGCCCCACCGGGGACTCCACCCATGAAGGGGGACAGAGTCTGTTCGAATTGCTTGAGTCTGAGATGATTATTCTCTCACTCTTGTCTAGAGAGTCAACTTAGTAGTAACTTAGTAGGTAGTAAAACAAACTAAGTACAAAAGTCAACCTCAGGCAGCAGCTCCGGGTCCTGCCGTCTTTGGGTCGTGCCAAGCCGGACAAATCCGGAGTCTCAACTCCGCCCAGCAACCAATCGGCTGATTTGCGCGCGTGATGTCCATCGAGGTCCGAAATCCATCCATTCATTCCACTTGATGCATGGCTTCATCTTCACCCACGACACAACACGCGGAGTCTATACCTAACCTACCACAGCCAACCCCCGATTCAAAGAGTAATGATCGGCCCAGCGCATGGCCCCCAGGGCGAGACTGACACGACCAACCTGCCAAGCTCCTTGGCCCCCCCGCGCGTCAATGCACTCTAATCTCGGCGATGATAGTACGCAGTGCAGCTACCCAGTGAGAGGTCGGCTGTGACGTCGGATTTCTGTCTAGCTATCAGTCTGCATCCCCCTCCCCCTCCATTCTGACTGTTTACCTCCGACGCCACGGCTGCCCGGATTCTCCGCCAACCATGGCTCCAGCTCCTTTGCCGCAAGATAGCCCCCGGGCTCCGTGATGGCATGCCGCTTAACGTCCGGTGCATCAGCCGAGCCGCTTACGAGACTCGATTCCTGCAGATCGGCGTGGTTCATCTCCCAATCACTGCCATGCATCCAAGATCCAAATGGGTGCAGAGAGAGAGAGGGAGGGAGGCCCTGTCCTGAAGAAAAGGGTGACCTGTGCGTGATCAAAATCCTGACATGCATCCCAGTCCGGTTGAGAATGGGTGCTCGTTCTCCACCCCTCGGTGGCCCTCTTGCCTGTACCACCTCGACACGACCAATCTTCCCCGGCGCAGGATTCAGCGCCGCCTGGGAGGGCATTATCGGAGCTGCCCCAGCGCGTATCTGATCTTCACGCCCTATCAGGCTTCCACCCGTATTATTCTCTTCTCCTCAGCCAGCGAGCGGGTGGAGACGAAGTGGATGGAGCTTATCAGCGCTCTTGTCGGATGAAAGATGGCGGACGCGACTCATCACAAGAACAAATCACGATCATTGGTGAGCTGGACGGGAATGTCCAGCTGCAATTGCGGCCAAGAATGCCTAGGATCGATATCTGGTCGGAGTTGACGACGATAATCGGCGGCCAAGGCCTGGAGTTACAGCGAGGATGATCCGAAACGGGGATGCAGGAAAGTGAGGCCGGTTCCAGACAGCGATATGACACTGTCCTCATGGCAAGCCATTATTGCCTGGCGGACAGACATTGTCCCGAGACCAGAACAGATCGATACTTATAAAGGCTGGGGATGAACCCCGTCCATCGATCCCATCATCAGCGCCATTCCTCTCTCAGCTTTTCCTTCTGCAATCCTCTCTACTCCTCACTGTCTCGTTCAACAATGAAAGTCGCTGATACCCCTGACTCCGCCTCCACGATCAGCATGACCAACACCATCACCATCACCGTCGAGCAGGACGGCTACTACGATATCAACGGATCGCGCCAGGAGCCCGTGGTCAATCTCCAGCTGGTGACCGGGGCGTCCAAGCTACGCCGCCAACTCAAAGAAAGCAACGAACTGATCATTTGTCCCGGTGTCTACGATGGTCTGTCCGCTCGAATTGCAATGAACCTTGGCTTCAAGGCTATGTACATGGTAATTGCCCTCTCGCCTTTCCCCGGACTTGTTGCGATACAACTCCCCCGCAGAGTTCCACTGTGCCAGCACTGACCAACGGGCGTTAGACCGGCGCCGGGACTACCGCCTCCCGCCTGGGCCAGGCCGACCTGGGTCTCGCCCATTTGTACGAGATGCGCACCAACGCCGAGATGATCGCCAATCTGGATCCGTACGGGCCACCCCTGATCGCTGATATGGACACTGGATACGGAGGTAGGCTGCCACTGCCCGGAGTCCGCGCAAGAGCGACAGGTTAACCAATCACCTCCCGAATAGGCCCCCTCTTCGTCGCCAAATCCGTGCAGCAATACATCCAAGCCGGTGTGGCCGGCTTCCACATCGAAGACCAGATCGCCAACAAGCGCTGCGGGCATCTCGCCGGCAAGCGCGTCGTTTCGCAAGAGGAGTGGCTGACGCGGCTGCGCGCCGCGAAGATCACGAAGGAGCGACTGCGGTCGGACATCGTGCTGATCGCGCGCACCGATGCGCTGCAGCAGCACGGGTACGACGAGTGCATCAAGCGCCTGAAAGCGGCGCGCGACCTGGGCTGCGACGTGGGCCTGCTGGAGGGGTTCACGTCCAAGGAGATGGCGCGCCAGGCGGTCCAGGACCTGGCGCCGTGGCCGCTGCTGCTGAACATGGTCGAGAACGGGGCGGGCCCCGTCATCAGCACCGAGGAGGCCAAGGAGATGGGCTTCCGCATCATGATCTTCTCCTTCTGCTGCATCACGCCGGCCTACATGGGAATCAAGGCGGCACTGGAGCGGTTGAAGAAGGATGGTGTGGTCGGGCTGCCGGAGGGGATGGGGCCGAAGAAGCTGTTCGAGGTGTGTGGGTTGCAGGATGCGATGCGCATTGATACGGAGGCTGGCGGCGATGGGTTCTCGAATGGTGTTTAGAAACTTGCTTTTCTTTGTTGGTTGTTTCCTGTTTCTGTCGTGATTTGCTGGTTGGGTTTATATCTCCTTTTTCGGTATTATTCGTCCCCATCCCGTCTAGCTTGACTTGCTTTTGGGATATGTTTGTTCTTTCTTTTTTTCTTATTTTTTTATTCTCTAACATATATTCTCTCGACACTGGAGGAACGTGGCTGCAAAATTGTACCTAGAGGCTGAGCTGGAGGCAAGGGACGGATCATGCACAGAGACTCCCGCTGAGGATGGATGGATATTGCGTGTCATTAGGAACACCTGAACAATACCAAAAGAGGATTCATGGAGACACAGTATATTCTGTATCATTATACGCTTGCTCAGTTGTGACTTCTCTTTTTGTACAATTCGCTTTTACGCCCTCGATGCACTCTCTTCCAGCAGCAAGTATCATTACACTCTATCTACTATAGCCGGGATCCCATTCCTGTATCCTGTAATGTGAGCGGGAGGAGTATAGTATGGATCACTATAGGCAGGCTGGTCCGGTAAACTCTTTATGCAGCCCTACCGGGTAAAACTGAACACACAACCAAAATCAGAGGGGACTGCGAATCGTCGATCTCTACCAAAGCTCGAGGTCAATTGATTGGATAGTCCTGGTCGGGGATTGTTTCTACACGGACTAAATACTGCTGCTCAATGGTCCAGGAGAGGTTGGCGTATCGAGAGTACAGTTTCAGCTCTATGCTCTAATTTGCCCCCGGCTTTCCGGCGGTTCGTTTCCGCTGGTCTCGTTTCTCTCGTTCTCTTTCGACAGCTCAGCGCAGGGCACCATGGAAGGTAATAGGAGATCGGATTTCATCACACATGACACGTAAGTAACATTGACGGGGGAAATATGCAACAGGAATGAGAATTATCACGCAAATAAGCTTGAACCAGAACCAGAACCAGATAGACACGGCGATCCGCCGAACGCGCTGGCGCGTCAATGCCTCGTAGATCGCAGAAAAACAGAAATTAGGTTGGTCCAAGGTCAACAACAGAAAAGAGTATCAAGCAGGAAGTATGTACGAAGCGAAGCAGACACAATCTCCAACCGGCCGTCCACCGGGGCCGGGACGGTCTCGCCCGTCGATTCTCATCCCCCACTACAGCCGTGCACACCAAATCGGGGGAAAAAACCAGATCACTCCAACGAGGTCTCCTGATGCACCACAATCCGCCACTCCCCATCCGACCCCTGACTCCACGTCGTCGACCCCGTGCCATTAAACTCGATCTTGCCGCGCAGCCGCGCGTTGATCTTGTAGGTGACCGTGCCGGCCATGAGGTCGATGATCAGCACGCGCACGTCCTTCAGCTCGTACTCCTCGAAGTGGTGGAAGGGAGGCTTCAGGGCCTCGGAGAGGGACGGGTCCTTGCTTTGCAGCGTCAGGATATCGCGCTTCGGGAAGAGGAAGTTGGCGTCGTCGTTGGACATCTTCTTGATTTCCGGGCCCGGGTCGGCGGACGTGAGGGCTGTCCAGAGGCGACGTTCCATTGCGAGGAGGTCGTCGCGGATGCGGTCGTGAATGGGGGCCATTTTGGTACTGGTTGGTTGTTGTTAGGTTGCGTCTCGGAGGGTTAAAGGGTGCGGAGAAGGATGGAGGGGAACCTACTGAGGTTTCGGTTCGGTTGGATTGGGTTGAGTCGGAGTATCGCCAAACGCGCGCAGAGTGTTTTGTTTTGACAGGGTGGACCAGAGGATAAGAAGAAAACAGAACCAGAAGCTGAGAAGAGGTTAAAGATGTCAGGAACAAGATGGAAAGATGAACGTCAAGAGAAGAGATAATCCCCAAGTGACGTCATGGGCGGTGCACCCCACGTGGATGACGTCGCATACACTCCGAGTCTCTTCGCCCTCTATTTTCATTTGCAATCAATCAATCAACAACTATTCTTACGACGCCCCTCCTTTTCTCTCTATTCCCGTGATCCCACACATACGATGGCTGTCAGCCTCCCTTGGGTGGTCCGCGTCTGGGAGAGATCTGCATGAACCGGATGACGCAGGCTAGGATGGGGGAAATGGAGAATGGGTGGTGACGCAGGGGGGGGTTGAGGGAGGACATGACTGTACGAGTGACAATGGGATAGCAATCTATTTGAGATGCAGATCGAAATGAAAATAGACTGGATGGTGGGATGATGGCAAGCTGTCATTGAGGGGAAGTCCGAGAATGGTTGGTGATGCTTGGTTGCATCGTATGCAGCGGTTGTCATGTTTGCATCCATTGTGCAAACCATGCATTCGCCGGTCATGTGCCTGCCTTTATTGTTTGCAGCCTGAGGCATACACACCAATCCGTCAGGCACCAACCCATCGTTCCCCTTCTGCACGACGGAGTACTCCATCGCCCATTTACTTACACAACAAAGCTATCGCTGCATCGTGCATACCCCAGCCAATCGCAGATCCTTTCCTATTCAATCTCACTTCCATCGTCGAAAACGCAATGGCCCTCCTGCAAGGCTGCGCAGGCGACTGGCCATGCTCTCTCCCGCAGATGTACCATTCTTGCACAGAAGCATCCCTCAACTCCACACTCCTCCATGCTAACTAAATTCTGTCTTAAATCCGCTAGTTATAGCTCTTACACCGACCACATTCTATAATCCGTCTCCGTGGAAATCCCCGAAGCTGAGCGTCCATCCCAGCCGTGCGGAAAGGCAGTCGGCAAGGCTGGCCTTTCCCTCGGCCAGAATGACAGCCTCAATTAAGACTTTGGCGACAGCGGTTACCCAAGGAACACCAGTGAACTATCACCCGAGTCTCCACCAATGGAACGAATTAGCATAATCTGGAAGACGTTAGGTGGCATGTGGACCGCTGGCTTTGGCGCGGTGGCCGAGCTAGTCTCATCCTTCGGGACGCTGGGAACGGCTTATCTACGTATCGTCATGAGCGTGCGGGATCACCTCAAAAAACCGCAAATTTTCGCAACTTCCTCGTACATACTTCGGAGGACTGTGGACGTCGAGCAGCACCGATGGCCTCGCATATCCTCGAGATGGTGGGTGAAATAGTAACCGAGAGGGAGTCATGACGGCGCATGCATCCCGACATGCGACAGTAGATAAAGCCAAGCAAGGACTGCAAGACCGCCCAATTGTCGCAACCAAACTAACTACACCGCGGAATGACTGGGTAATATCGAGGCGCAATCGCCTGCCTACTGTGTAGTGCCCACATGGACCACCCAAACGCCTGTTCACGGACCTCTCAACAGACGACAGTGAGTAAAATTTGAGCAGGGGGCCGAGCAGGCTGGCGAGCCCACCTCATTGGTGCTTCTGTATCTCGGATGCCTTGGGAATGAGTCCCATCGCTGCAAAAAAGGCTCACGATTTTTTCCATGGGTCCCGCGCATCCTCTATCGCAGGTCACGCGCCATATGGGGGGAAGAGAAACCTTCGAGAAAGAATCTTAATTCTTCGTCTCGAACCTTTTCCCCTCCATTGCGGTTCGATTTATCCACTTCCCCGCCTTCTGGCCATCTCCTCTGACTCTCGCCCTGACTGTCATGCAGGAAGCGGCCACCTCCGACCAAGACACACCTTGATAATGCCTTCACCCTGCTGATATCTTGCTCGGCCGGGGCAGAGGAGGAGTCCCCACACAAGCCCGGTGGGACGCCGATAACTGACCTTCTTTCTGACTGGAGGGTGAAGGTGCATGCGATAAGAGCCAGATAAACCAAGCTCCACCGCACAAGACTGACGAGTGGGCTTATCCCACATCCCTCGTCCTCAGGCACGACTTTCATCATCTTATCATCGACCGTCCCCTATCATCCATCGGAGACATCCGATCGGTTCCTGCATGAGTTGGGAACTCATCGCCGTCATCTCATCTGTGCATCAGGATGCAACTACTAGCTACACAGTATTCACGCAAGGAGGCTGGTGTTGTGGAAGATCGCTTCAAACTTCTGCAGCATGGCAATAGTGGACCCATGGAAGGGAGCTCGAAAGCGAAGAGGCTTGGCCGAATCACGTTAGAAGTGGGGATGCTTCAGCCAGAAGGCTGGTTTGGGACCGAATACCACGATGATCATTGGCTTGTCGAATAAACTGCTTCGACTGCCGGTCGCTATCAGCGCTGATCTTTCCAAGTTAACCCAAGTAGCCCCCGTCTATGGATAATACTCCCCAATTTTTCCTGCCGGTGGATTCAGCGGTGCTTTCCGACTGCTCCTATGCCAGTTCCTGGATTATTTTTTTTTTTGGGACCAGCCATGACTCTATATAAGAGGGTGTTGTGCGCCGGCTGGGTGGGAAGGAAGTGTGCTCTCTCCCAATTCCAAACGCGCACAAGATGCAGCTTCTCCAATCCGTCACGACGGGCCTCGTGCTCGCCGGCAGCTGCTTGTCTTCCCTGGCGGCGGCTCGCTCGGTTCCTGTCCAGCAGCCCCGCGATGTTGCCGTGAGCCCTGCCCCGGGCAAGATCGCCCCCAAGGTGTTCATCGTGTCTATGGTATGCCCTCCACCTCCATCGCTGCAGGATTCCAAGCTCACCATAACCACAGTTTGCACCCGAGGCTGAGATCTGGTGGGGTATCCCCGAGTTCGACCTGTTGGCTCACAACATCACCATCCCTGGCGCTTCTCCCGCCTTCCCCGATGTTCATTGCACGGCCGATCACAGCATCTGCCAGCTCATCACTGGTGAATCCGAGATCAACGCTGCCATCACCGTCGCCTCGGTCGTCTTCAACCCCCTCTTCGACCTGACCAAGACCTACTTCCTCGTCGCCGGTATTGCCGGGGTCAACCCCGAGAGTGCCAGCATCTGCGATGTGACCTTTGCCCGCTTCGCCATCCAGGTCGCTCTGCAGTATGAGATCGACATGCGCGAGATGCCCGCCAACGCCACCACGGGCTACTTCCCCCAGGGTGGATACTACCCCAACCAGTACCCCACCAGCATCTACGGGACGGAGGTGTTTGAGGTGAACGACGAGCTGCGCAAGATCGCCGCCAACTTCGCCCGCAACGCTACCCTGGCCGACAGCGACGACGCCAAGGCCTACCGTGCCAAGTACGCGACGGCGGAGGGCGACATCTACAAGGCCGGCACCGTGGGCCCCACCGTCCGCCTGTGCGACGTGACCACCAGCGATGTCTACTTCAGCGGCCGCCTGCTGGGCGAGGCCTTTGCCAACACCACCAAGGTCTGGACCAACGGCACCGGCGAGTACTGCACCACCGCCCAGGAGGACAACGCCACCCTGGAGGCGCTCGTCCGGGCCTCCAAGCACAACCTGACCGACTTCTCGCGCATCATCGTCATGCGCACTGGCTCGGACTTCGACCGTCCCTACCCCGGCGAGACCGCCCGCGAGAACCTGCTGTACTCCACCCAGGGTTCTTTCGAGCCCGCCGTCGAGAACCTGTACAACGCTGGGGTCAAGATCGTCGAGGGGATCCTCGCGAACTGGAACAGCACCTTCGCCGCCGGCATCCAGCCCCGCAACTACATCGGTGACATTTTCGGCACCCTCGGTGCCACGCCCGACTACGGTCCGGGCCGTGCCCAGGCTCTCGAGGAGGCTGGTGCCCTGCTCAAGAAGCGCAGCATGGGCAAGCGCTTTGTGCGGTTGTAGGTGTTGTGCCTGGTTATGAACCTGTCATGTGTGTTATAAATGTTAGGTGTAATGATAGATAGATAGAACGATATAATGTGATATTAGATGTGTACGACTCTTCCTCTTGCCCATTCACAAGCACATTCTGTAGTTATATTCACGGATTACTAAGTGCAGTTCTCTTTTGGAAACAGTCGCAGTAGGCGTTTGCTCTTGGGATAACATTAATCGAAGGCAAAGCAAAAAAGGTGAGATGGCAGTCGACCACAGAAATAGCCTCTACCCTCTCAGAAGCGACACCGACCCCAGACATGCAGTCTTACGGTTGAAAAGCAATCTACCATACTCCTTCTATATCCGACAGCAAGAATTCCGTGAGTATCCGGGACCAGCTGCCACTCGTGTAGTGGATCTAGCATCGCAGAGCTGGAAGTGATGTAAGCGGCGGGGATTAATCTCAGCCAATTCACTCGGACGGGATGTGATTCAGGCTGCTGTACTGACATTCAAGTCATCCAGTCGAAAAGCTCGGTGTGGGAACAGTTGCTGCTGCACGTCGCGGACGAAGTCAGGGCTCGGGTGCATCATCTCCCCGCTTTGGGTGGTCTGCAGGGCCCAAAGACTCGAATCAGGGTTCTGAAATGCATGGGGTTGTTTTGGGAACTGAGAGATGCACGGTGATATGATTGTTTGTCTCAAAGTTCCATTTGAGCTGCTCTATTCCTTGGATTGATGTGGCCAAAGACGTTTGGCAGCCCGGGAAATGGCGGTGGCACATCATCAGGGCATTCCTCCTCTTCTCAAGTGGGCAGCAGACCTGCAGAACCTAACCTCGAAAACAGGAATTCAGCACCAAGTTTGGTGTGAGACTCTTGAAGCGCTGGTGAATTACAATTCTGGGCTGCTAGCTGCAGTTGAGCCGCTTGGAGCATGTCTCAGCTCTTACCTGTCGACGCCTGTCTTGCCCGGAGAGCTGGAGCATATAAGAGAATGCCCAACAGAACGACTCCCCCAACCCTAACTTCACCACGTCTCTCGGCGCACAAGATCAATTGCACCCCTTTACCCCGTCACCACAACCCACAATGCCCAACACCGCCACCCCCGAAACCTGGCGCGTCAAAACCGTCGAACATATCCGCCCCTCGACCCGCGACCAGCGCCAGCAATGGATCGAAGAGGCCGGCTTCAACCTCTTCACCCTCCCCAGCGACCGCGTCTTCATCGACCTCCTCACTGACAGCGGCACCGGCGCCATGAGCGACCGACAATGGGCGGCGATCATGTCGGGCGACGAGTCCTACGCGGGCTCCACCTCCTTCCACGCGCTGCACGAGGTCGTGCAGGACCTCTTCGGCCTGGAATACCTCCTCCCCGTGCACCAGGGCCGCGCCGCAGAGAACGCGCTCTTCTCCGTCCTCGTGCACGAGGACCAGCTCGTCCCCGCCAACTCGCACTTCGACACCACGCGCGCGCACATCGAGTTCCGCAAGGCCGCGGCCGTGGACTGTCTCTCGTCCGGCGCCTACGATGTGACCGACACCAACCCGTTCAAGGGCAACATGAACCTCGACATGCTGCGGGACATTCTGCAGGAATCCCACGCGCGCGTCCCGTTCATCCTCTTGACGATCACCTGCAACACCACGGGCGGACAACCGGTCAGTCTGGCCAATATCGCCGCCGTGAAGGCGCTGGCAGACCGTTACCACAAGCCGCTGGTTGTCGACGCCGCGCGGTTCGCCGAGAACGCCTGGTTCATCCAGCAGCGCGAGCCGGGGTATCGGGACACCTCCCTCCGCGACATCACGCGCCAGATGTTGGGGATGGCGGACGCGATGGTCATGAGCGCGAAGAAGGATGGGCTGGTCAACATCGGGGGGTTCCTGGCGACGCGGCATCGGGAGTGGTTCGATCAGGCGACCGAGTATGTGATTCTGTTCGAGGGATTCCGCACGTATGGCGGTCTGGCGGGGAGGGATCTGGCGGCGCTGGCGGTGGGGTTGGAGGAGGTCATCTCGGCGGATTATCTGGCCTCGCGCATCGGACAGGTCCAGCGGTTCGGGCAGCGGTTGATTGATGCCGGGGTTCCGATCCAGCAGCCGGTGGGGGGGCATGCGGTTCTCGTGGATGCGAGCCGGTTCTTGCCTGAGGTGCCGAGGGAGGAGTATGTCGCGCAGACGTTGGCGGTTGAGCTGTACCTCGAGGCTGGGGTGCGAGGAGTCGAGATTGGGACTTTGCTGAACGGCCGCGACCCGGAGTCCGGCGAGGAGCGTTTCGCCGAGACGGAGTGGCTGCGGCTGGCGATTCCGAGGAGGGTGTATAGCAATGACCATCTGGAGTATGTGGCGCAGGCGTTAATCGATCTGTACCATCGTCGGTCCGAGATCAGGGCAGGGGTGAGGATCGTGGAGGAGAAGCCGGTGTTGCGGCATTTTACCGTGCGGTTGGAGCGAAAGACCGAGTAGGGGATGGTATCAGATATCGTTGGGGACAACGGAGGTTACCCTAACTTCGTACCCTGTCTAGCATTACTGGGATACATTGTTGGCTACTAAGAGTTATATATCTCTGATGTCTTCCTGGAGAGCAACCAGATGTAGAAAGGTGATACAGCAGCCGTGATGAGACTGATGACTGTGGATTCAAGGATATTCTCTGAGTTCTTTTTGATGCATGATGAACGATCTTTGTGGGTGTACAGGATGCTAAGACTGATGAGGAAGTGTGGAAGTCTAGTGCTTGTCGTGGAGTACAGGAGAAAGAAGGGCACGACAGTCTAGGATTTTAGGGTGGAAGGAGTGCCTCATCTGGTCTTCATGGCGTAAAGTACCAATACGTGATACATTTACCACCTCTGGTAACTTCTGTTAGTGTTGGTAAGGTAGGGACAAACTGGATCAAGATTTCTATGAAATTCAGAGGCGCAGTCAAGCCATTCACAATTAGTCTACTGAATGGTCAGTTGCCGTATACGCTTCAATCCTCGCTCTCTGGACGAGGAGGCTTGGGTTTTTGCAATCGCCACCGTGTCTTGTGCACGGCACGAACAGGGATCACACAAGCATCGCCATACATACTCAAGTTCATTCCTCGGCTCTCAGTACATGGGAAATATGGGCTATCCCATGCTTGCTTGAACGCCTCCTCGATGAGGCTACACTCCTCCTCTCCGATGTCGGTGGCTCCCTGCACCACCCATTCCGCGTGAGAAAGCTGGGAGTCACGATGATACTCCAGACGCCTTGCCTCGCCCCATTCGCGCAGTTTGACCGTCCACCACCCATCGCAAGTCGTCTCGTTTGCCTCCGCCGGGTACGGAGGCAGGACCACGACAATGGTGTGCAGGAGTAGATAGTGATGGAACAGCATCTTTAGAGCGTCGGGATGCCTTTCCAGAAGCGCCAGTGGAACGGCCAGGCGTGTTTCTGCCCGATTGGCAAAAGGGCTAAGCCCCGCCGGCAGCAGGAGCTCGTAGTGGCTGGGCGACATGAACGAGATGGGGTCGTAGTGGAGGAATGTCGGCCCGTCGACGCATCGGCAGAGAAACTCCTGGGAGTCGCGGTCGAAGGGTTTAAAGGGATCGTTGTGAATCTTGGGGTGGCCGCCAGCAGGAGTAGCCCGCGGCCAGGGGGGAAACCAGCGGTATCCTTTGCGTTGCATCCACTTTTGCGCGAAGGTGCGCGCCTCGTGGTTGACCCAAATCAGTCCGGGGATGCGTAGCGTTACCATCCGAGGCGCTCGCAGCAACTTGTGCAGCTGATCGGCATCGTCGCCTAGGATGGGACATATTGTGCTCCATTTGTCAATCTCGGCGGGGATGTCGGGAAGAGAGAATGCCCAGATCATCTGGCGCAGCTCGGGGGGCAGTTGGCCGAAGAGTGGAAAGGAGGTGGGTGCAGCCATTGCTGGTGCGTGGATTAACTGGATCTCGCAGGATTGGACACGAGGTGTTCGATTTAGTGGCTTAATGCTATCGGGCGTTGATGGGTTGGAGTGTCTAGTTATATCGTTTTCAGTGGCTGGATAGATGGAGTATACCGCGCGTAGATCCTTGGACAAGCACGTATCAAAGCGATATGCGGAGATTATCAGCAGTACCGCTCCTTCACGGAGATGATAGGATCGAAGATTATCAGCAATATAGCTTGTTGCCATAAAAACGATAGGATCTTTGTCTGCTCACATTACAAACTGACGGAGCCACTGGACCTCCTAAAATTGGTCGGGTACCTCACCACTTTGGTCATTGACTGTAGGTAGTTATCCTGAGATAGGCAGAATGAAGCAGAAATAAACCTTCTATCACGCTCCCATTACAGACCATAGGATAGGAGTGCACAGGACAGTGCGACACCCCAAGTAGGGCACGTGTTGGTCGTGGCTTATCCGTTCAACGAGTCAATCTCTTTATATGTAGCTTCTCGGAGCGTGCCAGCGAGAGAACAGTGTCACCCATGCACATCATATCCTCACAGTCATCAAATATTTCAGTCATAGCAGCATCCGGTACGTAATTGCTTCCTTAGATTGATTCACTTCCATTTGTGGAATTCACACCTGTGCAAGCCGCATGGTAGGTCGGTCACTGTAAAGGGTCAAATTGGCTGGGCTCATAATATTCTTGTCCTCAACCAGGTTTGATACCCTTCCGTCACGGGAGATCCCCCATCCAGTCTCCTTACACAAATATCGTGAATCTTGACATTTCAGGTCTTGACAGCGAGGCGGCGTTCGTCCTTGCTAGTGGTCGTAGAGGGTGAGAGGTAGAACCCGCCCTGGGCGCATTTCGCGCCTAGTTTGCCTGTGGAGACGTAGTTTGTGGTCAGGTAGTCGACTGTCTGTTCGGGTGAGAGGCCCCGTTCGTGGATGTAATGTTGTTCGATGCAGGCGACAGTGTCGAGGCCCACTTCTAGAAACATGAGATGTAAGTAGGATCAAGAAAGAGGGAAGTGTGGGCAGAAGGAGCAACAGTGAGAACTCACAGTCCATCATCCTGCACGGCAGCATCCGGCCTTTAATAAACATCTCCTCCCATATCGCGTCAATCTCCTCCGAGGCCGACTACCCCTTAGACAAGATGGAAAATGGTGAGTACTTCCCGTTACAGGGCCGTATTGTCTTGCCTAAAACCCTCTTGATCTACGGGGCGGATGTCGTTGAGCTCGTTGTCTGAATTCAAATTAGGGTACGCATCTGGTCTCGTGACTCTGGCATCACGGTAATACTGTACACCCTCGACAATGGCAAAGTACGTATGGGCCATCTGGACATGTTGACAGAGGAAGTGGATTAAATAATCACAAATACATTTCCATCTCAACCGCGCTGTATAAGTATGGGAGAATTCGCTGACGCACATCTTTAAGGATCACGCGGCAGGTGCTGTCTGACCTTCACCTTCAACCCTCAGACGCTTCCACGTTATGTACTGTGATTCTTCTCACAATGCAGGCCCTGCCGCATTTCACCTCAGACTAGATGGCATCTCACAAGTCGAGAGACAATTTGTGGATCCCAATTCGTGGAAAAGGTAATGCCTGGACTGGATGCGACGAAGGCGTATGAGAACATTGGCCATTCCGAGGTATGCATGACCGTGAAAGAGGCAGCCGTGCGATTGATGCAGTCGACGAGCCCTGCACCGCCCTCGCCCCCGCGGAAGCCAGCATTCATATGTATTTACACAGCCCTGGCCCCGATCCCCGTCGGCGGTGCAGCAGTGAGGTTGTACTACATCCTCCAGGCTCGAGCTGCCTTGCCTGCGCGATGGACGGCGCTTCCGGAGCGTCGGAGTATCTTGCACTGGGCTCCTTCGCCCCATGCACTTGCAAACACCGGGGGGTTCTGGACTGGGTTTGCTGCTGCAACCGGCATTGGTACCCTTCTGGTCTCGGTGGGCGCATCGAAGCTATTGCGCATGACTCACATCAAATCCGGCTTCACCAGGTATCCACCCTACGTGAAGTGTCGCAAGAGGGTGCGCGCCAACCCCTGGATCAATGTCACTGGTGTTCCCTGCATCCGCTGCGGCCAGGACGATGCGGAATGTGTTGTGGATCATCCGGTCGAAAGGTCAATGTCTTCGGCTCAACAAGCTCAACGTTTGCATGATGGTCATGGAGGAGTTTAGAAGGTCTACACTGTCGCATTCATCACCGCGGGATATTAGCCAGAGCCATTCAGCCGGTCTGCGTGAGCCATGCCGAAGAGTCCCCAAATGCTTCGCTTCCCGCCTCTGCTGCAGCACCTATTTCTCCCCAGCCCGACATCTCAGCTTCCGGTAACCGATGTCAATGCAGAATTGGGAATAGACATGAACAATCTGGTCGATGCACTATTAGATGAATCTTCCGCTCTCCACTTCTGGGAAACGTGGGGTCAATTGTGGGGTGAATGAAGTCGGATCAGGAACACAGTCTGTCCACACGACAAAGCATTGGACCACAAATGTCACGGTCATTGATAGGAATTATACTAAAGTCGAGAGATACACAGCAACAGGAATCAAACACACCGACAACCCGAATAGAGATATCAGCTGCAGCCGGAATGACAATCTTCCTTTGCCCAAGTCTTTCTTCGACAAGAATGTGTTTGCAATCTCCTTCATGATGTGCTTTTGGTGCTTCCCACTAGCAGTCTTGGGAAAGTCAGCACAGACTCCTTCCTCTCTGATCCAGAAGACATGCTGGGGAGCTTTGTGCCAGCTTAATTCCACGCGCACCCAATCCCGCAGGTCCTGGTCTTGTGGCTTGTGGTGTCCGCGGGTCAACTTGAGGAAGCAACCCACTACTTCGCCGTATTTTGGATCTGCAACCCCCACCACGCTTGCCTCTGCGATAGCAGGATGAAGAAGGAGACGTTCCTCAATCTCAAGGGGAAACATGTTCTCACCGCCTGGCCTGGTCAGACTCTATACGGTGTGCGGGGATTGGTAGTCGACTCACCTCTGATGATAACATCCTTGATCCTGCCACTGATGTGACAGTAGTCCTCATTGTCGATATAGCACTGATCACCTGTATGCATCCACAGCCTCCCATCTGCATCCCGGCGCATGGCCTCCTTGGTCTTTGCTTCGTTTTCGAAGTATCCTTTCTGGAGCCCGTAGCCGCTCGTACACAATTCTCCACTCTCTCCGCGCCGAGCGATAGTCCCATCGGGACGAATCACCTTGGCTGAGGTATGAGGCAATACCCTGCCCAGGCTAGTCATCGCTTTATCTCGGGCGTCATCCAATGAGGTCATGAACGTCACAGGGCTTGTCTCAGTCATGCCATAGGCAATCAACATGCCTTTCACCCCGAATCTCTCTTCCAAGCGACTGAGCAGCGTCTCAGAAAACCGGAGACCCCCCCGCCAGTCCGGTGCGCACAGTCGTGATGTCAAGCTTCTTAGCTGCACAGGCTTCGAGCTCGGCTACAAACATGGTCGGTACCCCCAGAAGGGCGGTCGCCTTTTCCTGGAACACTGCGTCAATGACGCTTTCCGCATGGAAGTGGTCCGATGGGAAGACGATCGCGCTACCGTGGCTGAATGCGTTCAGGAAGCCGAGGACTAGACCGAAGGTATGGAACAATGGAGGTGGGCAGCAAACGATGTCGTCGCGGGTCAACCGTATCGCATCGCCGACCAGGCGAGCGTTGTTGATCAGGCCCCTGCAGCGTGTCAGTGCAGTACAAACGACTCCATCCTTGTCAGGAGCATATACCGGTGTGTGAGCATGGACAATTTCGGCTCTCCGCTGGTCCCGGATGTGAATTGATAGCTGAGATTATCCGACAACCGCACTATCCGCTCTGCTGCCTGCAAGAAATCCTCGGTGTCGTCTGCAGTATCGCCCGACGCCATAAACGAACCGTAGCTATGAACGTGTGGCTCCGTGAATGGCCCTGCCCTGTCAAAGCATACGAGGCCCTTGAGCTCGGCCAAATTGCACTGCGATAACGGCGACAGCAGGTTCTCCAGATGTGCCGACAAGCTGCGGGGACCGATCTGTGACGAGATGAAAAGGAACCTAGTCGCTGTGGTTGTTTCCTTAGCAGCGCGCTCTCAGTGACAGTCCAATGCAGGAAATGATGTTACGCACAACTTCTCTGCACTGCGCGATACACCTCCGCCGGAGTGTATGCGTTATTCAAGGGCAGCACAGGGCATCCGATCCTCGCCCCCGCCAGGAACACCTGGATGTACTCATAGCGATTGCCAGCCAGAACAGCAAGGCAGTCTCCCAGGCGCAACCCCGCGCGCACCATGGCACAAGCCAGCGCCTTGCTGCTCTCCGCCAGCTCGCGGAAGGACAATCGCTTCTCCTGCCATGGGCTCACCAGTGCCGTTCGATCGCCGTGGCGTCGTGCCTGCTCCTCGATCAGTTGGCCCAGGGTTTTGGACCAAAGGGCGGGCTCTTGAGGACCGTGAACGATTGACAGCTCCTCCATCGCGATAACAGGAGGGTTTATGAGGGACTGGGTGGGTGGTACTAGGGAGAAACCAGGGAGGGCTGCCTCGGTAGACGAGAAACCAAAGTTGCTATCGGTCGGCAGTGCCACCATTGGCATACTGGATTTCCTGGGAGGGATCATGCTGGATTCGTTTGCAGCAGGGCCAAGTCATGCAGTGGAATCCATGCATTGCGCATCCATGTGCCGCTGAGCGACATTTACTTCATTTACTCCGTTTGTTCCACGGTAATACAAGGGGTGATTTGGCATTACTTCGTGCATCCATCATTTGGGCCCGATGGCCTCACTGTTTTGTGCGGTCGATCGAACTACGAAGTACTACATCGACATCTTCAGCTTCATGATCCATCATCCTGACCCATCAGTCTGGTTCAGCAGTCCCTTGCTTCTCCGGTGGTAGATCCCGTGTGACTAGCTGCTGCGTGAGAGTCTTCAGCTCCGTAGGCGCGTCATTCTGATCCAAATGCAACTCGACAAACTATGCACGATGGTCAGCACCCTCAGCGAGTGGCCATCGATCGGTCAAGAACCAACACAATCGACTCACCCGAAGCGTCTCGCCTTTATTGAAAGCAGGATCCTGCAGAAGCGAGACCAGCTCCCCCCGTGTGCGGATCTGATATGCCTGATACGATCCGGGCTCCGCGCCAAACACCTCGAGAAGCTTCCGATATTTCCATTCCTGGACATCGTTATACGACTCATGCCAACCGTGAATCAGACGCTCCACGGTGTATCCTTTGTTGCAGATCACAAAACTGCAAGGATTTAGTCTTCGGGGCTGAAAAAGTGTCCCGGTCGATGATCTGATCGATCCAACTTATATGATTGGCGTGAGCTGGTGTTTGACGATCGTGCTCAGCTCCTGACAGGTGAATTGAAAGCTGCCGTCACCGATGAAGAGGACCGTCTCTCGTTTGGGGTCAGCTGAATCCTGCACGGCCGCGGCGGCCCCCTGGCAGGCCCCCAAAGAGTAGCCCACGCTGGCCCACACGTATTGACTGATATATGTCACGTCGCGGGGGAATCGCGTCGACCAGATCCCGAAATTCGAGGTGCCTGTCTCGGCGATGACCGTATCTCCGGGTCGAAGCCACCCGCTCAGCGTCGGCCATAGCCAGTCGTGCGTCAGAGCCGCCGTCTCTACCCTGTAGCTCAGCGTATGGGACATGCGTCGCAAGACCCCGTGCATCATGCCGCCTGGCTCTCGAGCGACCTGCGTAGGCGGGATCCTGGCTGCGTCGATTTGGGTCGTACTGGTCGGCTGCACCGCGACCATGCTCTTGTGCATTCCCAGCCGGTCCAGCTCTTCTGTCCGCTCTATAAGAGATCGGAGAACGCCCAATGGGTTCGGCCCGTGGTAGGCCTTGCCCTGGACCTGCATGAGCCCATCTCGAATCTCAATCATCTTCCGCGGATCAAACTCCCACGAGGCGGAGGCGACGTTCAGATCCGAATGGATGTTGCCCACAGAAATGATCAAATCCGCCGAGCGCACCGTCTGCGCTGTATACAGGTCGGAACAGTCCCCCAGGTACAGCCCATGGAAGCAGGGGTGCTCCTCGTCGATGATTCCTCGCCCCGACGCAGACAGGAACACCGGCAATCCAAACGCCTCCGCCAGCTCCACCACCTCCCTTTGCTTCGTGAAGCGCACATTGTACCCCCCGACCAAGAGAACTGGCCGTTTCGCCGTCCGCAGCGCAGCCAGCACCGCATCCGCCACCCGCTCTTCCGCCACTCCCTTCTGCTCTGCAGAGCCATGCACATCCAGCGGCCGCAACAGCCCCTCCTCCGACACAGCCTCCCGCACCATATCCACCGGCAGTACGATCGAAACAGGCCTACTACTCCTCCAGCAGTGGGTAATCGCCGAGTCGATCATCCCCGGCGCCTGCTTCGCGCACCGCAGCTGCACGCTCTTCGACAAAGTGCCCTGCGTCATCTGCCCCAGCCGCTCGAAATCCCCGTCCCCCAGCGAGTGATGCAGCAGTTTTCGTTGCCTCTGGGACCGCAGACTCGGCTGCCCCACAATATGTAGGATTGGGATGTACTCCGCATACGCCCCGGCGATGGCGTTGGCGGCCGATAGCTCCCCGACGCCTGCGACGGTCATCAGGGCGGAGATCCCGTGGACGCGCGCGTAGCCATCGGCTGCGTAGCCTGTCGTTGTGGTTAGTGGGATGCTGGGGGTGAATGGTAACAGGGAGTGCTGTGCATGTCCAGCACCGCCAAGGAAAGAGTTGCAGTGCGAGCACCTACCGCGGGTTACAACAGCCCGCTGTGCGTGTAAAATCCCACCGGTGGAAAAGCGGCAAACGGACAAAGGGGGGGGGATTACCAGCATTCAACTCATTGCAATTCCCAATCCAGCGCAGACCCGCCTTGGAGACGTAGTCCAGCGAGAGCAGATTGTAGTCGCCCGGCACCCCGTGGACGGAGCGGATGCCGATTTCCCTGAGACGGGCGAACAGGTACTGGGCCACCGAGACGGTGGTACGCGATGGCATGTCGAGTATTCTAAGGCGTCTACCACTGGGGGAATCTCACGCTGCTGGCTCTTTATGTTACCTGTGGTGGTGGTTGTGTAGGGGGTGCTGTTCAAGGCTTGAGACCCAGTGCCAGTTCCGGGTCTGCATCGCGGCCCAGAGGTAATACAGTGTTGCAACTCTTCCGTATCGTGTCAGGCTGCGGACCTTGAAACATGATGTAGCATGACCGTGTGTTTGACGATGCGTGCTGCATATCAAGTCAAGCAGACGGGAGAAATACGGAGTCGAGGCGAGTGAGTGCACAGCCTGCTGTCGTGTCAGGATGCAATGAAGAGATAAACATTATTACGAAGTGCGTCCTGCAGCCGATCATAGCTACTAGTACTTACTGCTACTCAGCTACAATCCTTACCTACTTACTCACTCCTGGACTGCTTTACTGCCAGCCAGCGCATCCCCTGCAGTCAAACACGGCAGGGAGAGAAACCCAGCGCGCGCTGCAGCCACACTCGTCCGACGGCGTACACCCGTCCTTTCAATGTCTTTTAAGGACTCCAACGTGCACTGCAGTGATTTCATTAGGGTTGACATTAGGTGACGGACATTATGCCACCTCCACCAAGCCGTTGCATCAGTATGGAGTGGACTCGCCGGTAGCGGTGGAGCTGCGCAGTTGGTTCGCTATGGAGCTGCAGGTGGAGATGGTGGTTCTTGACATTTTCGGCTATTGGCCTCAGTGGCTCAGGTGGCTCCAAGCAAGAGCAAGTTGTACCAGGAGTCGTGCTCATAGATTGTGGATGCTGTGGATAGAAGTTGAAGTACGAGAGATGAAAAGATGGAAAGAAAAGAAGTGGCAGAATAAGACGCGACCGGCCCACCGCCTTTATATGACGCCTCAGGCATCAAAAGAGACGGAGTGCGCTGGCAGCCACCTTCGACATTTCATCCGTCTTGTATTTAGGTTAATTGATGTATTTTGTAGAGAAGTCAGTGAATGAACGGGGTGATACCTGAGACTTTTCTTTTTGGCAGTATTTGCGGCGGCTGGCCAGTCTTTTGGATCTATATCTTGCTCACGGTTTGGGACTGTACAGATTAACTGACTTCAAGTTACCAAGTACTTAGTATCAACAACCAGCCAGACGATCAACCATATCAACATACTAGCGTAACAGCAGATGAGAGAACAGATCAATGTTACTGATAGATATGATCAGTCTGTCCTGTGTTGTTGGTCACATGATCTGTCCATCTCCCCCGCCTTCGTCCAAATCATTATTTCTCCTCCACCACAACCTCAAATGAAGATAAGAACTTCACGACCACTGCACGTCTCGTCGAATCTACTCCTTGGAGACATCTTCCCTCTCCTCCCGAATTGCCGACTTATCTTCGCTGCCAAGAGTCAGTCTCAGCACGTGTGCTTGGCTCCTCGTCAAGATAAGGATCTCCCGCCGCTGTCCAGGCACGCCTCGAGATATCGGCACTTCGGCATTCAGCCGTTATCTCACCCATAGTCCAGCATACGTCAGGGATGATGATCCCACACAACCAGTATCCCGCCTTCTCTGCTTCTCCCCCGCGCGGGGTCTATCGGTGCCATGGGACTTTCAATGGCAAGACTAGGCGAAGCGAGATAAGGATCACCCATCCAAAGACTGGGCGTCTGGAAAGAGTATGCACCGCACCTCGCTTAGAGCACCGAGACGAGGAGACTCTCCACAAAGTCATGGCGCTCAAGGGCGCGCCTTAATCAATTCAGCGAGACTGCCCCAGTTTCGTTGCGTCACCGATTCCGGAGTCAAGTGGAACTGATAACGGGCAGAGCCAGCAGGGCGCCTCAGGTTCAGAGGATGATGTATAAAGCCTGAGATGCGGAGGGTTGAGACCATGGACTTCAGACAGCAACGCAACGCCCAGCGCGCCCTCGATAATCTTGAGTCGTCAGCCGAAAACAGACAATGAAGGGGTATCTCAGGCCATTCTTGTTGAGTCTCGCGGTCGCGGGCATCGGTTATGCTGGGGTCGTTAAGCGAGAGCTCGATTTCGACCTCGTCCGATTCAGGGATCTGGTCGACGTCACCGCAGACTCCTTGCACAACATTCACCTGGACTTCCTCGACCCTGACTTTGAAGGCCATCTGCGTGTCGTCTATGGAGACTGCACTCTTCGAGACCCCTACCAGAGCCACCACGAGGTCACCAGCGTGCGGGTGCAACGGGATGCCCGACCCGCGCGACTGGTCTGGATCACTCCGTCCGACGCTCCTCATCTGCAATGTTTGCATGCGTTCTCCGGGACGTCTCTTGTCGGCCGCTCCTCACCGGTCTCAATAGCCAAGCGGCGTGTAGACAAACGGGAGAGCATCGCAGATGTGGCAGATATGGAAGGCCCATGGTTTGATGGGGTCGCATACATGAAGTCCAAGTCCGAGGAGGCAGCCTTGGTCGCGAAGGCGAAGAACACCTCGGTGGCTATCCTGGGTGGTGGCATGTCTGGCTTGATGACAAGCTTGCTGCTCGAGTCGGTCGGCATCCATGACTGGCACATCTATGAATCGTCGGGAAGAATCGGCGGGCGCATTCGCACCAAATACCTCAACAACACTCGTCCTGATCAGTATCAGTACCAAGAAATGGGCCCGATGCGCTTCCCCGTGAGCATCACGTACTCCGACACGAACGAGACGCTCGAGATCATGGACCACCGCATGGTGTTTCAGCTGGCCGGCGTGTTGAATCAGCTGAACGTCGATAAGCCCGAGCTTCAGGTCAATTTCATCCCTTGGTATCAGAGCACGCCCAACGTACCCGCTGATTCGGGGGGTGTTCGTCTTCCTGACGGCCGCATCCCCACGGCTGCCGACGTCGCGGCCAACTCCTCCTTGGTCTACACGGCGGCCTCGTCCAACGCCACGGCGGTTGCGGACGCTGAGGCTGCCTACGACAATTACACAACGATCACCTCGCGTGAGACCGTGGGTCAGATTGCCGCCAACATGTACAAGATGCATCGATGGGCGGTGGACAACAACATGTTCCATTGGTCTGAGGCCGGGTACCTGCAATATGCGCTGGGCTACAACGCCAACATCACCGACTATGTCGCTGGCACGACCGATACTCCGATCTGGGGCGACTTGTATGATGATGTATACTTTGCTGCCACTGAATGGCGCACGATCGACAAGGGTCTTGAATCCCTGCCCCGTGCCTTCTATCCCCACGTTTCCGACCGCCTGACTCTGAACCGCACGATCAGCGGACTCACTTATAACGAGACCTCCGGGAAGATTGGCGTCTCCTGGCGGGACGACTTGTTTGCGATGACTCCCACGACCGAGGAATATGATTACGCAGTCGTCGCGGCGCCGTTCAGCAAAGTGCGTCTTTGGGAGTTACCGCGGTACTCGTCGTTGCTCAGCCGCGCCATCTCGACGCTGAACTACGATCCGGCGTGCAAGATGGCGTTGCTGTATCAGACGCGCTTCTGGGAGCATCTGGACGCGCCGATCTTCGGTGGCTGTGGCTCGGTCGACGTGGCCGGGGTGGGCAGCGTCTGCTACCCGTCGTACAACTTGAACGGCACCGGACCCGGGGTGATTCTGGCTTCGTATATCTCCGGCACCGAGGCGCGCTCGACGGTGGCGCTCAGCGAGGAGGAGCACGTCGCGCTGGTCCAGCGCACGATGGTGGAAGTGCATGGGGCGGTTGCGGCGGAGCAGTTCACCGGCATCTATGATCGCCAGTGTTGGGAGGTCGATCAGCACCAGGCTGGTGCGTGGGCGGATCCGTTAGTCGGGCAGCAGGAGCTGTATCTCCCTGCTTACTACCAGACGGAGTTCAAGACGATTTTCATTGGGGAGCACACCAGCTATACCCATGCGTGGATCTTTTCGGCGTTGGACTCGGCTGTGCGTGGTACGACGCAGTTGCTGTTGGATTTGGGGCTGGTGGACGAGGCTAAGGCCATTGTGCATGAGTGGATGGGGCGGTGGATCAAGTTGTAGAAGCAGCTTGAATGATTTTTAAAGTATATGTGTCTCATTCATGATACTCAATTGTTGACACTCAATCATGACAGTATAGGGCCATAGTCAAGTTAACAACTGTAGTCATCACAAAGGATTCTGTTATTACAAACCAGGTCCAGCGCCTCCGGTGGGGAATACGAGATATGAGTCCACGATCCCCACATGGCAGGATAAAATGCACGCACTTACTGCATTTCTAGACCCTTTGTCACTGGAATAATGCTGATTCGTTGGCTCGTCTCGCATGAACTTAAATTTATCCAAATTGGGCCTTAGCAGGTATCAATTGCTCCTCTACAATGTCTGATTCGAAAGAAAGACCAGATTCCCCCATACTGTAGGTGAGGTACCCTGTATACCTTCACTACTAATTCAATGATTCACATCTGCAACACCTTAGCCACCACATCATCCACTCTCTCCTCCATCACCCCCAACAACGGGGAATCCGATTCCACCCAAGAAGGCGCCACAAGACAGCGCGCCTGGCCCTCGTCAAACATCTGCGCGACCACCAGTTCGAGCCTCCAACTCCCCACCCCGGCCTGGAAATGCCTCTTTCCACTTGCCACCAGCCTCTGCGTGGTGTCCCGCTGCACCGTCCAGGTGTGCCCCGTCGCTCTCTGGAAAGCCTCCAGCAACTCGTTTTGACAAGTCCGAATCGACAAGACCTTCACAAATCGATTGGCTGTCTCTTGAGGATGCAGCAACACACCCACCACCGCCTGTCCGATGCCCGCGAGCGTCGTCCCCGTGAACTGCTCCGTGCCGGAATCATAGATTGTAGCCGAGCCGTTGGCGACGTCGAAGCCCATCATCGGGAATCGCTTCATCGCCTGCTCCTCCCCACAAAATATGGATCGATCAGCAACATTCCTCCCCTTTCCTTTCACCCCTACAGCACACACGGAAGAAAAGATGCTTACCCAGTCAATCGGATTCCCCGTGGTAATGCCCGTAAACGTAAACCTCGAATTCCCCTCCGCCTTCCGCCGCGCAACCTCCCATCCCCCTCTCCGCTGCGCCGCGATGGCCTTGAATTCCGGGAAACTGTTAGACTCCGGCCCCCACCCAAAATCATTCACAATAAACCGTTGCACCCCGGCCGCTTCCGCCGCTTCGATCATGGTCGCCTGCGCGGGGACGCCGCCGGGACCAACGACGCAGATGACCGCGTCTTGTCCGTGTAAAGCGGTGGTCAGGTGGGAGAGGGTGTAGGGGGTGCGGAGGATGGGGAGGTCGCGGGGAAAGACGGCGGTGGATTCGGGACGGGTGATGATCGTGATGGTGAAATTGGCGTCTTGGAGGGCGGCGGTTATGGGAGTGCCGAAGTTGCCGGATGCCTGGAAAATATCTTAAGATGTATCGTTGGATTTGGGGGGAGAAGGCTGGGACGTACGCCGAAGATGGCGACTTTTTGGATGGTGGTCATTTGGTGGAAGTTAGGGCTAGTGGAGGGGATGGAGGATTCACTTGGAGATTATGGGATACAGGATGGGCTGGGGGAATGGTGTCTATTCTTATATGTCAGCGTCGAGTTACTCCGTATTGTATTACTAATGGGAATAGGCTGCCAATTGACTGTCTGCATTAGATTGGCACTGATGGTTGAAGTTGGGGCTGCAGAGAAGGATGATCGATGATCTGACTCAAACATTAGATGAATTAGCCTGTGGGGAAATCCACGCCATCGCATCTTTGGTCATTCTGATTCGACAGTGTGCTTTGAGTGGAGCGATGAACTGAGAATAAAGAGGTAAGTCAGCTTAAGGCTAGAGGTAGACTTAGTAGGGCATCGGACTGGTTCAGCCCTGCTCAAGTGGGCCTCCCCCTGGAGCTTTTCAGTATGTTAGTAGGTATGTGTTCAGCTGTGAATTACTATTGCAATGTTTTGATTAACATTGATGGAAGCTGCTGCGGTGTGCAATCCATATATATTGAATATAGAAGTATAATAGGTGATCCCTCTGTTATACTAAAAGTCTACTGTCTAGATGAGTGAGGTGTCTAAGTATCGGGTGAGAACTAAGCTAATACCCAGTTACGGGTTCTCTGCTCTATTACTCCCCTCGCTCTAGATGTTTAGGGGAGCTTATACTTAAGCTAATACTACTTATTCATCTTATTGTCCTTAACATTGATGTAGAATTTCTGACTAGGATCATTGCTATTGCTGCTACTACTATTACTGCTGCTACTGCTGTTACGTCTTTCTAGTAAATATCTTATCTACAGATATAATTAGCTCGTGTAGATACTATGTCGTCTCGTGGTGATGACGTCGGTTTTGAGGAGTAAGAAGATTATTTGCTCTGTAGTAATGTGTAACTAAGTCATTTAGGCTTGTGAAGGTTTGCTCTTTGAGGGCGGGGGGTAGGGAACAAGAGGGTAATATACAGGAATGTGTCAACTGTACTAGACTTGATAGCTACGCAGGTCTTCCGGCGCTGTTAAAGCCTGAACTCTACGGTAATCTGAGTAGAAGTCGACTGGGTGTGTCTTATATTGTGGGTAATTTCTATGAATTTCTGCTTGAACTTCTGATATCCTGGGATGATGGTATTTACATCCTCAAGGGCTAAGACTCGCGATTGCTGGGGGGGCGGGGGGCTGCAGCCTGAGGAGAAGCAGGTGGAAATCAGGCACCCACAAGCAGCTTAAACTTGCAGCTTGGCTTTCCGTTTAGGCTTAATGTGGCTGCCAGGGTTGGTGGCTTGATGTATGGAGTCATGCATGGCTGAGGGTTTATGCTGATGGCTTCAACATCCTAGTTATGAGTAATCACCTCATCTGGGCAATTCCCTGTCGAAGGCTCCTCGTTCTCTTCTTCCTCATCTTCTTCCTCGGTCATACCAATCTCACGATCTCCTCCCCTGAGTCGCTTGCCAGAACAACAAGCAGTGTCATCGGTGGTCTCCGCGTCCTTTCCGCCGTCGAAGTATACCTCATACACCGTCGCAGAGTTACATCGAGACACTGCTCGAGTGTAAGCGCTGGTCTTCGTCAGAGAGACATCCAGCAGCTATTACGTACTGGTCCCTGGCCGGGGAGAATCTTGACCCCTGCAGTGGATTAGAGGTGAAGGTGTCAGTCCGTCGACCGTGACCGACATTAGTAGATCGTGTTATACCCCAATGCGCCGCCAGCGATACATGATTGGTTCATCGTCTTATGCCAGAATTGTGCTATGCTCACTGAATATGACAAATATCATTGAACTAACTTGACTACAAGGAGCTGGTCCAAAAGTGGCATGCAGTCCGTGCCTGCATAAATTGCAATGGGTGAACTAATTAGTTAGGGCTGTCGGAGTCTGCAGAAAACGGTTTACTCTCCCTCGGACTCAGTTTTTAAAACCCATCGGAAGCCCGGAGCAGCCACTGTTGCCCCCACGTGCTTGGACTGAAGCAATTCCCCTCATCGATGCAAGCATTCACCACCATCCAAGTACTAATTAAAAGCCCTCACTAGCACTCATCTCCGGCTCCAAACAGAGGCCCGGACCGTGGCACGTTCGGCTTGAATCTTGCTTCTGCAGAAACAAGAATTGTGCACGCCCTATCTGCAGGTCCAGCATGCACCGTGCCCTGTCAGTGCTGGTACGCCTACACACGCGACTATAAATTCTGTCCGAAATGCCGTGATCAGGTCCTGTCCATCAACAGGACTAACGAGCACATCCTCCGACTGCAGCAGTGACAATCATGGTCCAACAGTCTACCTTGTTCAAGGGGCTCCCCCTCCTGGCCGTGGCAGCTCTGGCCGTGGACTATCCCACTCTGCCCGATGATCTGACCACGCCGTACCAGCAGCGCCTGGCCATCATGAGCCCGACGGGTGAGTCCCCGACTGGCTGCATCCACCGTCATCCTCTTCTCTAACCAACCCAACCAACCATCTCAGCGGTCTCGATCGGCTGGAATACCTACGAGAAGCTCAACTCCAGCTGCGTCGACTACGGGACCTCCAGCAGCGACTTGAGCCAGCAGGCCTGCTCGACCAAGTCGACGACTTATTCCACCTCGCGCACCTACTCCAACGCCGTCACCCTCACCGGCCTCACCCCAGCCACCACCTACTACTACAAGATCGTCTCCGACAACTCCACCGTGCAGCAATTTCTCAGCCCGCGCACCCCCGGCGACCAAACCCCCTTCACCTTCGACGTGGTCATCGACCTCGGGGTCTACGGGGCGGACGGATACACCATCACCAGCGACGCAAGCACCAGCAAGCGCGAGATCCCCGCCGTCGAGCCCGACCTCAACATCACCACCATCGGCCGCCTCGCGGACACATACGACGACTACGAGCTGGTCATCCACCCGGGCGATTTCGCCTACGCCGATGACTGGTACCTGAAACTGCAGAATCTCCTGGACGGCACGGATGCCTACCAAGCCATCCTGGAGCAATTCTACGACCAGCTGGCCCCGATCGCCGCGGGCAAGCCCTACATGGTCGGCCCCGGCAACCACGAGGCGGACTGCGACGAGCTTTCGTTGCTGATCGACCTCTGCCCCGAGGGCCAACGCAACTTCACCGATTTCCTGCACCGTTTCGACGCGACGATGCCGCAGGCCTTCCCCTCCACCTCCACCAACACCACCGCCCAGACCCTGGCCGCCACCGCGCGCACCCTCTCCAATCCCCCGTTCTGGTACTCCTTCGAGTACGGAATGGTGCATTTCACCATGATCGACACCGAAACCGACTTCCCCGACGCCCCTGACGGGCCGGACGGATCGGCCGGGCTGGATGGCGGCCCCTTCGGCCAGTCCGGGCAGCAGCTCGCCTTCCTGGCCGCCGACCTGGCCAGCGTCGACCGCACCGTGACCCCCTGGGTGATTGTCGCCGGCCATCGACCCTGGTATTCCACGGGGGGGTCGGACGACCTCTGCGCCCCGTGCCAGGCCGCCTTCGAGGATCTGCTGTACCAGTACGGGGTCGACCTGGGGGTGTTCGGCCACGTGCACAACGCGCAGCGCCTCCAGCCCGTCTACAACGACACGGTGGATGCCCAGGGGTTGAACGACCCGGCTGCGCCCATGTACATCGTGGCCGGCGGGGCGGGCAACATCGAGGGCCTCAGCTCGGTCGGCACCGAGCCGGATTACACGGCCTTTGTCTACGCGGAGGACTACAGTTACAGTACGATCCGGGTGCTGAATGCGACGCATCTGCAGGTGGAGTTCATTCGCTCGGAGACGGGGGAAGTGCTGGATTCCAGTGTGCTCTACAAGAGCCATACAGAGCAGTTTGTCCGGCAGTAGAGGGAACGCAGCGTGTTGTACAGTACAGGGTGTGTACATAACTAGGGCTAATGCGCGCAGGACAGGTAGAAACAAAAGAACAAAACCAGTTGGCAATGGATCTGAATGGAGCAGAGGTTGGGAGACACACGCTCTGCAACCACGCACTACCCCCACATCATCTTCCCAATTGTAGTAGTACTATCCCCGCCTAGAGGTAGCGGATCTGGCGAAAGGAGCGCAGCATCAGATACACCCCGTGCAGCGTGGCGAAGATGCCTGCCCCGGCAACCCCCCAGGCTGCGGCCTGGACGCGCAGCGAGCTCAAGGGGATCTGGCCGGGTTCGAAGCTATCGCGACGATAGGTATCCGACCGGACAATGTGCTTGCGACGCTGGGAAGGATCTACTTCCTTTCAGTGAGTGAGGCACTGTGCAGCATGCATGCATGCATGCATGCATGCAATCCATCCTACTGACCCGCTGACTGGATGCGTTGGCCGAGGCTGGACACCGCTGGCCTCGAGCGACCGATCAACATTTGGAACATACTGATGGTTGTGTTATTTTCAGAGACGATCTGAAGGGTGGAAGAGGAGGTCTGCCCCCAAAAACCACAGCAACCAAGTCGGGGGAGGGCGGGTTTATGTGAAAGGGGGCCCAGTGGCGAGAACAGCCCTCCACCCATGGATCACAACCTCGCTCGCTCGTGATGCACCAACAGCTTCCCCAGACTCGTAACAAACTCTGGCTGGTGCGTAATGTACCCCAGATGACCCCCCGGCATGTTCACCACCGGCATCTGCAATCGATCCGATAGCACGCAGGTTGGCTGTGCGGTCAAGTCGGGGGATTCCTCCTCCCCCCGCGTGAGCATCAGCTTGTCCCGATGCACGAGGAGCAGCTCGGGCGCGAAAGTGGTGAACTGTCGCCATTCGACCATCTGCACCCCAAAATACCAGTCCTGATTGCTGGCGGGGAGGGACCGCAGTTCCTGAAACACCGTCGAGGCAACGAAGAGCGCGCGATCGCGTTCGCTGCTGGTGATGGAGGTGAGGATCGCATTGGCTGCCGGAACCCCGTGGGTGCGGAAGGCAGCGATGATCCGATCGACGTCCTCGCGGAATCGCTGGGTGATCTCCGGGGTGAACAGGTTTCCCAGCACTGGTTCGTGGACAATGACCTGGCGGAGGAGATGTGGATGGGTCTTGAGCAGGTTTAGGGCAATGTTGGCGGCCCACGAGGATCCGAAGACGGTGGCTGGCGCGTTGGGCGACAGGTGTCGGAGCAGCGCAGCAGCATCCTCGACGTTGGCCTGCAAGAGCCGGGCCGCATCCAAGTCAGTTCCCTCGTGCAGGGGACTCCGCCAGAAGCCTCGTCGGTCGTAGGTCACCACTTGGAACTGGGAGGACAGCAGCGAGGCGAAAGACGCAAAGAACGCGGCGGTCCCGTTTCCTCCGGAGATCACCAGGAGCAGGGGGCCCTGGCCACGTACTTCGTAGTACAATTTGGCGTCCGACACATCCAGATAGGACTGTTGTGCTTGGGCGGACCGGTGAGAATGCATTTGGTGGTCTGAACAAAGCGATCATCTCTGAAGCTCAGTGAGGCATTGCTTCGTTCTTATATACAGTATAATCCTCCGTCCACGTGGCCGGAGCCCTAAAGAGCAGCGGCCACACAGAGAGGCATGCGATGTCGATAAGCAATCCGCACCAGGCTCTTACTGTCACTCAGCTGAGCTGCAAGACGAGACGCTAGAGCCTACGGCTGAAAACATAAAACAGATCCCCGCATGTTCTGGGCCGAAGGAGACTCGGCAATCATGGCCTTCAATGTAGTGTGATAGCTATGCATGGAGTAGCGGGGCACGAATCATCCTGCTCGCTTGCTGCTTGTCATCTGGAGAGGAAAGTAGCTAAGGCAACCATCTGAGAAGGCAAACAATTCCCATCTCAGGCAGAGACGCTAAAATGCCGAACTCGGACTATAAATCGCTAGTCGATGGTGGCGTCAAATCACCCACCGGGACGAAGGCATTCGGACTTTTCCCTCTCATGGGGTACGAACCGTATGTGAGAACGATAGCCGATAACCAACTAATGGATTGTGCGGCTGAGATTCAGCCGCATTCAGAGCACGTAAGATGACAAGCCTTGAGCTTTCTGTCCGGAGAAACAAATGCACGACTGACTCGGCCGCGGTACGGCACCACTTGCAGAGAATGAGATTTCGGACAATCAATGTGAGGCCCCACGCTAAAGTCAGCATATGCCTGGCATCAGCACACATGGCGAGATACGAGGTACCGCCTGCTCGTGGACAATGCGATGGGGATGGATTGTCACCGTCGGTCGACAGTTGGTATGCTTACTGTGACCTCGACAGCATCGCCAACATGTCGACCGCAATCCTAGAAGAGAAGACTGATGCTGTGGCTATCCTCGAGGCCTTCCCTGAGCTGACCAGCGTCGCCGTAACCGACTTGTCTCCAACGGTAGTCTTCAGTGCTAGAATGAATGTGATTTCTGCCGTGCACGAGTCCCCCAAGACCGTCCAAGCGCCTGCTCTCAATGCCGCGGCCTGACGGGATATGGCTCAGAGCCCTGAAAGTGAAAGGGCCACCCAGCCCTCGATCTAATCTACGAGTGAGAAAGGCTTGGCTCTGGTACGTTATCCTTCCAGCGCACGAGACGTATGCTGCTATCATGTAGTTCCGCCGGCAGTTGTACTTCTATCGCACCCCGACTCTCCAGCATGTATATTACGGTCGGACACCGGCTAGGGCGGCGCTTCGAGCTGTGGATATTTACTTCATCAGGAGCAATGACTTAAAGGACCTCAGTTTGTGATTGGATTATTTGGGGGCTGGGTCGGAATCGCTGGTGATGAGGGGATATATATCACGATCAGTGTCAGAGCTGCACCCATAGGATACACCCGCTCAGAATTGAGACAACAACACTCATTGCATTGTCCGAGACAAATCAGTATGACACCATGCTTGTAGAAAGATAAATTGGCATGCTTTTGGGAAGTAGATGGGGACTAGGGGTGTTATTGAATACGGATCGAGATAAAACAAAAAGAATGACCTACGCAGGGCTCGAACCTGCAATCTCTTGATTCGTAGTCAAGCGCCTTACCATTGGGCCAGCAGGCCAGCTGTTGAAAGTACAGCTCTAAGTATGTTTGATAAACCAAATCATACTCAAACAGTATAGAACCAGGTTGCCTTCGAAACATCCACACCCGAGCAGGCGTGCCAGCATACAACCTTGTCACCTCTTCCCATATCTTCTTAGACAAGAGCAATCAGAGTATGAATGTGACACCTTGGGCTATAATTAAAGAGACAGACTAATTTAATGCACCCTTATCCCCCGGCTCCCCCATGCCTTGGCCTGACTGTTCACCCATATCCTTGCCACTCCTATCCTTGCAAATCCAAGCCCAACCTGTGTATGCTCCACTCATGGAACAACCAGCCATCTGCACAATCCCAGTCAAAATTGGACCGCCGTAGCCCCCCATGGCTGCACTCTGCGCAGTGGCAAACCAGCTCCCGGCCACAACATTCCCAATCCCGCTTTGTATGCCCGCCGCGAGCGAACCTGCAAGAATTCAGCGCAGAGACGATAGCTATATGTCGAAACCCATACCAGCTTTGACACCAGCAGACGTGAAGCCTGCAGTGTTGAGAAGAGGGGTGGCGATGAGTCCTGGTGCGACAACGACTGCACCGCTCGCCGCCCCGATAAGGATATATTCAGGGTTTTCCGTGACCCAGGTGGCGCCCTGAGGAACATTGAATCAGCTTGTATGTCTCAGATCGGTGATCATACACTCCGTTGGCTATCAGAGTATGCACAACCCACGGACATTTCGTGCTTTGGCCTCAAGCCACTCTCCATAGCTCCAGTTGGATCCAGGATGTTCGGGTCCACCCTGATCATTCTGCGGTTGAATTGCCTGGACGCACCACATTGCAGCACCGAGGAGCAAGAATAAGGAGAAGAACCTCACGATGATGCCAGGATCATAGACATAAGAAAATATCGATCTGCAGTTACGAGGCAATAAGGGCTTTGGATATATAGCTTTGAATCAGAGGAAGTCAATGGAAAGGACACTTGCCACCGCATGATATCACTATCTCTGCGTGACCGAGGCCCCGCATCAGAGCTTGGGTATGTGGCGTTCCTCAACCACGAATATAGCATGTAAGGAACAGAAAGCTTCAGGCCGATTCCGCACGTGGCTCGAGCAGGCCAGTGGTCTTGGAGTCTAGTTCGCCATCGTTCACATACAGGTTTGGAAGGGCGGTCTCGTTATGCGACATGGCGAGGTGAAAGATTGTATGGTAGCGGTGGTGACTTCTGAAGGAATACAAAGAAAACTGGAAGAGGCCTAAAGCCCATAGGGGCGTGCTGGGCTGGCCTATAATGGCGACAGTTATGAGGCTCATTGGTGAGGTATACTTGGATCTCAGGGCAGTCCGGGCGAGAATTGCCTAAAATGGCATCTTGTTCCGGCTTGAAGGTGATCTGTGCCCAGACCAAATTTTTCCCAAAATTGGGTATAAATCGTCCGATGGCTGCTTACAATGCATGCTCTTCTATTACCCTCTATTACCCCCAGAAAGCCCGCAGGCACTCGCTGACTTTCAAAGATGGTCATCCCACATGCAGCTCATCCGCTTGATCATGTAGATACCAAGCGCGGCCTATTCCTAGGCTGGGCATGCAGCGGTCGTGCGCAAACGATAAAATGCGAGACAGCTGGAGATATTGTTGAACCGGCAATTAGACAGTCATCGGTGTAATGGATCACTGGAAGCACGCTTTCATCGTTCATGCTCGCGGGGGCTATATTTCCTTGGCTCTCGGTGCGAAAGGTCTACAGGTCCGTGCGATATGCATAATGTATCGGTCGGAATGAGTCTGGCTTGTGTTGTTCCCACTGTAGTATATACTGCCACAATCGATCCTACTTCGACTGGTTCTGGCTCCCCTCCCCGTAGGCAGAATTGGTGACTCGTGCGGCGTGTGCAATCTTGCAATATGTCCATGTTGAATCTGGAGCGGGCTCGAGTGACCAATCCATACTGCGGAAGGTTGGACTAGGGACCACTGCACGTTTCGCCATGTTGCCAATGACGATCTCTTGCCTCTGAGCCACAATCCTGGCTGCATCGCTGAACCCAGAAGCTTGGACGTTACCCTCCTTGATCTGGAATATGGCGGAGGTCGAAACTGCATGCGAAGTAAAGGTCTGTTCCTCCGGGGGTTCTTTCGTGACATCAGCCTCTGAGCTTGAAGATTAGCCTGGACTTGATATTGACCCGACATCTCTTCGAGCAATCTCAAATAACATAGCGGAAGCTAGCATGTTGTCATTTAAAGCCGTGGACGTGTCATTAAGACTCTGGATCAAGGTTTCTAGACACCGTCTCTCATATTCATGTGAGTTGCCGGAGCCAATTCCCATAGTCCACTCGCGATGTCTGGCAGTATCGCTAGCACGGCAAATGATATCGATGGATTTTTAGTGACCACGGCCCCAACCAATGTTCGAAAACGCCTCTCTGGGATGCAGTAGTCGAACTACAGCAGGTCAGCATAATCGACGACAATTTTGATAAGTCTCAGCAGAGCATATTGCATATCCATGAGAGTAGAACAGTGAAGAAATACTTCACGAGTTGAGCTTCCTCCGGGGATAGCGGCCAGAGCTGCCCCGTGGTATCACGTGCATGGCTTGAGCTGGAGGCGTCCAGGCTGTGGGACTCGGAGCAGATATCGCGGTTTTCGCCAAGGTAGCCTTCAGCATAGGCATGACGAACTTCCTTGGTCGCCGGACCGTGGTGTACCGATATCACATCTCTGGTGTTTTATGCGGCATCGTTCACTGACAAACAGGGTGTCCTGCAGTGGCCTTAGCCAACCACACATTGCGGGGAAGAGAGGAAGCTTGTGGAGGAGCGGAGAGAGCCTGAGCCAGGAGCCAAGCTGTGGGGTCTGATGTCTCTTTTGTCCAAGCTGGCAATAGAGGGTCGCATAGTGAAGCAGTGTTAAGGAGTGATGTATAGATGTGGAGTAGTGAAGGGAAACAAGAGCCGGGCGGGTCTATAGAGCGAATACTGCAGGCAGTAACAGGCGGAGGATCAGACGGTGTATGCGCTGGACGGAAGGCACTACAGTCACATGATTGCTCTAAGCATCCGTCTCTTTTCTTATGCTCATCTCGTGTGCATGTACTCTCTAGTCTAGCCCTAATGGATTCGTGGTATAAGTACTGAGAATGCGCAAAGCTCTGCTCAGGATGGCTGCTGATGATATAGATAGGTATCGAACCCGACGCTGCTGTCACCAAGTCCCCGAAGATTTCCCGAGGCCTCCACAGCATCGGCCGCATTTAGTATTTCAAACGAACCGAACCGTGCCCGAGTAGAGACAGAAATCCTCATTCAATCAATTTAGGTTCGACCGTTGCGGTCCAGGATCAGACATCCTCTGGATCGGCGCCCTGCTTTGCCTCAACACCTTACCACGGGCGCGCATCCGGAGGTAGCAGGCCCCTGTGCCCCCTTTCATCCAAGTATCGGCATGCAAATTACGCCAACGAGACCATCAAGTCAGTGCTTATACGATTTGCAAGCCGATAAGAGTCATGGCATTTTGTTTAAACAGAGACAGTGCGATCTGGACCCGGTCATGGTTCGACTTATTGGAGACAATTAACCAGTGCTCCACATCAACTCAATGACGATCCTATGGGGCCGCCGTCGACGGCTGGCAGCTGTGAGCACCTAACGGCCTATTTCCGTCTCTTCTTGTAGCCCCTGGGTAAGACGACTGCACTTGAAAATGTGATCGATCAGTCAGGAAGGTAGGCTTGGAAACTTGATACATGGTGGCTGTGAGGCTCTCTGGTTTCGTCGCTAGAACGAGGCGATCTTTGTTTTATTGAACTCAACTCATGCCCTCGAAATCCAATGCGACCAGGTGTCATCTCGACGCCTACCTGACTCGATATTAGCAGGTTGAAACAGGCTAGAGAATCCTTCACCTCATGACAGTCGACAAGGGCGCGCAACGCACAAGCATGGCCGAAGTTGTTCCACGCTTGGCGTGGGATCCAAATTAACTCTACATTAGATCCACTGCAACGTGCCGCAGCGGATGCAGATCAGGCACAAACCCAGGGTTTGACAATTGAGCGATGAGGTCAGACTTCCCTCTAGTCTCACTCGTGTCAGGTATCAGGCAGAATTTTGGCCCAAGGGGGTGGATGGGTTGGCGGTACTTAGCTATCCAGCTCCTTATTCTTCAATCGCAGTTTCTCTTGGCTTTGAGATGACTTGTTTTCAGTTCTTCCCCGTCGCTGTGGGTGCAATCGAGAGCACGTTCCTTCAGCCATCGAACTCAAATGGTTGAAGTCAACCATGGCTCTCAATGAAACAGGTGTGATCGCAGCGCCTCCAGGTGTCACGCCAGACTTTACGCATCCAGCACAGCACCTACACACCGCAAACCGCGTGGTGGTCATTGTGGGATTGACGGTCAGCGCGATATGTCTCCTGGTGCGAATATATAGCCGAGTGGCGATTGTGAGGAAGTGGATGCTGGATGACAGTAAGTATGGTCTGTCTGTCCGATGAATGTTGTCTAACAAGACCTGGCGATAGCCGTGCTTGTACTGTCTTGGGTAAGGTCACCAAAAGGGTCCCCGGCTCAATTCCATGATCTGACATGAGACTGGCCGTTGCAGATGTTCGCCGCGATAACGCAATCTGTCTTGCTATGTGAGTTCATATTCGGTGTCTGCGCGCGGTTCCAATGACGCAATCTAAACACCTCGCTTAGACGGTTATACTCGGGCTGGACTGGGAATCCATCAATGGGAACTCACAGTAGAAGAATATAACAAGTCTTTGAAGGTAAGACCAACCATCACCCTCTGTCAATACTTGATTTCACGCACTGACAGTCACCAGGTTCTCATAGCTGGCGCAGTCATGTACATTCCAGCCCTTGGACTTTCCAAAATCGGTCTGATCATACTCTACTATCGCCTGTCAGATATGCAACGTAGCTGGCGGATTATCCTCTGGAGCTTCACATTCTTCGTCATAGCCTATATGATCGTTCTCGAATGTTTGTTCCTGTTTGGTTGCAGTCCCATTCAGAAGGCTTGGGATGTGGCACTAGAGGGGCAGTGTATCAGTCGCGCATCCATTTTCATGGCTGGCACGTGTGCCAGTATCTTCATCGATATTGTGCTAGTGATCACCCCCCTCCCGGTGATTATGGGGTTGAACATGGCGCCCAAAAAGCGCGCGGGGGTTGCCTGCATGTTTGGGCTTGGTGGATTGTATGCTCTGCCCTCCCCTGCCCACTCCACCCTGTGGCCGCTGCTAACCAGCTCATCATCGGGCTTAGATCGTTAATTACCAGTTGCATGCGACTGGCTTCGGTGGTTTCGATGCTGCATTCCAACGACGAATCCTACCAGCTGGGGGCTATGGTGTTATGGATGTAGGTGCTGATGATTCGAATTATGATTGCATGGGCTGACCGTCTCGCAGCAACGTCGAGGCCAGTCTGATCATTATCACTGCATGTGTTCCCTCCTTTCGCCAAGTGTTCTTCTCAGGCTCTTGGGGGAGCAGCGGTAGTCGAGAGAGGGCTTTGAGTAGTTATAGTCTGCGGAGCGCGCAGCGGCGACACCGAGGCTTCACGAATCTGACCGTCGATCTCGAAACGGATCGCCCTGAATCCGTTGAGCGAGTCGTGCCCGGTAAAGTGCCCCAGGAAGTTTAATGTCGGTTTAAAATGGTTCCTTTGGAAAACCTGTACTGCTAGACTGAGCGATGTATAGACTAGATGCCTACGCGCACAGGAGTTCGTGGGGTCCGCGTTCGATTAGCATAGATAGCATATGATACATTAATCCTTTTTGTTGGTTACTTTGGCACATATTGACTCTTCTCCGCCATCTTCCCGGCAAGCTTGGTTATCGAGACCGCTTGCAAGAGATCGAAGACGGAGCAATCCGCCTGCATCGTTACGATCGACCAGTTGCGCAGCTCCACGGCCACCAAGAAGTCGACTCCCAATTGCGCAAGAGGCAAGGATGGGTCGATATCTTCCGGGTTACGACTGAACATTTCGGCGACTTTCGTGACTAGGGCGTTTCGGATCGCGCGCGTTGCTTCACATATTGTTGCGGTGGACAATTGAACCCTCAAACTCGATCCTGGGGTGGCCCAGGACATCGGACCGGAAGAAGAGCCACCTGTCTGCTCGAGAAACGCAAACCTGGCATCACGATTCCAGCAAACGGCTTTATCCGACCGCACGAATGCCCCGGGAAGACCGGTGATAATTTGACAGGTTTCTGGGGTCCGGATGGGATGGCGAATGGCAGACTCGACCAAGGCCCACAGCTCGTGTTCCGACATCGGGCGGAATCCGAGTTTCTCGAGGTGAGAGGCAAAATGTTGAGTCTCTGCAACGACCCCAACAGACGAGACCATTCCTAGATCGATGGACACGGCGGGGAGCCCCTGACTTGCGTGATGACGAGCCAGAGAATCCTGGAAACACCCCCCGGCGGCATATTTGGCTTGGCCCGCGTTGCCACCAAATCCACTAATAGAGGACAGAAGAATGAAGAAGCGAAGGTCGGCAGGCAGAAGAGTGTGCAGGTTCCATGTGCCTTGGACCTTGGGACGCAAGGCTGCCAGGTAGTCCGAATGGGTCATGGAATCAAAGATCACGTCCTACAGAGTTGTTAGAATTGAACCAATTCTATTGAAACTTGAATGGTTGAATGAGATAGTAGTTGTGTAGTATATAGTATAGCGGGAACAGTAGTACCTTGAGCACCATAGCGGCATGGATGACTCCACGGATAGGAGGCAACAGTGAGGCATCATATTTCTGTAGAACAGTATGCAGCTGACTTGAGCCAGAGACATCACAGTCCTCTAGAGTGATGGTGGCACCGATAACGCGGAGATTCGCCAGCCAAGAAGCGTTAAGGGAAGATGAAGCAGTGCGCGAGAGAAGCAGCAGATGGCGGGCTCCGCCTTCGAGCACCAGCCGCTCCGCCAGATTCTGCCCAATGCCTCCCACACCGCCCACGATAAGATAAGTCTCCTCACGTGACAGCTTGACTTTGGCGGGCGGCCTCTTCTTCACCTTCACTTGGGCTTCATCCTCCTCCTTCGCCTCCACCACAATCTTCCCCACATGCTGCCCTGTCTGCATCGTTCGGAATGCCTTCTCAATTTCTCCTATCCCGAACTGAGTGATTGGCCTCACCGGTCTGATATTCCCCTTCTCCATCAATTCATTAATTACCCTGAAGATTCGTTGCACCTCTGCCCCTCTCTGTTCGCCCAGCGTGATTAGATCCAGCGACGCGAACATTGCACTCCGCTCGAATGGCCTCATCTCTACCGAGTGACCCTGCTCGAAATCTCGCTTGCCGTTTTCAATGAGTCGCCCGAACATCCCGATGCAGCGCCATGTTTCGCGGAGCAGATCTCCTGCCAGCGAGTTGATCACCACATCCACCCCCTCCCCCTTGGTCGCCGCCATGACATGACCGGCAAAGGATGCATTGCGGCTACTGAATATACGCGACGAGGGAATATCGTATTCTTCCATTAAAAAATCGCGTTTTTGCTCCGATCCAACGGTTACGAAGATGTCTGCCCCGATCCACTGCGCCAGCATGACCGCTGCTTGGCCAACACCACCGGTGCCGGAGTGGATGAGCGCCCTTTTCCCGCGTTGGATACGGGCAAGATCCACCAGGGCATGGTAGACCGTGATGAGGACCACGGGGATGGAAGCCGCGGTGGCGAAGTCCATTCTCGCGGGCATATGGGCCACAGCGGTAAATGGGCAGCGTACTTTGGTCGCGAAGTGTCCGATGGTGAAGGCATGCACCGGTTCGCCGGGAGTGAATCCCGCGGCGCGTGCGGAGGGTCCTACGCGGGTAATGACTCCACTGCACTCGAAGCCCATGCGCGTTTCCTCAAGTTGACCCAGTGCGACCATGATGTCGCGGAAATTGAGTCCGAATGCCCGTATGGCCAATATTCGTCTTCACTGACCCAATGATGAGAGGGCAGTCAGGGCTGCGTCCAGGCCTGGAAACATTCCCAAGAGAATGAGCTTCAACGGTGTCGCCTACTTGCGTCCCTGTACCATGGGCTTCGACAAAAGTAGTGTCGTGCGGGTTGAGGCCAGCCATCTCATAGCAACCACGCATAAGAATCTCCTGGGCTTCCTGGCTCGGCGACGTGAGGGTTGCAGTTTTCCCATCCTGGTTTGCCGCCGAATTGCGAATGACCGCACGAATGGGGTCTCCATCTCGAATAGCCGCCGTGAGGGGCTTGATCACAATACTCGCAATCCCTTCGCCACGGCCGTACCCCGTAGCTCGGGCATCGAAGGCGAAACAGCGTCCTTCAGGCGATAGCAGGCTGAGATTGGATTGGAGAATGAACGTATCCGGGTTGAGCAATAGGTTCGATCCGCCCACGACAGCCATCTCCGACTCCCCTGCGCGTAAATTCTGACATGCCAGGTGCAACAGCGTGAGCGTCGTCGAGCACCCGGTGTCAACCATTACACTCGGACCCCGGAGATCGAAGAAATGCGAAACACGGTTCGCGATCATTGCCGCGCCACTACCCGTGAGTGTTGCTCGAGGCAGAGTATCAGGGTCGCGGAATAGACTGTCCGGGTAATCTCGGAAGCACGTCCCTGCATATACGCCGGTACAGGAGCCCGCCACCTGGTCTAGGGACAGACCGGCACTCTACAGAGCCCCGTAGACGGTTTCCCAATTGCAAGCGCACCTCCGGGTCCATTGTCTGGGGCATTCAGTGCTTCAACCGAAGGGGATCTGACGACGAGGGAGAACTCACACTGGCGACTTCGGCCGTGAGGTTGAAGAAAGCGGCGTTAAATCGGGAGATATCCTCTGTGAGGAAGTGTGCGCCTTTGGCGTATGACTAGGATATATTGGCAGTTAACCACCCAGCTACTCTATCCCCTTGACGCGTCCAGTGAGTGATGACATACCGTTCCATGATGTTCCTTGTCGGGATGGTACCAGCCCTCTGCGTGGAAGCGAGACCGTGGAATTGGGGACCATGCACTCTCTCCCTGGCGCCAAGATCCCAGAGCTTCTCGGGACTAGAGGCGCCCCCGGGGGATCGACAAGCCATGCCGATGATGGCGATGGGCATGACTTTCAGGTCGCCCTTAAAGGAGTCATTCTCGGACTGGGTGGTATAGGAGATTATTGCGTGTCCGGGTTAGGATGGAGGCTGTGGCAGGGGGTTCAAACAGGGAGCTGAAGTGAGTCAGGGAGATTGAATAGAAGAGGAAACTCTTTGCCTATGTCTTGTTCCGCCAGTTTTGTGAGCGCGGGGATGGTAGCAGTCCAAGTGAGTGCACCGTCAAGTAATATTTCGGACAGCCTGTGGACCGGAGCTCTATTCGGTGAGACTTCAGGCAACCAGCTTTCTGGGTAGCTCCATCTGCTCTGCCATTCATCAGATCGCCTGTGAGACAATTAGCTACTTGTCATTGAGCTCCATCCGGGAGTCAGACACGATAGTTAGGGCCCGGAGTATCTGAAGCCCCGAGGTGCATTGTCACTCATATGGGGGTCGACATTAATGCTACTGCTATCAAGATGGTGGGTGTCACAGTCTGCGGCACGAGATTCAACAAGAATCTGGAGGGTAGATGAGGATGACGCAGGTTATGCTGCTGGCCATGCATCTGACAGGTTCTGGCTATGAGGGTTAAAAGCAATTCAGTAAGTCCCAATGAAGCTAAATCTACGCACGAGTATGTGCACTGTCTTTGGACTGTCGAGTTATCAAGACTCTTGGATTCATGGGAACTTTGCACCGGGCGCTTCAATTCTTGGAAAACATTGATAGTCCATGGATAGCCTCTCCGATATCTCTATGTTGTTATTTGAGCCCATCCCCGTATAGACTCTTAGCCATTGGCAGGGCTCAACGAGTTGCATTCAGTCAGTCTTCCATGCGTGAAGGAGTGTATAGGATGAGTCAGCGTCTTGTTCTGCCTCAGGCCATGAAACATGACATCACCACTTCATCTTGCGATCCCGAGGCGTTCCTGAGTCTCTCTCTTTGCAACATCCATCATGATACTACATTTTCACTCCAGCTCGACACTTTGAAGTCTGTCACCATGACCGGCCACATCATCGACACGGTCAAGGAAGACCACGGCGAGATTCAAGCTTGCTATGGACGCATCGTGAGCTCCGCGGACCGTCAAGAGCAGATTCGCTTCCAGAACCTCTTCACCTGGGCTCTGGCACGCAACACCGTCGGCAAAGACCTTGTCGTCTATCCTGCCTACGAGAAGCATCTGTCGGAGGGATCTACTCTGGCAGAGAAGCGCCGCAAGGAGAACCATGCTGTGCGTAACACTAGAACCACCTGGGTCTGCGATTGCAGATAGCCGGCTGTATTAACCACCAACGCAGGTCAAAGGACAACTCAAGAAGTTCCAGACCCTGGATCCGAGCAATCCCACCTTCATCCCCACCATTCGGGGGCTGATGGAGATCCTGAGTCCCCAGATGAGAGAAGAGGAGAACAGCGACCTGGTGGATCTCGAACAGGTGCTCTCGGACCACGACAGTATCAGCCTGGCCAAGTCGTTCAATCGCACCAAGATCTTCATGCCATCGCGCGCCCATCCCGGCGCCCCGAGTAAGCCGCCCTTTGAGACGGTCGTCGGCCTCTTGACGGCGCCCATTGACCAGCTGGGGGACTTGTTTCGGAAGTGGCCGCACGAGAAAGACGTGCACACGTGATGAGAGAAAGATTATATGTACTGTACCTGCTAGTCTGTCACTTCAAAGCTCTAATCTCCTGCTCACTTTGATGCCCTGCAACCCCCCTTCCAACCCTAAAACCATAAGAATCTCCCCCTAGCGAGAAGACCCCCAGAACCGCCTCCCCCACCGCCAAAGAAGAATCCCGCGGCCCAAAAGCCGACCAAAGGCGAAGGGAAGCCCAAACTGGAACCAAGTCAATGGCCGCCACAACACAGCCCTCGGCACCACTCCCACCACGCCATCTCGCGCACTCGTAGACGCATCGCCGACAGCCTTCCCCGTAAACGCCTCGACCGCCTCCCTCACAATCCCCGCCGTCGCCTCTGGCTGACTCAAGAAGGGGGAATGACTCGTGTGTAGCTCCCGATGCTCCACATTCGCACCGATCTCCCTCGCCATCTCCACCTGCATTCGCTGCGCCAGCACGGGCAGCCCGCGATCCTCCACCGTCCCCAGATACCAGACCGGCACATCCTGCCATCCAGCATACGTGAACTCCCCGCCCTCGAATAACGCCTTCAGACTCTGCGGCGTCAGCTGCGAGACCCAGTACTCCGCCTCCTCCCGGGGCAGGTCATGGTAAAACAGCTCGCGGGGAGGGGTGACCAGCTCCGCGTAGCCGGTTTCGCGGTTCGCGCGCCAGGAGGGCGGCGGGTGCCCGAAGAATGGGTCCATGAAGGAGAGGCCGGTGAAGGTGAAGCCGGAGGCGATGAGAATGAGGCCTACCACGTACCCGGCGGGGGAAGGCGGCGTGTCCCCGGCCGGGGGCGGGGGCTGGGGCTGGGTGAAACCCTTGATGGCGCTGTTGCCGACCATGCCGCCGTAGGAGTGCGCGATGACAATTACATTGCGGCCGTGGCTGGTTTCGTGGGCGATGGCGTCGCGCGCGGCATCGAGGTCGTCTTTGAACGTTGCATCGCGGCTGCCGGTGGTGGAGGGGAGGGTGATGGCGACGCAGTGTAGCTTGTGCTGGGTCTGGAGGAGTTTAATGACGGAGCCATAGCAGGAGGGTTGGTGCCAGGAGCCCGGGATAAAGATGAGGGTTGGTAATTTGGTCATTTTGAGGAACTGACATTTTCCTACTTATGTGCTTGTGTTAATCAGAAGTGATGGTGATGTCAATCCGTCCGGAATCACGCGCCCTGTCATGTCATGTGACGATATGGACGTTGACCTGAGGCTGAAATTCATGGGCTGCAAAATGAAAGCCTTCATGTTTGCCCTGATTTGAACTTCTGTTCTTCTATCTGTGGATCTTTGATTATTCCGATGGTTTGGAATGTGCAGGGTTTCCTGATACTATGTATCATCGGCCCCTTACATGGGCTTATACCGTCAGCAATTTTTGCCAATTGGATAGAGAGCTGTGCGGGCCTTTGGCGATGCTTGACTCAGTCCAATTATGCCAAAGACTCCGTATGACCACGTGTATTTATCTCGCTTGCTCTGATTGTGTCTCTGAACCATATTTCAACTGCAATTGTACCTGTCATGTACTACCTCTCACAGGAACCCTTGCTTCACAGCATCTCCCACGTCAGCGCCATCCCAGCCCACGTCACCACCAACAAGACCCCAAGACTGGCGGACAGGACGGGCTGCGAGGCGTCACTGGTGGTTCCACAGCACTTGCCATTGTATGTCACATTGTTCATCGCGGCGGCCACTTCAAAGACCGACCCCGGGAAGTTGCCGTCGTTATAGTAGTCCACGAGCAGGAAATTCGGGGGACGATCCCATTTAGCTATGCCAGCGAATCCATCAGTGGTGCTGTAAGAATAAAAGAGAGGGCAAACCGACTTACCGCGACAATTGTTCGCCATGAGCCCGAGACTCCCGTATCCCGAGACCGCATTGGTCGTATTCAATTGCGCCGTATCCGGGATCAGGATCTCCACCTCCTCAAAAATGACCTCGATATCGAGATTGTGATTGATCATGTACATGCGCTCCTCCGCCTCCGCCGCAGTGATCCCGGGCGGTCGCTGCACCGTGCAAGGGAAGGAAGCGTTGAGCGGGGAGAAGGGGGTCTCCCACATCTGACTGAACTCATCCAGGATGTAGGGAATGGCGCTTTGATTCGCCTGGTAGTCCATGAACACGACCGCGCGCTTCTCCGCGAGGATCATCTCCGATAGCGTCGGCCAGTCGCTGACGTTCATCGGGATCTTCCACGGCTCGTATGCGTAGTCGATCAGTCCGGAATTTTGGATCGGGGCAGTGAAGTTGGAGGGATCCACGTAGTCGGAGTTCACGATCAGGACGGTCACTACCTCGTAGGGATTCTCCTTGAGCCAGTCGGTGACGTTGGTGAGGTAGGCCTCCAAGGTGCCCATGTTCAGGAGTTCACACGAGGTGTGGCAGAGGTAGATATCGTCTTCATAGTAATGCGCTTCGAAAGATACTGACCGGGATGAGTCATATGTGTCCAAGGGAGGGATCCAAGGGTGGGGGACGTACCCATGCGTATGCCGTCCTCGAGCTGGGTCCGGACGGGGTAGGCTTGATTGGACGCTACGTTGTTCTTCTTGACGAAGGGACTGTTATGGGCCGTGACCATGGTGATGTTGGAGTATTTCCTCTCGCAGAATTCCGTGTAGCCATTGCAGGGCTGCGAATTGGCGCCCGCGGAGGATGTGGCCGTGCTGCTGCTGGTCAGGACTCTCGTACCGCTCAATTGGACCGCGGTGTCCGTGGTGGTTGCGGTGGTGGTGGTGCCATTGGTGATGGTGGTGTTAGTTGCCGTGAGAGTACTCGTCTCGGTCGTTGACCGCGACTCATTCCTGGCGAGGGTGATGGTGGTGGTGTAGCTGAGATAACTGCCGGTGGGAACGACTTCCGAGGCGGAGGTGACCACGACGAGAATGTCCGAGGCAGACGAGGTCGATGTGGTACTCAGCACTGTAGTAGTGACTTTGGAGGTGGTCGACTTGGCGCTGACTGGTAGAGCCAGTGCCTGCAGAGCGAGCAGGAACCATTTTCTGGTTGCGCGCATGATTTAGGAGTGTGGTGTCGAGCTACTTGGCAGGTGGACGAGGAGGAGGAAATATAACGGGGGGAAAGGGGGAGAGTTGGGGAATGACGTCGGTGTATACTGTCGACCAAAGCTTAGCCTGTTCTGCAGAGTCTATTAATGTCTACTCCGAGTCCGATGTGCCTGAGCTGACCCCATGTGGCAGAGATAAAAACTTTGTTGCCTGCCGCGTCATCGCTTGAAGTGACTTTTTCCGGGTGGAGCAGGCCAGCTGGCAGTGGTTGGTGCGTGGATTGGGTCAAATTGATGCCAACAAGAGCAATGCAGATTGATCCATTGCGTGAGAAATGCAATGCAAATCTAGCCCACCACAGCAGGGAATCTATTCTTTATATCAGATTGTCTTTGGATCGATCGCGATGAGGTGACACAAGATCCGCACTGCCAAGTCGGATCTTTCCGAGGGGTTCTCAGCCTCAGGCATCAACCACTGGTTCCTTGCAGCACGAGGATGTGCAGTAGTCCAGCCAACAACATAGTCTGGTGGTTTTCTCTACTTTGATGAGGCGGTGATGATCATAGCTAGCAGCAGCGTGCTTCTGCAGCTCATGCGACCGTACGTTTCCTGTGGGGGAGTCTCATCAGGGAGTGCTGCCTGGAGAATATGGCAGCCATCGTGACCCGCAACAACCTTAACTTTAAAGCTGAAGATTCACCATAAGAGTATGAATGATTGACTAACTAAGACAATGGCACTTGAACGACTCAGAGCAAGCAGAGGAGAATCGAGAGAAAGGAGAGAGAGCAAGAAAAGTTGTTGAGCAGTGGCCAGGGTCATTACCTGCGCAATCAATCCTCTACATTAATGTCTCAGTTGCGGGGCGCCGAGTATTTCACCACAGCAAACCGGCGCCAGGCTGCCCATTATCACCCGTGACTATAACATGCCGGGTCAAGGAGACTTCCCCATCCAGATGCAACTGTGATGGAGTCAGGGATTGCACTTTACCTTATCTTACTGACTGCGAGCTATACAGCTTGATTCTAAGAGGAGCCCCGGGCTTAGGGCTGGGCCTCGGCCGGGCTGGCGACATCAAAATAAAACCTCATTTCCCCCTGAGATCCCCGTTGAAGCACGCCTGGGCTACTCCACCCTGGATAACAACCCCACCAGCATCAATACCACCAATAGCAGCCAGGCTTCGCCAGGGTATCACGACCCTGAATCCTCCATGTCAATTTACGACACACCCTGAGACCACACTCGGCCGTGTATCGTTCCAGGGTCATTGGTCTTGGGATCTCTATACTGCAGACCCCCCCAGGGACTATATCTATGGCGATGTCCCGCCCAGACACTGCATGTCAAACAGGCCTTTACAGACAGCAGCTAACCAACTACCGCTCTCCATCATGCGTGGGCTTTTCACTCTTTCTTTGCTTTCTGCGGCGCTGGGCGCCTCTGCCGGGTTGACTGCGTCGAACCTCGAAACCTATGTCGATGTGCTGGCACTCGACAATTCCTTCAACCCCATCGAGGCTGCCTACTGGACCAACTTTGCTCATCACCGTCGCACGCCTTTCGCGGTGTCTCCGAACGGCAAGACGGCCTACCTCGCCTATCTCGACTCCAGCGGCACCGATGTCCACGTCACCGAACTGGATCCCACCACGTTCAAGGCGACCGGCACCTCCGTCACCGTCAGTGGTGGTAAAGAAGGTCGGTTCCAGACCCCAAATCCCATCGACTCGCTGACCGCGATGCTAATGTCGAGCCAGCCGGTGGTCTCGTCGCCCACGATGATGGCTTTGCCCTGTTGACGAACGAGGCGATGCCCTCGGGCACCACCAACGCGCCCCCCAGCGACACCCCCGTGCCCGTCCTGCACCGCTACACCAATGGCAACCAGACGTGGAAGACCTGGCTGGGAGGTCCCGGCGTGCACGCCTCGGACGGTCTGGCCGAGGCAGTGGACATGAACGGTGATCTGGTCTACTCGGAAGCGGCTGGCATGTACGGGGCCTACTTTGTCGTCAGTGACTACACCGGCTCGGCCGCGGGCCATTACGGCGACAGCATCGAGTACGTGGCCGCCAATGGAACGCTGTTGGACATCAGCGGTGCCTCCAGCTCGTGGGGGTGCAGCCACAACACCGGAATTGCCTTCGAAGCCGCCGATGAGCCTCCTTTCGCCAGTATCTGTGCCGAGGACCAGGGGGCCATCTGGTTGAACACCAAGACCCAGAGCATGTACAATACCGGGGTCAAGATCTCCAACGAGAACACGACCAACGGCGGCTCGGGGGAGCCCATGGGTGGTATGTCCGGCAGTTACAGTGGTCTTGCTCGGTTTGCCGACAGCAGTCGCTACATCTTCACCTGGGTCTCGCGGGGTGCCATGGATGTGACGGAGAACACTTGGATGGGCGATGGATACACCCACGTCACCAACCGCACCAACCCCCGCAACGTCGCCCTGGCCCTCTTCTCCGACAAGTACACCAAGGTGGGTGCCCAAGCCACTTCGACGGTGGGCGCGGAGGATGGCGACAGCCAAGTGACCTGGGTGACCTCCGGCGCCAACGACTGCTCCAACGCTCACACTGCCACCTTTGGGAACACCTCCGCCCTGATCACCTGGGAGGAGATCTCCGACCCCGTGTGCGACTATATCGCCATGGGCTGCGAGGGCAAGTTCGCCGGCACCTACTTCCAGCAGGTGGATGCCACCGGAAAGAAGGTCGGCGACGCCTTCTCCAGCAGCGATGTCTACATTGCCGGTGACATGGTGACCATGTCCGATGATCGCATTTGCTGGCCCTATGTGAGCATGGAGTGGGATTTGTCTCTCGTCGTGTACGAGGCCGACTCCTCCAAATTCACCAAGAAGATCAGCTTTGCCTGCATGTCCACGAGTGGTGCCAGTGCCAGCAGCAGCTCCAGCAGCTCCGCCGTCGCCGCTGCTAGCAGCATCGCCAGTGTCTCTCCCTCTCAGGTGGCGGCGACTTCCAGTGCGGCGGCTGTGTTCGTCGAAACCACCACCGCTGCTGCTGCTGCTGCTGCTGCTGCGGAGACCACAGTTGCCCACACGGCAATTATCAGTTCCGTTGCGCCTGTCGCGACAGAAGCCCAGGTCGCCTCTTCCGCTAGCCAGATTCCCAGCTGGGCCACCGTGGCCGGTCAACGCACTACCTTGAGCACTCAGGGTCAGTCCAAGCCGACTGGGGGCTGGAACGAGGGCAGTGTCCCTAACTGGCAGCCCTGGTCCGAGGAGCAGGAGGGAAGTTGCTCGTACTAGACAGACTAGGAGTGGTACACAAGATCGATGAGGAGGGACTGGGGTTGTGAGTGATTTGCTCGCAATAGATGGATTGTACGTAGTCCGACAGAATCAGAACTCAACCTTCATGAAGCGCAGTTTTCATTCTGTAATCTATCGTCTAAGTTCCACACAGTCCAAACCCTTTCAAGCAGTGTTCCACGTATTTCTGCCACATGGGCGGACCCCCCATAATACCACCATCCAACACAAACGCATCCATCAGTCACACACAATGAGACACCACGAGACATAGCAGAGATATTGCACCTTCGCAGCAGACCCGACCCGAATCGCAACATGCTGCGAGGCACTGAGTAAGATAGAATTTGAGGAAGAAGGATTCACAGCATAAGTACCCTATGACTCTCGGAGTTACCAATTTTATCACACCAACCTTTGTAACTCGCAACCCAGATGAATGAGGGCTTTTTATCTCCCCAGCCCTCACTTGGTGGCCCTTCATTCCCTTCAACTCGCAACAACCGGTGTATAATGTGTATCCTGTGTATACAGTACATCATTATACTCCATTTACCCCGGAGTATTGGTTTAGTTTCTGTATCCTCCGTCCTGCGTCGGCAAAGGTGGGGCAGATTGACAGCCGACGGGGTGGCGAAAAGAACCAGTCGGGAGTTCACGGCAAACACAACACGGACCCAAGGGAAAAAAATCTCTGACGTCTGTCAGTTGCATTGGCTGTCTTGTATTGCTCGATCATAGACATCCATGACAAGCACAAACACAATCATGATGGACAACAAAGATAGTCGGATTGTCATTGTTGGAGCGGGCGTGTTTGGCCTCGCCGCAGCCCGCCAGCTGGCGATGGAGGGATACCGGAATCTCCTCGTGCTGGACCGGTCGATGCCCCCCGTCGCCGACGGTTCCAGTTCCGATATCTCGCGCATGATACGCTTCGACTATGCCGATGATGACTATCTGCGCATCGCCCACCAGGCCTACCTGGAGTGGTCCCAGCCCAAGTACCAGGGCATCTTCTATCCCGCCCCCTTCATCCTCACCGGCAACACCAGCGCCCATGGTCAGGCCTGGATTGCCAGCACCACTGCCGCCCTGACTCGGCGGGACTTGCCCTATACTAGACTCGAGGATGTCGCTGCTACGAAGCAGATGCACCCGGTTCTCAGTGGACCGTTGGCTGCCCCTCCCTTCAATGGCTATCTCAACACGCAGGCCGGCTGGGCCGATGCTAACAAGGCCATCAGTCAGATCCGGGACGATTGCCTGGAGCTGGGCGTGTCGTTTTTGTGCGGTCGCAGCGGGACAGTGGTCGGCTTGGAGACGGATGCCTCGAAGAAGATCACAGCCGTGCGGACGCTGGTGGGGAGTCCGATTGAGGGGGACTGCTTCTTGCTCACGGCGGGGGCCTGGGGATCCAGCCTGGTCCCCATGTACAATTCCACCCTGACCACCGGACAGGTGGTCGCATATCTCCGCCTCACCCCCGAGGAATTGGCCCAATACAGAGATCTCCCCATGTATGCAAACTTTTCCACCGGCTGGTTCAATTTTCCCCCGCACGAGGAGACGGGGATTCTCAAATTCGCCATTCATGGCTGGGGGTACACCCGCGCCCCGGACCAGGAGGAGATGATGATCGTCAACCAGGCGAATGTCTCTGCTCCCCCCTTGATCCCTCCTCGCGAGCGTCGCAACTTCGTGCCTGCCGATGGGGAGGCCCGGCTACGCGAAGGACTGCGCGAGATCTTGCCCGAGTTGGCTGATCGGCCGTTTGAAAAGCTGGCCTTGTGTTGGTATACTGATACTCCCACCGGGGATTTCATCCTGGACTACCATCCCGACTTTACGAATCTGTTTGTCGGGGGTGCAGGCAGTGGGCAGTAAGTCTTGTGTTGTGTTCATGTCACCGTCACCGGAGGAGAGGCAAACTAACCATCGCATCTAGTGGATTCAAATTCCTTCCGGTGCTGGGTGAATACATGTCGCTGGCATTGAAGAAGGCTCTGCCCGAGAATCTGGCGCATAAATGGCGATTCCGCACCGATTATGCCACGCGAGAGGATGTCTTTTTGGGGGATGGAAGTCGTGGAGGGCCCATCCGCCGGGAATTGAACCCTAAGGAAAGGGCAAAGCTGTAATGGTTGAACCTGTGGACTGGATGTGCATCCCTCTGTATGTTCAATCTCGGGATAGAGTGAGTGCTACTATAGGAATCTAGGGATTTAGGGATATCAGCCACCCCCTCCCAGGGATCACGCTCAGCAGACCATGATAGACTACATCGCAGCCTGCCACCCCTCTCTTCCCTCGCCAATTTGTCCAGTAACGTCCACGCCACTAGTTCAGCCACCAGCCCCGTCTCCGCCGGTCCTCCGCCGGCCTCCGTATACATCACGTGATATCAACATATGTTTGAGCGCCATCCTGCTTCTTCTCGCTCCGATCCCTCCCAACATCCTCACAGGTAGATAGACTCTCCTCATGGTCCGTCGATTTGCTGAGGCCCCATCGCTGGCCTCCGCCTACACGATGCGTCCGACTGCAATCTCCATGAATGTGCATCGGCGCTCCCGGGCAGAAGCACCAGCCTCGCAGCCTCGCATCACCATTGTGAACACGGGTCTTCTGATCCCAGGCGACGGGGAAGTTTTGAACCATGCAGCCGTGGTCATCAGCGACAGAACCATTGCCTTTGTCGGCCGGCAAGCAGATATACCCAAGAAATACCTCCGAGCACCACATACCACCCATGAGGTCCCGGTGCTGATGCCGGGTCTGTGGGACTGCCACATGCACTTTGGCGGAGAAGACCAATACTACAATGATTACACGGCCATCCTTGCCACGCACCCGGCCTCGGCCGGGGCGCGACTGGCCCGCGGGTGCTGGGAAGCGCTGCAAAGTGGCTATACCTCGTACCGCGACATGGCTGGGTACGGGTGTGAAGTGGCCAAAGCCATCGAAGATGACTCCATCGTTGGTCCTCATGTGTATGCGGCCGGAGCCGCGATCAGTCAGACGGCAGGACATGGTGACATCTTCGCGCTGCCGGCGGGCGAGGTGCTGGGGAGCTTTGGGGTGCAGAATCCCCGGCCGGGGTATTGGGGGGCTGGCCCGGTGTGTATTGTGGATGGGGTCGAGGAGGCGCGTCGCGCCGTCCGTCTGCAGATTCGGCGAGGGGCCAAGGTGATTAAAGTCATGGCCTCTGGCGGAGTCATGTCCCGCGATGATGACCCGAAGTGCGCGCAGTTCTCGCCCGAGGAGCTTAGGCTTATGGTCGAGGAAGCGGCACGGCAGGATCGGATTGTCTCTGCCCATGTTCATGGCAAACGGGGGATTCTGGCGGCCATTCATGCCGGTTGCAAGAGTCTGGAGCATGTGTCTGAAGCGGACGAGGAGGTCTTCCAGCTCATGAAGGAGAAGAACGTTCTGTATGTGGCCACCCGCACGGTCACCGAGGTCGCTTTGGCCAACAACGGCGAGGGATTACCCAAGGAGTCGTGGAAGAAGCTGCAGGCACTGGCCGACTCGCATCTTCGAGCCTATCAAGGAGCAGTCAAAGCCGGGGTCACCATTGCCCTGGGAACCGACACGGCACCCGGAGGCCCCACGGCTTTGGAGCTCCAGCTGGCCGTCGAAAAGGCAGGCATGACGCCGCTACAAGCCATCAAGGCGGCTACTGCCAATGCTCCCTTGTCTGTGGGCCCCCAGGCACCGCAAACTGGCCAGCTCAAGGAGGGATATGAGGCGGATCTGATTGCGCTGGAAGAAAGTCCCCTCGAGGATATTCGCATTCTGCAGGACAACAAAGTGATTACGCATGTTTGGAAAGGTGGGAGACTGTTTAAAGGACCTGGGATTGGTCCCTGGGGAGAGACTACGAATCCGTTTCGATGATCCATCTTTGCTTCTCCTTCCCGGTTCTCGGTAGCAAATGACAAATGATATGCCATGTGTGTTGCTGGTTGATACTTGGTCCTCAAGGGCAGATCCATGATCCCAGTCTGGTCGTACTGTACCTCGTGTGCCACCGGAGTACTGCAGCAAGCCGCGCATAGCATCCGTAGATCCTCCATGAGCTCAGGCGCCATCCATCGGCTGTGCCATCTGCAGCCCTCCGAATCTCAGGTGCGGATGTGAGGAGATCGATCCTGGAATGTAATCTCCTCTGTACCTCAATTGGCCTTTAGAAACTCCGAGCGGACCGTTTATCGTCCCGGGATCTGTTGAGGGTACCGAACTTATAAACCCCCATCAATGGACGAGAGAACATGCAGTTCATGGTGGCGTGCTGGGATTAGATTCACTCGTCAAAGCCGACAAGATGTTCCTGAAACATGTCTTTGTTACCCTCCTGACTTTGGGTTCATTTCTGCTGACACCGGTCCTGGCTTTCCCTGGCGACTCCGACTCAGAGGACAGCCTTCCACCCAGTGCAGGGCTTTCACCCCTCCTCAAAACCCTGCAGAGAATTGAAATATCCGGGATCAAGCTTGATCGAACCCTGACGACATCGGAGATCACGGCTGAAACTCTTCAAACCATCCGGCAATTGACAGATGAAATCGAGGGCATCGTGGCCCAAGCCACCACTGAGGCACACGCACTCGACGTGCTGGACCCGTTCCGTAGCTCGAAACTGACCAAGAGCGCTTTGCCCATGAAGCCGGTGCTTGGCCATTTACTGAATGTGATTGTGGATGTGGTATGCTTCGTTACCCATGCGAATCGGGTTGTTATGAGTGGGAAGCTGATCAGCAGCCACAGAAAGAGGAGATTTGCGCCGCCGACTTTTGCCAGGACATGCAGGATTTCCTCACTTGGATGCGCATTCATTGTCACGAACTAGCCGAATCACTGCGTGGGATTCTGCAGTTTGGGGATGGGAAACTTATTGAAATTTGTGCAGATCTCGTTGATAAGCAATACGCCCTGACCATCACTCAGTATGAGAAGATCATCCGATCTGGGAAAGGCAAGGATAAGATGGACGATTGATCTTGACGGATTGTTGAAGGGAACAGGCAGTTATCTGGCGCAGCGATTACAGCTACGTAGACACGAGTCACTAGTCGGAGGACCAATGCCATATGATCCAGAGTGCTATTTCTTGCAGAGCTTAGGAGTCAAACACCAGGCGACTATTGGCTGTTCGCGTAGTGACTATAGCTTGGACCTCGCAGACTGTGCAGCTGTCATTGAACCCAAGAAGATGCCTCGATCCATCGCCGACTCCTCGCTCCATCCCTGGATACGAGGTGAAGTCGGCTTCGGCACCAAAGAATTACGTCTTATCCACCGAGAAGCAACTTCTTGAGCAATTGGATTCCCGTCCTGTACAGCATCGTATCGGAGCAGAGAGCCCGATATCACCACTTCCAGATACTGCAACAGCTCTCGTCCGCGGTATAGCAACTCCTCCTTGGTGCCCCCAGCGACTACCGCCAAACAGTCGAGATGCTGCGCAATAATGCTGCCTTCTTCCCCAAGAGTATGGTTGCCCAGTGCGAGCAGCCGTCTTGCCCAGGGACCCAGAACCCTACCGATCACATCTCCCTGCCCTAGGCGTGCATCAGTAATGACCCGCACGACGTCTTCGGCCAGCACGTTGACTGTGCCCTCCCAAATGCCATTCACCGTCGTATCACGGAAGATCTTCGCAATATTCAACAGGCCGCCATTCTCATTGTTTTCACAGTATCCCACCCCGCCCAGACATTCCATGCAAGCACGCAAGCCGTGGACGGCGTTCACGCTTTCGGTGGCCTTGATCACAGGGGTGATTAGACGCAGAAGCGCTGCTGCGCTGGCGGTCTCTTGGGGAATCAACTGGGCTGATTGGGTGTTCTGCACCATCAGTCCCCAGTCTTGTTCGATCGTCCCCAGCAGAGCCACCCCGAAGAAGGTCAACTGCGTTGCCGCCCAATACTTCACTGTCTCCTCCGCCATCCAGCGCAGATGCAGCCGGTTGTCTCGAAGCAACCTCCCCTTCGTTTCTCGAATTTGACTATATGCGCGGCAGATCGCCAGTCCGCGACCCCATCCGGCGACTGAGCTACTAGCTGCATACAGCCGGGTGATATTCAGGACGGTGGCGATCTCCTTGACGCCGTGGCCTTCCTCCCCAATGAGCCACCCGCGCGCTCCTCGTAACTCTAGCTCGGCGGTTGGCAGAGACTTTGTGCCCAGTTTATTCTTCAGTCTCTGGATTCCAATCCCGTTGAGCTCGGATTGATTGGCTTGGTCGCCTACACCGCGACGAGTCGGAAGGTAGAAGAGGCTCAACCCCCGGCTGGTCTGCGCCAGCAGCAAGGTCATATCGGAATCAGTGGCGCTGCTGAACCATTTGAAGCCATCAATCCGCCACGGGCCCAGCGGCAGACCATGCGCGTCGCAATCGCGGCCGAGTGTCGTATCCTGTGACAGCTCCTCGGAAGTCATTCGTCGCGCAACGGTTTCTGTGCCGCGAACATCACTTCCCCCGCGCCGTTCAGTCATCCATTGTCCGGATGTCCATGCTTCGGTTGGATGTCGCGAGATGAGTCGGCGATATGATTCTCGGAGAACGCGATTGCGTCCTGGTTGATCGCCGTCCGGGTCTTCGAGATGGGCGTGGAGCAGTTTAGCGGCCCCATCGCTCATGGATAAGGGACATCCTGTCATGGCTGCACTGCTGGCCCACACATGGTTCAATGCGAATTGATGCACCCGTCGATTCCATGTCTGATTGTGTCTCTCGTAGGCCACTGCCAGAAGCCCTTCCTCCTGCCCGGTTGCCTTTAGGTGTCGCCAGCCCTCACTCACCCATAGGGGGTCAACTCGATTGCTCTCTCCGAAGGTGTTCAGCAGATTGAGGGTGGGCTGATGGAGCTCGGCATCTACAGACAGCTGGAGGACTTGGGGATGTAAAGCACGACGGGCGAGATTGTGGATGGAGGTGTAGACTTCAGAGCATTCCGGCGGGAGATACAGGTTTAACACTCGGTTCAAGGCTAAATCGTCGACTGGGGACGGGTCTGCGTGGTGGGAGCGATAGGTATAAGCGGGTGCAACGATGGGCATCTGCTGGAAGAATCCATGGGTGGCCGACGAGGGTTTCTCCCGTTTTGCGTCGTGCATCTTTTCCAGTATTTGGTAAATTGTTGGTGATTGAGTCGGGGATTCCCGTCGAAGGAAATTGAAGGAGAATATAAGAGTGAAAGAAGATATACCTCGTATTCCTCGTATTGTTCGGATGCACGGACCGAGGCTACCCCGCATTTTTTACACGAGGATCCCTGATGAGTCAATGGTGGTAGTTAAACTATTTCAAAGACTCTTTGAAATCTCTCTCTCTCTCTGTGCACTGTAACATCTACCACATTTCTCCACTACTAGGATCGAGAACAAAATTTGCGAGAGATCATACTTCCCTTCCCTCTCTCCTTGTCTGATTTCATCACTAGTATGCATTTGTTTTTGTATTCTATCTTTGGACTAGAGTTGATAACAAGTCATCATCTATCTTCTTAGTACTTATATCACCACAATGCTCTGCCTATCATAGCGAAGCTCAGTTCATAGAATACCTCAGTTATGCATCTGGCTAGCATAAAAAGAGAGATAATCATTTTATCTAACAGCTCACCAGCTGGGATATCCCGAACAAAGCCGCTAGATTGTACTATACGTCCATCTAGGGATAAGAAGAAGGGGAACTGCATCCCTATGGACCGAAAATCTGGGAAACTTGGGGCTGAACGGAAAATGTATCTGATTGGAAGCCCGCCCTAGTCTCCGGTGGAACTTTTTCTACTGCGCAGATGGTAAACGAATGGCCACACCAAAGTCTGCATCGTAAGATGCTAAGATTCCTTAGAGAAGTACCGTCTTGCTGCTGCTTAGACTGAGACTAGACGCAGCCAGGGTGACTGGCTGGGACTTTCTTTAGAGCATATAAGGAGGGTGACTCGCCCCACATATGCGAAGGTCATTCCTTTCATGTCTTGAAGTCAGATTTAGAACGGATAGAAAAACCAGCCACAAGATGCATCTCCCAACAATTGCCGGCCTGTCGGCTGTTGCTATCGCTTTTCCAACAGTGAATTACGCTAGTCTGTCGCCCTATGTGTCACACGTGGGACGTTCATTTGAGCTCATTGCCGCCTTAGCCGTATATTTATAGGTGCCTTAGTATGTACTATAGCGGATGTGTTCAGCATGATTGGCTGGGGATCTGCACGGGTTGTGTTATGTATTCTGACTCATTCATGCATAGTAGATGTATATCTTTGTATGGCGGCAAGTTCGATCTGAAACATCTGGTTCACAGCCACAAATCTTACTGCAGCCCACAGCGAGTCAGCAGCTTACGTCGGTTTACGAGTCTTTGATCGACACTTGTCTTACGGGTCATCTGCTGTCCGCCTTAGCCCGCCTGATATTGTGTGTTCCACCGATTAATCCAACCATCGGATCGGGTTGGCTGACAGCAGCCCGAAGTCTGTGATCGTGTATGCTATTTCAATATTCATGTTGCATGGGTCTTAGACATACATCCAGCGCATTTCTATTTTTATGAATAAGATTATCTCTCCAGACTTTTGATTTTTTATTGTATTATTCCTAATTATAGTCTCTCAGGGTCACAGCGGGGAGGCTTGTGAACTCTACCGACAGGCACAATATATAAAGCTTCACCGGTGCCCACAGTGTATGCTCTCAGAACCAACAATTCCCTCAGAGATCATTTCTTTACTACTGCTAAGATGAAGCTGAATACTCTCGTCTCAGCTGTCCCCTTTATTGCCCTGGGTGCTTCTGCCTTCAATGTCTCCGTCACCTTCTACGGCGCCACCGAGGACGAGTCCTATTCCCTCCTCATTCCGACGGATGTGACTCCAGTGCAAATTGGTATTCTTCCCACTCTTCCCTTCTCAAGTCCTTCAACTCCTTCAACTCCTTTGCTCCTGGGATAGGCATTGACAAAGTTTCGTACGCACAGATAACCCAATGGTCGTGTACAGCATCTCCAGCCCCGGCGGCGGGTTTTGTACTTTTGTCGGGGTCGAGGGTGAGGATGTGGTTATTTATGCGGAGGAGGAGGTGGAATTGACCACCCCTCAGGCAATCAAGTCGGGAAGCTGTGACAATAACTAGCCTGTTTGTTTAAAATGGCATGTGGAGGGGATTGCAGATGGATTGAATAGATATGTTCATTACTTCGTGCTTCGATCTATGCTATAGAATTACCTCTCCTCCTTCCGCATCTTCTTCGACAGGTTGCGACTGGCCCAGTCGGCGATGGCCATATTGGTGATCATCGGATTTACGCCGCTGGCACTGGGGAAGATCGAGGCATCCATCACGTAGAGCCCTTGGGTGCCCCAGACTTGACATTCCGGATCGACCACCCCCTGTCCTGCAGCACTCGCCATGCGACAAGTGCCCATCTGATGTGCGCTGGCATAGCCCGCCTTCTCAACATCGAGGGGGAATTTCTGTCGGAACTGCTTGATCCAGTCTTGAAGAGCTGGATTGTTGATTCCCTCTTCCTCCTCCGTCTCCTCGTCCGTCTTGCCTTCGTCCTCAGATCGAGAGAAGGGAGGCATATCTGCATACGAGACATGGAACTCCTTCGCCCCGGCGAGATAGGCCATCTTCGCACTGGCGATCAAGGCCTCTGCCGCACTCTTGCGGTCGAAGGGGGACGGGGTGTACTGCACGCGAATGCGACCGTCCACGGGGTCTGGATACACACGCCCCGACTCGCGATCTCGCGTCACGGCGATATAGCTGGTCATGGCGCCCAACTTGGCGCAGAACTTCTTATACTCCAGACCTCCGCGCCAGGGGAAAATGGGCAGAAAGAGCGGCGGCAGCGTGACCGTCGTCTCGATCTTTGCCCCGTGGCCGCGACCATCCAGGTTCTCGAATTCTTTCACAACGGCAGTGAGCGCGGAGCCCTCCCAGGGGCGAATCTCCTCGTCGAAGACGGCCGCGCCGAAGAGCACTGGGTGGATGTGGAGATTGCGACCGAGATGCCAATTCTGCAACCCACTCCGCAGCAGAAGAAGCGGGCTATTCAGCGTCCCACACGAGACAATCACCTTCTTGGCCTGGATCACGACCTTCCGGGGGGTGGGACTCCGAGACAGATATGCCTCCCGCGAGGTCCAGGTGCCTTCGACCCCGGTGGCCATCTTCTCTCTCCCACTCCCCGTAAAGGTGATTCTATCGGCCTTGAATCCTTCCACAAATACTGCCCCAGCCTTGGCCGCATCTGCCAGCCAGGTCTCTGTGGGACCCTTCTTCCCCGCCGACGAGCAGCCCAGGGTGCAATATCCGCAGTAATGCTCTTCTTCGCCCCCGGTGTTCTGCGGCACGACATCCGCCGCATACCCGAGCTTGCGCGCCCCCGCGAGGAGATCGCGATTCTGGCGATTGTGGCGGATGTGGGCGGCACTGACCCCCATGCGATCGCAGACGCGATCCAGTGAGGTCTGAAAGGCGGCGGAGGTAAAGAAGGGCAATCCGTGCTCGTGCGCCCATTCGTGACGCACAAAGGCCTGCGTCTGCAGCGCCGCCGACCAGTTCACGGTGCCGCCGCCCCCCCAGGTGGAGCCGGCAAAGATGGCCACGGAGGCGTCGTCAGTGAGGATCGAGGCGCCTCCTTCGAAGAGGCTGACTGGAGCGGTGCGGTTGTCCATGGGGAAGTAGTGCGAGGCGTAGTGGTAGGATTTCTCCACCACCAGCACGCGGTGGCCGGCTTCAGCCAGATTTTTGGCCGCCACAGCGCCTCCGCATCCGCTACCAATAATCACAATGTCGGTTTCAATGGTTTCGGGCGGCTCAGAATCGTCGTTCGAGGATGATGCTGGCGGAGGAAACTGCAGGAACTCGTACTCCCAGCACCCCGGCGCGTACTTGACCTGCATGGGGACCCGAGGGAATCCCACCGCAGCTGGGAGGGTGGGGCTAGCAATCATCCAAGTAGTCTTGAACATGGCGGATAACGATCGGTAGATCAGGCGGATGGGGGGTAAGCGCGAGGAGGCCCATCCAGCAAAGATCTGTTCACGCACGGCCACGGGCTGATTCTGCACCGGTGTCGTGGAGCCGGTGAGGAGAAGAGCACCAGCACGGGTACTGGAGAAGAACAGTGCTCATTAGCTAGTAGCCCATCATGATTTGTCTCAGTGACCTACTTCAGCACATCAAGAATGAAACGAATGCCATCCTGGCCTTCTTTGTGAACGTAGTCGGCCAGCAGACGTTGGAGGCCCTCACGGAACTGGGGGAGCGACGAGGGACTCTCGTCCAGGTAGGCCCGGGCCACATCTGTCGATGGTTGAGAGACCGGGATTGTGGCTGAGACGGTGGTTATTGCAGAGGCAAGCTCAGCTTCGGCCACGGCGTAGTGGGTGGTTGATGAAGCATGATCCTTTCCAGCGGCGACACGGATCGATGGGATGACGGCGTCGGCCAAAGCCAGAAGGGTCTCCCAGTGAAGGTCGGTGAGTACCTGGGCTGTGGGCAAGAGAGGGATAGCCACCTCGCGAGGTGTATACCCGGTGGTTTCTGCTCGAATCTCGGCCATTCCGATATAGAGTCAACGGGCAAGAGAGATGAACGGGCGCGACTCGAGAGTTGTGCAGGGTACCTGAGACCTTATATACTACCTTAGTCTACAAGGACCCGGGCTGTGGGCGCCCAGTCTAGATCCAGCAACGAGAGACACAGCGACAATTGCGCTGGGATTGGTAGTGGTTGCTTTGTGGTGGCTGGCTGAGTAGGGCAAATTGTGTTGTTCTTGGATGCTCGTGGCTCCACTGAACGCCCTGACAGCTCCACTATGCATTCCAGCACAGATATGACTACGCATTGTGATCAATCAGCACTGGTCTATCAGAGATTCTTCCCCCGAGGCTAGAACCAAAGGAGAATTAGACTCTGCCAGCTGAAGTTGTGGGGTTTCCATTGCCCTCTAAAGACCGCTACAGCTGCCCCACCCTGCGGATGCCCTTCAGCCTAAGCGAAGCACCACCCAACTAGTACTCAATAGTTCCAAGCCACAGCTGACTCTCGACCAGGACTGCCCGACGAACTCTTAACTACAGCAGACTAATCCATAATCTTGATCTATGTAAGTCTAATAGGAAGAGAGCTACATAGAAATACTCCGACATCGCAAGTTACTCGGGAGTTAATCTTAGCGCTTGCAGAGAATCTGGTAATTATATAGTTATCGACGTCTTGCTCACCAGATATAGATATAGTATATTCTTTCATAGGCTAACTCTTCGGCACGGTATATACCACCTTTTTACAACCCTTAATACCAAACTGAAAACTATTAGGACAGTATAAATGTGATTTTCAGCTGAGTCTACCCGCAACATGGTTTCTGTCGGGGTAAATGCTCTATCGTTCCGGCATTCATAGTTCTCAGTGGGCAGACTTCCAGACAACAAGACAGCTATTTAGTCCCACGCATAGCTCTTCACTGATTCAGTGGCTGGCAGTAAGAGTTATACTAACATATCTTGTCATGATCTAGATCGAGAGCGGATCTGACAAGATACAACAAGCAATCCTTAGGGTTTACATTAGGGTTACATTAGGGTTACATTAGGGTTACATTA